GGCACTTGTTTTAATGCAAAAATGTTATTGAGCTGTTAATAATGTTTTTAAGGGATTTCTTTTTTCTGAACATGAATGATATACTGTATTAAGGACGTTCGATCCTGAGATTTTGAGTAGATTTGGGTCATGTCCTTTATTTTTAAAATTCTGCATCATTTTTAAGTTCTAACATTAAATCTGAATTCTACAATGCAAATTGAACTATATTCAATGAAAAAAAATGCGATTAAATTTCATTCAAGTAGAATTAATCTAGGGACTATATTTTGTGGCGGAAGGTTTTTAAGACAAAAATGACCAGTTTTTCCCCTTTTGAACTATAACAGTACTTTTAATTTTGGATTCATATTTCTCCATGCTGGTTGCACACAAAGCTGTTTTTTGCAGTAAAACATGTTATGCAGGTTATGAAATATCTATTAAATTATTTCTTATGAATTTTTTCAACAAAGTGTGACAAATATAGTAAATATATTCTGAAAATCCGAGGAAAAATTGAGTCAATTTTAAAATTGACACTTTTTTAGTAATATTTGAAAATTAACATCATATACTCCCACTTTTGATGTTCTTTTCTAAATATTCAAGATAACTTTGACCTATTTGCTTAAAATCAGAAAAAGTTTAAGACTTTAAAATAATTTTCTTGCTTTTTAAATTTTCAATGCCAGAAAAATCACATTTATTAGTGCAGAAAGGTCAAATAATTGATTATGCGAAGCAATTTGAAAATTTTTCTTAATCACAATTTTAAAGTGTCTTTTTTTTTAAAGAGACTTAGAGTTCATTTTGTTTCATGCATTAACTGGATAAAAATATTGAAGGGAAAATGTCGAAGATGTAATTTTCAATTAGACACAAATTTCAGTGCAAAAAGGTCCTATTAAATGTACTGTAGATCTAGCGCCAAAAGAAGCATATTGATCCTTGTTTTTTGATTTAAATTTTAATTAAGCTATTTATGTAGAAACTAAAAATATACTTGGCAAAAAAAAGTTTAAGACTATAAATATCAGGATCGAACGTCATTAAGGCTTCTGGTTCTAACAAAGATAATATTTAAAGCCATATCTTGAATTGTCCTTCAGCTAACTTCTAATAGACTAGCAGCATTTCATTTAAACTTTTTTTAAAAAGATAGATGTCTTAATTTACAGGATGGCTCTTAGGTTGCATTGTTGATAACATTTAGTTGTTACAGCTTCAGTTAACATTTCATAGGATAAATACCAATGTAACAATGTTTAATCATTACTGTTTTATACTTCTTGATTAAGACATCTTGCAAACTTTTTGAGATGATAAACAAAAATTTATAGCAACAAGCTTTAGGAAAGAATGTTTTCTCCTGTTAATCTTATTTTCAAAAATATTTAAAAGCATAGATGATAATATTAGACATGAAGGGCTAAAAAAAATTATAATAAGATTTTCTTAACTTCTCTAAGAGTGAAGAACAGATATGATCTTGTCTAATTCTAAAATGTGAAGTAATATTAATTTCTTTTTTAAATTTTTGTTAGGTTGGTGGTAGACTGCGGAGTAGAATTGCAGAGCAGTTGCTGAATGAACTAGAACTTGACTCTCATAGAACTGTAGTACAGTTAGAGGAACTCCAGTTAGAGAACAGACCAGGTTCTGGACGCAGAGATACAGCATACTGAAAACGAGACTGTTATCTGAAAGAGAGGCTGTTGTTCATTGTCATATAAAATTAAATTTTGCTATGATTAGGTGCAGTTTAGTCTTGTATTTTTTTTTAATAATAAGTAGGATAAAGTTTGTATGATTGTGTTGTTTTTTATCATAAGAAAAGTGTAGTAGTTTTTATATTTTCTTTAAGATTCAACATTTAACTTTGGGTAAATGATTGTAAAATACCATAAACAAAAAAATTGTTCTTGTTTCAAACTGTATGAGAACAAAGCAAATTGTTATGATTAAGGGATTATATTGTGTTCCCTTTCGCATTTGTATGAAACAAATCTTAAATACATGTCCAATATCTGTGATAAAAATCCGTTTTTAACTAAAAATATACAAATAGGTTTTTTTTTTATTAAACTTTTGATTTTTTACAATGTTTTATGTTTATGCATATTGTAATTCTTGTATGTGATAAACTTTTCTCTACCATGGAATTGATTATGCCAAATAATATTTATATAATTTTATTTATTGCAAGAAATGTATTGTTTTTGCTATATTTATTATTCCATGTTAGAGAGAACTGCTGTTCGATTAAGTTTTTTTGTCCTGTTACACAATCTATTTCAGAGTCTCTATTAATTCCAAGGCTAAAGTGTACATTAATTAATGCACAAAAATTGCGACTTGTAATTCATTACAAAAATATCCGTCCACTCTTTATATATTGATAAAAATTAGTCAAATAAATTTATATTTTATTGATGATTTTGTGTACTTTAGTCTGATTTTATCAGAGTTAAGAAGATGACCAAGGTTTAATATATTGTTGTTTAATGTCATGCAAAAGATTCTGATTAAACACAAAACTTTGCGCTAAAACGCAATTACTTTTGTGTATAAATGCAATAATCCTTACTTTTATAAGGATTCGGTTTTAAATACAACATTACTGTAGATGAATAAAAGATTAGTCATCAGTCAGCCAAACCTTTAATTACCAGGATCTAGAACTTAATCTAAAGCACGGTTTAAAAAAAAATAAATTGGTTACAATGGAAGCAAAGAGAGTTTCAATAGTTTCTAAGAGAACTCAAGACCACTCCTAAAGTCTACCTGATACTTTTGAATATTTTTAGCTGCAAAGCTGAATTATCATTTCCTTTGTGCTTTTGTGTGTACAGGCGATTTTTTGTTTAAAAATTAATACCAGTCCTCTATGCAAATTCTGCATCTTTTTTGCAAAATGTTCCAGTTTTTAGCTCACCTCAACGAAGTTGGGGGGAGCTTATGTGATACCCTCGGCGTTGGTGTCGGCGTCCCAGGTTAGGTTAAGTTTTTTGGAGCAGTTTTGTTTTTAATTACTTCTGTGTCCTATACTGATTAGACATGCATGGAAGATGGTTTTAGTGTGTTTTATTGTACCAGACAAAGTTTCAGATGCTGCAATTTCAGCAAAGGAATTACCAGGTTAATGTTTTTGGAGCAGGTTAACATTTTTGGTGCAGTTTTTGGTGTGGGTTTCATTTCCAAGTAACTATAAGCCCTATGTTGACCAAACTTGCATGGATGATACATCTAAGGATGCATACTACCGTGCTTGCTTCGGATGCTGAATCTGACCTACATTTTCCTTGAGTGAACAGGTTAAAATTTTGGTGCAGGTTTCATTTCCAAGTAACTATAAGCCCTATGTTGACCAAACTTGCATGTATGATACATCTAAGGATGCATACTACCAGGCTTGCTTCGGATGCTGAATCTGACCTACATTTTCCAGTTGAGTGAACAGGTTAAAGTTTTTGGTGCAGGTTTCATTTCCAAGTAACTATAAGCCCTATGTTGACCAAACTTGCATGGATGATACATCTAAGGATGCATACTACCGGGCTTGCTTCGGATGCTGAATCTGACCTACATTTTCCAGTTGAGCGGACAGATTAATGTTGTTGGTGCAGGTTTCATTTCCAAGTAACTTTAAGCCCTATGTTGACCAAACTTGCATGGATGATACATCTAAGGATGCACACTACCAGGCTTGCTTCGGATGCTGAATCTGACCTACATTTTCCGGTTGAGTGATTAGTTAAAAGTTTTTGGTGTGGGTTTCATTTCCAAGGAACTATGAGTTCTTTAATGACCAATCTTGCACAGATGATACATCTAAGGATGCATACTTCCAGGCTTGCTTCGGATGCTGAATCTGACCTACTTTTTGTGGATGAGTGAAAATGTTAGTTTTGAGGCATGTTTCATTTCCAATAAACTATGAGCCCTATAATGAGCAAACTTGCATGGATGATACATCTAAGGATGCACACTAATGGACTTGCTTCGGATGCTGAATTGGACATACATTTTTCAGATAATAGACAAGGTAAAAGTTATGGTTGCAGGTCTATTACCAAAAACTATAAGGCTTATATAACATTGTATAAACCAAACTTGCACAAATGCTGCATCAAGAGATGAAAACTCTCAAATTTGCTTCAGATGCTGGATTTTCATTACATTTTCATGAAGAAGAAGTAGTTTAAATTTTTTATGTAGGTCTATTTCAAAGTATCAGATCAAAATTGCTTTTAAAAATATTTTCATTTTTGGAATGTATACTTTTTGTTGGTTAATTGTGTGACTTTGCCTTACTTAAAGACAACATTCGTTGAGGTGAGCTCTGTAATCTCTAATTACCTATGTTTGAGAATTGTGATAAAACAATGGCATCTGTACAACCAGAATATGTTAAAGGTACTAACAGCCAACTACACTCTTGAAGCTGAACACAATTCATAAAAAGAATTTGTCATATTTAATTGGTCTTTCACTACATCTGAGTGCCCCTATGTAAAGCCACTCACATAGTCACAGTTCAGTGTAATCAATTGGCATCACAGTGTAGATGGACTATGCTATACAGCACTGGGGATCAGTAGCGACAAAAATAACTATGAGTGACCTGGTACTTCTACTTATATAGGAGAGTAAGAAACCAAAGAAACATACAACAGATAAATAGGTCAGAACAGTACAAAAACAAAATCACATGACTGCAACAAAGGTAATCCAATTCATGCCAATACCTGGACAATTGGGCAGTCAATTGGGACAAATGCGAACAGGATACTCTGATGCTGATATCCCAGATAGTATTAATTATTGAAAATGGCATATGCCTATATCTGAGTTGTGTTCAGCTTTAATGTCAATTGTTTAGTCAACCCATTTTGGCTCTTTTAGGGTCAATTGAATAGTGCTTGTGTATGTATATATCATCAAAGCTTCAGAAAACTTACATTTTTTCACAATCTAGGGATTCATTGTACACAATCGAAATCAATCAGAATTTTTTGTTTTTGTTTTTACCCTAATGAGTATTTTTGGTAGTGTTAGTTTGGTGGTTTTTCAGCATTTTAACAGCTAATTCCCCCAGTTGTTTGATGTCGTTTGGAATATCCTCGTCTTCTTGAGCTTCACGGGGTACAATCTTCACAGATAGATCTTTTATTTTCTGTCAAAAGAAAAGAAATAAAAGTTAAACTACATGTATAACATATCTGTAGATATATATGAATAGATATTGCATCCATAACAATGGTGATATTAGTTTTAATCAACAGCTATACCTAAATGTAAAAATAATGTTCTCAATATCAATGTAACAAAATTAATGTTTACATTTGCCTCAATGATAACAATGATGGACAATACCCTTATTAATTCGATTGAAAAAACAAAGTAAATACCCTTATTAATTCGATTGAAAAAACAAAGTATGTACCCCATTCTCAATATTGAGTGAAACAAGATTCGTATCCAAACACCCGTGAACTAGATCTCGCTCATGCAAGAATTTCATAGCCTCGGCCAATCGAAGGATGATGAATTTCATGTCCGGTACAGTAAGCTTGTGATTGTGCATGTAGTCAGAGAGCGTGACGAACAGTGGGGCGTTTTTACCGATCACAAAGAGCTCGTTATCGCAGAGGTCGGTCAGCGTCTCTGTGGTAGCTGTAAAAAAAAGTTCTTTATGTAAAGGATAATAAAATTAGAAAACCAGATGCGAAATGTAAATGGACACGTTATTCTCAAGAATGATTTACATAATGATATAATATTTATTTTTTAAAAGAAAATGTTGGCAATTGCTATAAAAAGGTTCAAAAGCCAAAAAATTCTATCAAGTTGTAACACTTCATATTTTTAATCTTCATATTCTGAGTAAATAAAGATGTTCTTTCCCAATAATTTAAAACTCCTCCTTATTTTGCTAATAGCGAAGTTCTACAAAAAATGCCTAATGTATTTAAAATTTACAGTTGTTGGTTATAATTGTGCTGCTATTACTTACACAGACATCGAGATATTGTTCTCTTTTTGGATGACATTCTTGTCTCAACCTAAACAAAATAATATCCATTATTAATATTTAACTGTGTATCTATATAAAGAATCGTCTTTTTAAAACGTATCTAATAAAAATTTTACTGTTAAAAGACACAGTCAACAAAATGAAGCTTTCTACAGTTACATACACGTTTTTTACTTATTACTTGCCCTTTTCCTTAGGTTTGCAAAGGAATAGAGGAATGGATTTAAAGCTGAATTGATCGGGAGGATAAAAACGGCGACCCAGGCATACACCTCTCCAGATATCACGTGACCCTTTAAGGCAAGTAACCCTGAAGTACATAGAAAACAGTAATATTTCTTTTATTACATAGTACAATGACACCAGTTTCTATGAAAATCATAATACTTTATGTGTTCTACCAAAATATTTGAAAATTCACGTGGCATATTACCCATAATTCCAACTGGGAACCAGCAGACAAAGTCAGACAAAACCACAAGAAATAGCCCTCGGGCGATAGCCATATCCTGGTTCCTCTTTGTGGATTTTATTTTGGTAGTTGTTTGTGAAATCTCTGTGTATATCAGACATTGTCCTAATGCAATAATCACAAATAGAAGGAAATTGAGTATGATGAAGATTGCAGTGGAGTACTCCCATCCAGCAGGTCTGTCTCTGGTTAGAGGTAAAGCCAGGCAGACGACAGAGCGAGAGTAGAACTCTCCTTGAAAGTATCCTCCTGGAATCAGCGGAATGGCTGCCATACCCACGGTAGTACTCCACAAGACGCCAATACTAAATATAGCTCTCTTTCTGGTGAACCTAAACTGTCCAAATGGAAATTTGACAGCGATGAGGCGATCAACGGTAATCAAACATAGCAAACAGACCGAAGTCTCACTCGAAATAGTAGCAAGCATACCAGCTATTTGACAAGTTATACTGTTTCTCCAATGCAAATCATTCCAGATATATCTCCCGCGATAATGTCCATCAGCCGAGGCTATGATTATTAAGTAGACACCCATTAGAAAATCGGAAACGCTCAAATTCGTGATGAAAATTCCATGGCCTTTTTTCAGAGTTTCTGAGTCGAAAAACACTTTGAAAATGAAGACTCCAAGATTTCCCAACAAGGAACTAAATCCCATGATCCACAAGAACGTAGAAAGGATAGTATTTTTCATGAGGTCATCACAAGAAGAGAATTCATCAGCATTTGGTAGGCATTCCTTGACTGACTGAGGCTTCAGACAACAGAATGCATAGGAGTCTGTGTACAACTTCTCCAGTTTCGAAAGCCCATAAAAGATTTCAGATGAAAAGTCTCTAATTTTATTGTTTCGTAGATCCAACACTGATAATCCAGACAAGTTTTGAAAAGCATAATCCGAAACATAATGAATATTGTTTGATGACAAATTCAGTAGACTAATGTGTTGTAGGCCCACTAAAGTATCCTGTTTAATGGACCACAAATTGTTACTTATTAAAACTAATTTAGGTAAAGTCTTCAATCCTAGAAAAGCCGTATCTTCTATTTTATTTAGATCATTCCCCTCTAAGTTCAGCACTTTCAGAGACACTAGTCCAGTGAAGGCATTGGAATATATATGGGTTATTTTATTATTTCTGAGATCAAGTATCAAAAGATTTTGCTGGTTGACAAAGGAATATGGCTTTATTGATGTCAAATTGCAGTCTGTAATAAATAATCTGATTAAATGAATGAAATGATGAATAGATGGCAAACCATTGCTATAATCATTTCCACTAATGTTTAAAAACCTCAACTCTTTTGGAAGCCTTTCCGTACTAATATTCTGAAAACTTCCAAGCATTCCAGAAAGGCCATCACAGATATTCTCTCCCGGGCACGTGATATTACAAAGTAGTTCGTCGTCTCTGATAGGGCAGTGGGGGATATTGTCACATAACCTTTGTGGATCTAAGCAGACTTTGCTCTTTTTACATCTGAATAACCCTGGACAAGATCCTAAAAGCAAACAGTGGAAATTTATAAGAAAAATATGGAGATAACAAAGAAAATTTAAGCTCAGAAGTCCATAAAACTATACGAAATAGGAACAGAGCAAACACAAGCCTCCAAAACCCCAGAGGTGGGATCAGGTTTCTCGGAGGAGTGAGTATCCCACTATATATCATGTTAAATTAGAAAGCTGTATAATAGTTTTCAATTTACCACACTGCATTTCGTCGACTCCGTTTTCACAGTGCTTCTCACCATCGCAGATAAATCGCGGAGGAATACAAAAACTTCCGGGACATTTCATATAACCTACAGGACACTGTGTGGAATCTAAAAGATAATAATAAATTTTACAAAAGGCTTTTATGTAGACATATATTCCTGTTTATCTTCAGGTGTATAAATTTGACTGAAATATTACCGCAATCGTCCAAATGGGACAAATCTCGACAGCCAAATATATCCCCGTTTTCACTGTAATCAAGAATACATCGTGTTGACATTGCCACAATCTTTCCCGTCCGACAAAGAAAATCTTTGTTAACATCGTCTGTCTCTGTAAAAAAATCAAATAAACTTATTAGTGTTTTTTTTACAACGGAAGTTATATTTGATTTGTAGCTTATATTATTTTAGTTTATCTTTACACGTAAAGATGAACGCGACTCGTGAAGGCAAACGCCATTATCGATGTTACTATCTACAATATTAGTACCCGGGTATACTCTTCGCATTTGTCACACCTGACTGCTTTATTGTCATGGGAATCGGTGTGGAATGGCGATCCGTGTTCGTGCTGGGTATCTTGTATTACTTTTGATTTCTTTTTATTGCAGTTACGTATATTTGTGTGCTTGTATGTGTACTGCACTGACACATGCAACTGTTAGATGTTCTTTTTTTTTGGAATCTCACTCTCATGCATTAGAAGACGTACAAATTTTTGCTGCTGCCTATTGCTGTATAGCGTTCGTCCGTCTACATCGGTGACATTTGATTACACTGAAGAATGACGTAGTGAGTGGCTTTATATAGAGTCCTTCAGATTTACCGAGAGACCCATCGAATTTGGCGGAAAATTCCTTTTACGAATCGTGTTCAGCTTTGAGATAAAATTATATGAGCATTCGAAAAAGTATAATTTTCCTTCATTAACGCAACTAAACCATATATCCCTTACACTTTTTAAGGTGGATTGTATAAGCTCCATAGTAATATTATGCAAAACGAATCATTTTAAAGAGAGGAAATTGTACTCTAACAATGGATACAATGGTAACGTTTACCTTTGTGTTTGCTTTCTAATCAAATTGCCTGAGCTTCATTTGAATGTTATTTATCACCAGGTTACAAGACAGACATATACGTAAAAACTCAATTATGAGAAAAAATACCTTGCGTGCAAATAAGAGGCCCTATGTTTACTTTCACGAATTTGTTCTCCCCCGGGCGATAGAAGAACAGTTTCTGGATTGGTAGGAGTGAATGGTTAGTGATAACACCCGAATCCTCCCTTACCTCTGTGGCCTCAGCACCGTACCATTCACCCATAGTGGAATTACAATTGCACCTGCATGATTTTAAGGGAAAAAAGTATTTTTTTATGCCGAGACTTCATTTCTATGAAATAATTTTCAATTTTAGAATTAGTGATTATTTTAAAGTAGACTCATTACCGGTACATGTATGAAGATACAGAAGAATAAGGGTTTGCCGAGTCAAAGAATACTTATTACTATGTTCAAAGGGTTTGGATGCCCTACACATTATTTAATTGCGAAGGAATTTAATTTGATTAAAGTTTCTAACTACTCACTTTACTTTTCCTTCTTCACATTTATTCACAAATGGACATGAACAGTTTTCAGCAGCACTATCCAAAGATTTTGTGTGAATATGAGCTCCGTTTTCGCCTTCCCAAAACACGTCTAATTTATGGTTGATGAAATGACAACGTATTCTTAAAGCCTGACTGCATTTATTGGTATTCTTTAGCACTGATATTTGTCTTTTATTTGCAGAGTACTTTAACTTAGCATCAACTTCAAGTAGACTAGAGAACAATGTTTCTTCCTCGGAATGGTGTATTATCGTCTGCACTGTGACGTAATTGTCAGACTTTTGAAATCGACACTCGGCTCTCGTAGGGCTCAAACCTAAAATATTAAAACCACCTGATTTTATTCCCATTGACTGTAGTTCAAAGGAAGACAAAAACTCTAAACTTAAAAAGTACGTATAATTTATAAAAATCACAACTATAAATTAAATTTAAATGAAAATATTTGAAAAGATTAATTTTCAAAGAGAAAAATTTATTTAAACATAAAGTATTTTTGTAAAACACCGGAACATTCCAACTTTTATCGACATACTCTAAACTTAAACTGGGATTTGTGACTTTGTCATATAACTTTTTCAAACAAAAAGAACTGAAGAGCAGGTTTTATAAAGATGAAACCACCTTCTAAGCCAAGATGAACGAGATATTCCTTATTCTTCCTCCCTCCCAATCCTCTCCAATCTCTGTATCTACCTTCTAAGCCAAAACGAACAAGATATTTAAGGAATCACTGTCTAGTTAGGAGGGTATGTCAGGGGCATCAACAATAGTGGGAAACATGGGATAATTTGCATAACGGGCGAAGCCCGTTATGCTTAAATTATCCCATGTTTTCCACTGTTGATGTCCCTGACATACCCTCCTAACTAGACAGTGATTCCTTATATTTCCATTTCATTGCGAAATAAACTTGTAGATTTAGACTTTAAAAAATGTAGAGACAAATTTGAATTACATGAGGACTCCCATGTCGATTTCAATAGTCCTCGCCCACTGATGCCAGACACAAAAGAAGCCGCACGAGATTTACATGCATATTTGGCCTCCTTAGCGTTAAGCACAAAGACAGATGCGCACGAGATTTGCATGCGTATTAGGCCTTCTTAGCTCCTGACCTATCGACCTGCCTAATTTACATTCCGGTGGTATTATCAAGAAATCAACTCCGCTTTCAAAGGGTTATCACAGATAAAAAAAATTAGAAATGGAAATATTACCAATTCTCTCTCCATCCCAATCCCCATCAATCCCTGTAACTACGAGGGGCGTTCAATAAATAATGTCATTGGGGCTCAGAAAGAAGCAAACGACGCTTTTCAATGATTTAGTCTTCATAATTTTACTTATTAATCTCTTTTAATTCAAACACATGTCCGTAACATTTTTTATACAATTTCTGATTGTTTTTAGAACTCATTTTTGGGTATGACCCTTGGTATACTGGAAAATGGCAGATCCAATGATTTCTTGGATTTGTTTTTTTCCTTCTGAAAGGTTTTTTTTCCAAGTTTGGAAATAGAAACAAGACAAAAGGTCAAGGATCTGGCAAATATTGTTAATGTGAAAAAACATTAACGTTATGTTTATCCCGAAAACCCCTTTACTCTTTAGGGCATGCGGGTTTGAACGTTGTCATGAAGAAATTCAATGTAGTGGATTCATGATTCTGGGTCCTTTATCTGGTAAACCTTTCGATTTCATTGCAAAAACACTGCTTTCTAGACATCTCCAGATATTAAACTGTCTCCCGGAATACGAATTTGAACAACAATACAACTAATATTTAAAAAGATTACATATAAATCTGTCTTTGTGCTCATGCATACCTTTGCTCTTGACATACCTTCGCCATTTTTATCAAGTACATCTTATGTTAAATTTTGTTTTAATGGTTTTAAGCAATAGATTCATGTTCCAATATCTGTTTGAATATAAAACAAAGGTGGATCACTACAATTACTGATATTTTAAAATAATTGCTAAGACTTTTGTACACGCTGTCGTTTTAACTCATTTTTCAAAATACAAGGTGACATTAGAGTACCAAGCCTAATTACTGTTAAACGTTTCTTAAAATCAGTGTAAACTACTCCCGATATGATGTCTATTAAATTTGCTATGTGTCTTAAAGTCAATCATACAACATCAAATATTATTTGTTGAAAATTGGCAAATAGTACATAAGTTGTTATAATTTTTGTTGGTAAGGAGAGTACCCATTTTTGATGCCCATTATATAACTTTTTATCATTGAAAGCCACCTGCTCATTTGTCTATAAAACAGGCATCGGTTGCTGTAAATGTCACATATTTCAGTGAATATTTCTTTGGGATTTTTAACAAGTTTTACAGCAGCTTTAATGTAGCTTTTATTTTCACTCTAGTTTACTGATTCTTTACCATTCATTTATAATGCAGTGTCTCGAATAGCCATTGTTTCCCAGCTTTTCACGAAAAAACTATGTGATGAAAAGTGGTCTCATAAACTGTTATAAATTCATTAGAGATTCAATAATGAGAGAAAGTTAAACTTTATGTCATATGACGACTATGTTGTATGTCATCGAGCTAATGACATTATTTATTGAACGTCCCTCGTACCTTCTAAACCAAGACTAACGAGATATTCCCCATTCTCCCTCCGTCCAAATCCCACCAATCTCTGCAATCTTATTAAAATTAGATGTCAGATTGCATACTCGTTTCACTAATATCTAACAACATCCCTTTGAGGGTCACACCAGAAGAACAGCTCTAGACTTACATGTGTATTTGCTTTAACATTGTACGCTGATTTTGCAGGCGACGAATTGATTAGTTGATAGAATTTGACCTCTGACGTGACCCTCAATGGGATGTTGTTAGATGTTATTGTAGTGAGTATGCGAGCGGATCTAATCTTATTTTAATTAGATTGCCAATCTCTGTTACTACCCTCTAAGCCAATTCTAACGAAATATTTCCCATTCTCCCTCCCTCCCAATCCCTACAAATCTCTGTAACTACCTTCTAAGCCAAGACTAACGAAATATTCCTTGTTCTCCCTCCGTCCAAGTCCCCACCAATCTCTGTTACTACCTTCTAAGACAAAACTAACAAAATATTTCTCATTCTCCCTCCCACCAAGACCTATCAATCTCTGTATCTGCCATCTAAGCCAAGACTAACAAGGTTTTTCCCATTCTTCTGTCCAATTCCCATCAATATCTGTAACTACCTTCTAAGCCACGACTAACGAGATATTCCCCATTCTTCCTCTGTCAAAGTCCAACCAATCTCTGTAACTACATTCTAAGCCAAGATTAACAAGATATACCCCATTCTCCCTCCGTCCCAATTCCAATCAATCTCTGTAACTACCATCTAAGCACAGATTAACAAAAAGTCTTCATTATCAGTCCGCCCCAGTCCCCACCAATCTCTGTAACTACATTCAAGCCATGACTAACGCGATATTCTCCCTCCCAACCTACCAATTTCTGTAATTACCTTCTAAAGCAAGACTAATCTCGTAATCTCTGTAACTAACTTCTAAGCCAAGACTAACGAGATATCCCCCATCCTTACGCCGTCCTAAGCCCCATCACTAAGATAAACAAGATTTTTCCAATTCTCTCTCCGTCCCAATCCCCATCAATCTCTGTACCTACCTTCTAAGCCCAGACCAACGATATATTCTCCAATCCCCTTCCGTCCAAATCCCCATCAATCTCTATAACTACCTTCTAAACCAAGACTGACGAGATATTCCCCATTCTCTCTACATCCAATCCCAACCAATCTCTTTAACTACCTTCAAGCCAAGTCAAACAAGACATTCTCCATTCTCCTCCGCCCAAACCCCACCAATCACTGTAACTACCTTCTAAACCAAGACTGACGAGATATACCCTATTCTCCCTCCGTACCAATTCCCACCAATCTCTGTAACTACCTTCTAAGCCAAGACTTATGAGATATTCCCCATTCTCTCTCCGTCCCAGTCCCCACCAGTCTTTGCACGTCTCCTGGACATTGTCCTCACAGTTCTGAGATTCGTCCTCAGCGAAGAATCCACTACAGTCGATAAAACCATCACACACCTTAGAGGGATGGATGCAGGTCTGATCGTAACATTCAAATCCATGTTTACAACCTTCTGAAAGTTGAAAGAGGTTTGTATCTGTATCTATACCTGTTAACCGTGAAAACCCTAAGAAGTTTCTTTAAAAAAATGTTTTGATAGACACAAGAATCTCACCACATTGTTTTTCATCGCTTTCATCGACGCATTCTGGTTTCATATCACAGAGGTTTTTGGCGGGAATACACTGACCACTGGAGCATTTCCATTCATTTTCTGTACATGGTCTTGGAACTGTGTGTGTATTTTATTGAAAATAAAAGAGAAGGTACCCTTAAGTAAACCATAATAAGGCAGATATTGCAGAAATTGACACGATGGAAATTTGCATCATATTTGGTTGCAGACAATTAACACATAAGTTTCATTTCTCAAGAAGAATCTTTTCAATCTTTAAGGCAATATATTAATAAGCACTACCAAAATTTACAACTATTCAATATGTTTAATGTTTTATGTTCTTCAAAATTATGATGTTTAATAATATATCGTTTAATTTTTCCACAAAAGATGGGCGTATTTGGTATATGTTCTGCAGGAATCATTTGAAGGAAACATTCATGGTTTAAATGTCCATGATTTAGTTGGCTGACCATAGCTGGTCAGATTGTAAAAACAACCATAGTATTTTTTCACTTAGTTTGAAATACCCTGCCAGATTGTAACATTTATGACAGTTGTCTTAGGATGTCAATAACACAGTAATGCTTTACAAATATAAACAACTATAGGGCAAAAGGCTTAAATGATACATGTAAGTGTACATATACAAGTGTACATATACATCAAAATTTATTAAGGAATCACTGTCTAGTTTTGAGAGTATGCCAGGGCATCAACAATAGTCGGAAACATGGGATAATTTGCATAACAGGCGAAGCCCGTTATGCTAAAATTATCCCATATTTCCCACTATTGTTGATGTCCCTGGCATACTCTCAAAACAAGACAGTGATTCCTTATATTTCCATTTCATTGTGAAATAAAATTGTAGACTTAGACATTAAAAATGTAGACTAATAGATTTAAATTACACGAGGACCTCCATGCCAATTTCAATAGTCCTCGCACACTGACGTCAAAGACAAAGGCAGCCGCACGAGATTTTCTTGCATATTTGGCCTCCTTAGCGTCAGACACAGAGACAGATGCGCACGAGATTTGCATGCGTATTAGGCCTCCTTAGCTGCTGACCTATCGACCTGCCTAATTTACATTCCGGCAGAATTATCAAGAAATAAATGCCCAAAACTTTCAAACAGTTATCACAGAGAAAAAAAAATTAGAAATGGAAATATAATAGAATAGACGATTGGAATTGATTTCGCTCTCGGTTCAACTGAACCAAAATTTACGTAATTCAAAATTTAATAAATCTGTACATAAAATGAAACTGACAAAAGATTGTTTGCAATAAAAAAAAAATAACGCCCCATGCTAGATGCAAACGAAAATATTTTTCACTTCTAGTCAATTTTACTGAGCTATTATGATCACCGCTACATAAAAAAGAGGATTTTGAAATGACAAAGAAGCACCAGATTTACACAGTTGAATGGGGGGGGGGTATGTCTCTGGGTCTTCTCTCCATTTTTTTGCAAAGGTATGTTCGTTTCTTTGAATTAACACACACTCAATTAACGTTTCAAAATCATTGAGAGAAGACCCAGAGATAGAATTTTTTAGAAAAACGTATTTAAAAATGTATATTTTTAGCAAATCAAAACTCAGTTTCGGTAAAATATTTTCCTTTCCCATTTCACAGGAACCCGATCGATAAATTAAAAAAAAGTTAAAATTTCATGTGACTCGTTGATAAAATTTCACTTTTCAAGTAAGCCCAGATTCCTGTCGAATGCTAATCAAATGTGTGCCCTTTCTTTCTAGAATATGTCGAAACTATGACTCTCACAGAAAAGTTTTCATCAATATGCATTACAAAATGAGGACATAAACTTACTGCAATTGGTTTCATCGGAGTTATCTGGACAATGGCTGACAAAGTCACAATACAGACTGATAGAGATACAGTCACCACTGCTGCATTGGAACTGAGTCTCCGTACATGTTGTAGCTTTGTTTATGAAAAAAATTAAATTAAAAAACATGAAAAATAACAAGACGCCCTGTATATTACAAATATATAGAAAAACTAAACAAAAAAGAAAACTACTGGTATGACCTGGAATGGATGATAAATTAAGAATATACTTATATTATTTTTTTAAAAAAATGATATAAGCTTACAGCAGTTGTACTCATCTGATCCGTCAAAGCAGTCCTCTATTCCGTCACACACAAACAATCTGCTGATCAGTTCTGTGTTCTCACACTGGAACAAAATGTTATCCAGATCTGCTGACCTTGAAACAAGAGAACCATTTCCCCACCAATTCTCTCGACTGATAGTTTCTGAAATATGAAGTTAAAGACAAAGAAAAAGTTATACTAGTTAATATGTACATTAATTTTTTTTTACAACATAATCAAAACACTCAAATTTAAATCTTTGCAATCAATGGTTTCGAAGCAATGATGTAAAAACAATGTAAATTTTCAATTGGATTATTTTGACATATCTACGATATGAAACTGAAAGACTCACGCAAATCAAGGTCATTTACAATATTATACGAAAATCTTAATTTCTTACAAAAAAAACTTTATATATTTACTTGCTATGCAATTCTCTTTGTCAATTGTTTTTAAAAATATCACCTTGATTGCAAATCGTGATACATTTTTAAGTTATAGGCAATACCAAAAAAAAAAAACAACTTTGTATAAATATAATTATCAGTACACAGTAAGAATTCTTCTGCCGATATACAATATAAATTAAACTAATTGTAGAAAACCTTTAATTTTCTATAACTTCAAAACGTCAAGATATATGGAATTCCTAAGTGTTTCCAAAGGTATTTATTGTGTAAAATAATTGATAAAGAAAATAGGGAATTAAAGACCAAAATTATAAATAAAAGGATTTTTGAATTGAAAGGCTAAGTGCTTCAAGTGTAAATAATATCAGAATAAACGGGATATATGTAATATATTTACCTAAACTTTGATGGAGGTCTACTTCACACATATAACTCTGGATTTTATTGTAAGCACATGCAGTGTCATGCCAATCACTCAATGAATGTATGCTGTAAAAGTTGATACTGGTACATCGCTCATTTTGGACGCCATTTGGTTGTCTGTTCTTAATATCATCATCTCGATACCTATCAAATAGAACAAATGAGCAAAGGATACTTTTAATACTTTCAAGATTGTAGATATGATTTCAAGCTAGACAAAACAGATTGAAAACTATGTAATATATGCTAAAATGCTAGAAGCACTGTTACTGAAAAAATAATATAAAGAAAACGCAACACGTTCATGCACAAAGAAACAATAATAGAATAGATCTATATTTCAGTAAAATCTGGCTTTATTTTATTACCATGCAGTGAAAGTTAAAGGGTTTCCATCTGTCCAGAGATATTTCAGCTCATGTTTTCCTTCTGAGTATTTCTTTTGAAGACCTGGAAAATATTACAATTTAGTTCGGCATTGACTTGATTGCTTGCACACTGTAGCCATCCGATTGAAGCTTCCACTGCTTAAGGTTTACGTACCTATGTAAATTTCCCAGTCGCCTGTGATATTTACATCGCTCTTGACAAGAAAATGAACGTAGGAAAGTTCCCTTTTTGAAGAGATGCTAACAAGGCTGCCATTGAATTGTTCACACTTCCGTTTCGCTTCCGGCCAAGTGATACCCATGCCATCAGTGAATATTCTATAGCAGCTTCCATTGTGGTAATGCCAATCATTTAAACATTCTAAAATAAAAAAAAAATTATTCACTTCTAATCAATGATTGCTGTTATAAAGAAGAAAAAATCAAGTCATTCTTCCAAATTAAAATTGCATACCTTTATTCCTAACATCTGACCATGTTTGGGTAAAATTCATAAACGTATACATTCCCAAAAATCCTTGACCCTGAGTATTCTCATTTCCAGAGCGAAACTCTACTCTCATATGGTGCCATCTCGATGTAATATTCCTATAAGGTCTATTTTCCTTGCAGAATTTTCCTAGTAACACCTCCCTTCCATTCAAGTCGATATCATAAATTGCAATATATGACTTAGAACAAGTGTCGTCTCCATTAATAACATCTAAATTAACAACATTCAGTTCTACGTATTGTCCAAATGTTCCAGCTATGTTCCATGTACACGTTTCTCCTGCTTCGTATGGAGCGGGGTATCTGTCTGTCGCTATATAGGCTGTCTGCAATGTACAACTGATTATGCACCCTTCTGTAGCCATCCCACATCCGGGTCTCTCTGTATATGAGAATGCATTTGTTTAGAATGTTGACGAAAGATTATCTTACATTACTATTAACAGTTTTCATAGATTAATTCAGATATTGATAATGTTAAATTGTATGACCTCTTCTGACATTATTAATAAACTTGTTGCTTAATTGAATTGGCAAAGAGTAATGTTTGCTGAAAGAACGAGTAACAATTATTTGAAGTTTACCAACTGAGAAATGCTACCTGATTTTGTAGCTTCTATTTCAAAACTCTTTTCTAATTGTGATACAGACATCTGGAAACAAGACACCAGTGAAACAGATACAGTTCTCCCAGAAGAGATAAAGACGGTATCCTGGAATTTATCTTGTGTATCCGCGGTGATCTCTAAGGTACTCAAATCGTCATGTATAACTATTTGGTCTTTGCACCTTCCTGGATTTATATCAAACATCCCCAACTAAAATGTAAACAAGTGTCACTATCATCTAACGTCCTACAAGAGTCGTCTAATATACAGAACAACATACATATTTGCTTCATTCAGAAAAAGAAAGGATCTTTTAAACGTTCTTGTTAATTTTAACTAAGAAATATTTTCCTTTATTATAGCTCGAAATTGAAAACAAAAAATGAAAACAACACTTAGATAAATACATGCATTTGAATTAAAAAGAAAAGATATTCACCTCTTTCAATTCTATTTCTGTTGTTGTTTTAGCGAGTTGTAAATAGACCATTTCCAGCCTGACAAAATTAGAATACCCGGCATATATACTCCAGGTACAATTCAGTCCTTGTCCATAACTAAAGGGGAACCCTGGTGACCGGATAATGGACTGGTTCGTCCTTGTTAAATTTATTGAAAATGAACATTGAGCTATATCCATTGCCTCTGAAAAGAATTTAATTTTTTTGTAGTTCATTTAATGTGTTTTACCACATATCAATTTTCATTTTATTCTAAAATTTCATTTGAATTCGATATAGAAATACTACAAACTGTGACACATATGTTCCGTATTTGGATATTTCACTCCAAAACGATTTTAAGAAAATAACATAAAAATTTGATGATAAACGTGACAACTTCATCATTTCTATCGTCGACTTCTCTTGTATATCTAAACCAGCATTTGATGTTTTTAGACACCTGGTTTGTATTGTTAAAAAGTTTGTTTGATGTTATACATACCTGTGGAGAATGTTTCACTTTTAAGTGGACGTCATCATTTACCACAGAGGGACTGGAAATTTAGACTTATGCATGGTTTTCAGGGGCTTATTTTAAAAATGAAATTATGACTTAGATCTAAATTTTGAATTGTTTACAAACTTTTGTAAAATTAATGATTGTGTTTAATATTGCTAACGTGAAATTATCTTACTACTTTTTTTTTTTAAATTAAAACAATTTTAATATATGTAAATTAGAAACTTGTGAACAGAATTAAATTTTGGTTTTAGTCGCACGTTCTTTTGTAAAAAAAAGACCCCATGGCCATCCGGCAGTGAGGATAGGAATTATTTTTGTAAAATAGCCTACTGCGGGACATCGGTTTATGAAGTCTCATCTGGGGGACCATCTTCCATGTTCTTCAGTGGGATCTGAACCTGCGACATAAGGATCAGCTCCTTACCAATCGGAGTATGGAGCAAACGCTGAACAACCTCTTCTCGGGGGGCGGGATCAATGAGCATTTCAGCTTCATTATTGTTCGTTGATATGGTGTTTCAAACTTTCGTATTTGTCATTTGTGATTTTACTCTTGTTTTTTGTCCTGTTTTTGTTTTTCATGAAAAAGTACCGGTATTTTCTTAATTACGTAATTTCCCCTTTTGTTGGTTCCTTAGGTTTTCTTTATCTATTTCTCGATGTATTTTTATCTTCGTTTAGATTTTGAATGCTTGTTTTTATTGTTTTCTATTGTACCAGTATTTTAAATTATCATCCACATGATCCTTATTTTTTATGGGTAAAAGAAGTTACACTGTACTTAGTTTTGCTTGCTTTTGTCAGAACTTTTTGCTTTTAGAATTGTTACGCGTTTTTAAATTTTGAAGAGTAACCATCCATATAATTTACTAAGTTTAATCTAAAATCTTTTTAATAATGTAAGCTTTATTTCAATATTTAAAACTGCTAACTCAGAGTTTTGCTGTTTAAAATATTGGTGAATATAAACTGACCTTTGAAGCAAAGGCGATGTGCTGCCTGATTAAGGATTACACCTGTTTGTACCCAAGCCGATTGTCTGGTTGGATGGTATCTATCTCCAAAACTTAGTGAACATTCCGTACGGTCTGAATATATTTGAAACGATAATGCAGTACCGTTATTACTTAAACAAAACTGCCTACAACCCTCGATAGTGGAGATATTCCGTACAACGTAAGGAGAATTATCTTCTTTTTCAAGCCAGAAGGAAAATCTTTTCAGTTCCTCAAATCCATAGTCCACGGTACCTTTATGACATCTGATATCCCTCTGTACTGCAAATGAAATTTGAATTTTCATATTTAAAATAAGTTCAAAGAGCCAAACAAATAAGAAATTCATGACTACTTTTAGGCTACTTAATATTAATACCAACATCAATGCTCGATTGTACATATAAAACGCATGACTCTTTTCTCAGAATTTTAGTACAAGTTTTTCAAATAAGGTCAAATATGTTTGTTTTCAAACTTATATACTGATTATTAATTAAGTCTAAATGTGTTTAAAAGGACCTTTTTCAAGCTCGTTTATTAAATTTCTAATGAATATTCTGTTGGATATAAAAACAAGTTAGTTGTGGATCTTTACATTGTTTTTGGCAGCCTATGATTTCTGCCTTGAGACACGCTTGTTGGTCGTCTGCTACGGATGGATGTATTCTGATGTATCTTGCCAGAATATCCCCATGAAACATAAACGTCTGTGGTGTAGTAGCTGCTACCGTATTATCAATGAGAAAAGTCTGGAAAAAAATAATAAAACAAACTCGAGAAAAACATAAATTCATTGAATCAAAAGCCTGCGTTTTACTCACCGATGATCTAGAGAAGTTAATATTTTTGTACCATTTATTTACAGTAACCTTGAGAAATGAATTATTTCTCTTAAAGTTAGCATGTTTACTTTTACAACTCCGGGGGAATCTTCATAGCGATTTATTGTTTTTCTTGTAACACCATAAGACACTGTGAATGATTGGATGTATTTTGTCTCCTTTCCCGATACCCAACCTTGTACTGAAATCCCCTGCACGACTGTCGGAACAATCAAATCAACCTGCAAACAACAAATAGACCAATCAAATTTCGATTTATATATAACAAAGATCTTTATCAGTGTAATTGTTCAACTTTCATCACCGGAAATTTCTGAAACTCTCTATAATTGTTTCTCACAATACTGAAATTTATGGCAATTGGCCTTTTTCCATGATTCCTAGCTGGAAAGCGAATTTGTTATCTTACGTTTGCATTGTCATCAAAACGAAGTTTGTGACGATGAGTACAATCGTCTTTCAAAAAAATATCCTAATTTTACGGGACATTTGAATTGTAGGTAGCATAAAAAGAAAATATGATGACTAAAGAATAGATACCGGGTGTGACCCGTCAGCAGGGGATGTGCACTCCTCCTGGCACCTGATCCCACCTCTGATGTTTTGGATGCCCAGGTTTGCTCTGCTCCTACTTTGCATTGTTTTATAGACTTTTGATCTTGAATACTGTTCGTTATCTTCAAGTGTTTCATTACATCTAAGCATAGAATTAATCTTATATAGTAAATAAAAACAGACCCATAACAAGTTGCCTTTAAAAGATAGCTATTGGCGACCAATAAAGGACAGTATATATCTCATTTACTCACAATACAATTTTTGCCTAAAAGATTCAGCCTATCGATTTTACCAAAGTCACTGTTGATTATTTTTACTTATTAATTTTGTGAATTAAAACACACTTTGGCAAAGTTCACTATAGTTGCATATATATCGAAACAGATTGAAACACCCATACGATGACGTTTATGTCACCAGTAGAAAAATGTGCTGTTGCAAAATTGTCAAAAAATTGCTGATAATATATCATGAAGAAAATAGAAAAGGTACGCCTATAAATAAGTATGATATTGCCAATTAGCAAGACATATATTGATAGTCACATACAGAAAACCAGGGTGATTTATCCTTCTTTGTTGCACACCATCCAGGGTCTGAATAATACAATCGACCTCGAAATGAGAGTGGCATTACTTCAACCCCTTCCGTGTCATCAGATGATGATCCCAGCTGATAGTCATAGATGTTACCAGAGGCCATTCCTAACGGTCTCCCACAGCTTGTAGCTAAAACAGAAATTTCACACGGATATACTTTGAATTTCTTATTTTGATATTGTCTATTAAATTACAGATATTCAAAGAGAGAAATTGTCTGCATTATGATAGTTGTTAAACTTGTGCATGAAGAATTGCTTTATGTGATGAAATACGGAAATAACGAAACGAACAGTAGTCAGACTCAAAATTATATTTAAAGAAAAGTAACTGAGAGCAGAAATGGAATCAGGTGCCAAGGAGAAGTTAACATACCCTGTTGATCAGTGTGCAATTTAAATACAATTTGTATGAAAAAGACTTCAGTCCGCATTTGAAAGCTTGAATTCTTTTAAATGAGCCTTCATAAATATACACGAAGTGAATCCAAAACAGCTATCAAGCTAAAATAAAACTTAATTTATTATTACAGATTGCAAGCAGAGCAAGGTCCTTCGAAAAAATCAAAGATGGGTTAAGGTGCAATGGATGTGCAGCTCTTAAAAACAAACCCCTTTAAAGTATCTACTCACATCTTCCTAAAATAACTATCTCGTTAATTTCTATTTTATAGAAATTGCCTGGACTATGATCTGGTTGTGTGAAATCAAAGTTCCGGATGGTGACGTATTGACCCACCACCGGACGCCTGCACTGATACCGGAACACTCTGGAGTATCCTGGGAGTCTGATGTCGTCACATCGAACGGCGCCATAGTTAATGAAATCCCACTGATTCTTACTGACGTAGGTCCCAAGGTATCGCAGATTATGAGGCATGTAAGCTAAAACATTGCTTGCAAATGTTTAAAGAAACAATCTTTTTCTGAACATTCAGTCAAATTTGAAATACAATTATAGTTAGTCAAAAAGAAAGCTTTTGTACATTGAGAAAAGATAAATATAAATTTGAAAATATATGACCACAAAAAACGCAACAAAATTTTAAGAAAAGGGAGATTAAATAATTATATGTATAAAAATAATGAAGATATGATTTCTTTATTTTCTTAAAAGGACTAAGGTCAAAGATGAAATAAATTAGAAATTTAGCTTACTGGCATATCTGTAAAGGAGTATAGCATGAACTTCAATATGTTCCTGCAGATTTACTTGATACCACGGCTTCAACAAAGGTCGGTTAGAAAGAAACGAATTCTTAGTACCTTAAATTAAAAAAAAACACTAGATTAATGTCTTTATAAATAAGTTAACTTGTGAAGGGAAAAAGAGATCAATAAACAATTTGAGCTAATTACCAATGAAACCGTCTACTGCATAATCTGCATTGTTTCCGCCATCCTGTTGAACACTTGTGAAAGGTTTGAATTTTCCAAATTCTCTCAAGTCCCTTTCTTCCTCTATAAAATCAACAGATATCAATTCCTTTAATGTGCTACAAAGACGTAACCCTGATACGGTTTGAAGCTATTTTAAAGAAAATGAACGTAATGATGGCAATTAGCAATTAATTGAATGCATCTTTGCTTATTTCTTGCTTAAGTATTGTTTTGAAAATATTGAATAAAGATGATATGCACCTCAAGACTGTAGAAAATAAAGGCATTATAAAATATCTGGTAGGCTCTGTAAGCTTTGCTTGCAATCTACATTGTATAATTGACTTTTGACATAATCGCTGTTAGATTCCACGAGTGACATTTTTGGTGATTCTTAATATTAAAATTTGTAAATGTACAAACCACACTTTGGGACATTGCATTTTTCTCTGACGCTTGGATACTCCACCAGGCATAAAGGTTCCCCTGATTTGTAAGAGTAGTATTCATAGGCACGGCAGTAATTCTCGTCAAACTCGTGATACGCTCTCCTGCTGTTATGATAAAATGTCTCAGACGACTCTGTCCAAATCAAACACGTCTTTCCGGAAGCGGAAGTATTGGCTCTACCATTGTATGAGTTTCCGTAGTCCGTATCATAATAACATTCACGTTCTGTAAAATAACATAATAAAACATAATTTCATTAGTATGGTGCACTTCAATAAATAACGAGAATGGACTTATTCCACGTTTGAATAACCAAATTAGAACGTTTTAAAATGTTACACAAATGCAATTTTAGACTACAAAAAAATTTTTAAAGACAATGACGTTTTAGGTATTTTTCATGGTCTATTATATATGGATCAAGAACACGATTTTTTCTCTTTTTAAAAATCAAGTCAAACAAGCTGAGCTAGGATGGCTTTAACTAAAATTTTCGTTAAATATAACAAGGGTCATTAATAGGTTCGTGCAATGTGATTTGTGGATTATATTCGACTATTTTCACACACATTTGGCACTGTTAATAGGTTAAAAAATATAAGTATTATTTGCAAAAATCTGTAACTTGTGAAAGATATACCGAATGTCACTAGTCATGCCCGTGGAAACAGTTTCAAAAGAGTATGCGAGGGGAGGGAGGCCCCCCCCCCCAAAAAAAAATCTTAATGACCAAAGATGCTGCATGTGTCCACAAAGGCAAGGTATGGTTATCTCCAAATTTGACCCTTTATTTGGTGTAAAAACCAGAAGACAGTTAAAAATTGTGATAGAAACAAGCACTCATTTTGATTTAAAACTTACACAGAGGACACAAAAGGGTTAAAAGAAAGACAATTTCCCAAATTTTCTCAATACTGGTGGAATTTCTTCAAATTTGAGATAGTTTTAACTTGAAAAAACATAGCACACAAGCTATATGAGATTTTATGCACAACATGCTTCTGATAAAAGTGTATGAAATATATTAAGGCAGATAGTGAAGCTTGTGAAACAAAATGTGCCGTAAAATCTATGAAACTTTGCATAAAAAGAAGAAAATTAGGATATTGACATATTGTCTGACCTTCCTGAACACTATAAATCCCGTAACAAGAACAAATACTTATTTTGTGACGGGGGTGATAATAATTTTTTTATTGATAAACTGTTGTCATTTGAAAAGACACCCTAAACTAGAGACCAAAAGGGGTCTTAGCCTATCTTGTCCTTTGGTAGAGAGCCTAGCTGGCATACAAACTGAAAATATGTTGTCATTAACACTCTAGGCATAGAGGCTGCATTACTAAAACTTATTAGAATAAAAATGCAAATAAGAGTCACTTTAGATCAATTAAAGTTTTTTTTTAATAAAAATTGCCCATGGATAAATAGGTTAATGGCACCTTGTGCAATTCAATTAAAATACAATGCAGAAAGAACATTTCAATTTGAGACATAATTACGATTTTAGGGACTTAAAATAATGGTCGTTTTGGAGCGTGATTCGTTTATGTCAGATTTCTAGTAAAAGATAAGCATTTGTTCTATAAAACAATGCAAATGGTTATTTAGAAATATCACATCCCATCAGGTATTTCTAATCTGGAAAAAATATCAGATATGAATTATATAATCATACATATAGATAAACATATAAAGTATTTGATTCTATATTGTTGTGCAAAGAAGATTGCAAAACAACATACATGTATTTGAGAAGTGGTGTAATTCAGTTGTGGATGCTAAAAAATTCCAACAAATGAAAATTTCGTATATCGCCGACGTATTTTCAATTAATAATAGTTTTTTTTTTTTATAATTCTTATGTCGACAAGATATATCCCGGTGTGCTTGAAATAAATGATACCTATTATTAGTCCATTATTTACACACTGAATTGACAATGGATTTTCCGTTATCTCTCGATAATGACATGGAGCGCATGGCATGTGTGTCCGGTCGGCAGGGGATGCCCACTCCTCCATGGCACCTGATCCCACCTCTGACGTTTTGTAGATCCGTGTTTGCTCTGCTCCTATTTTGCATTCTTTTATGGACTTCTGACTTGAATACTCGCCATATAATTCATCACAGAATCTGACATATCTGTACATATTTGGATATTATACCGTATAAGTGGAAATTTTAGCGAGACGCAAATTTAGCGATTTAACCTTAAAAATGGGTAATTTATTTTTAGCGAGATGTAATTTTAGCAATTTTTAAAAAGCTCTCTAAAGAACATATTACAAATATTTATTAATTAGGATATAAAAATACTAATACGGTAAAAAAAGATGTTTATGGTGTCTAACAATGAAGCTTTGTGATAAACATGATGACTTTAACTCTTCAATCATCAACATTCATTACTTATGCAAAAATATATCCTGATCACCTGCTAACCGGGTTTAAATCTCTCAGTTGATTTGATAAGCTAGAGCATGCTGCACTTGATATGTACAATTTCTAAAACGAGGTAGGTTATTGACAAACAAGTTGTTGAAATAAGAACATCAGCTGTCTCGTTAAAAGTCATCATTTTGTTAGATCTTCGGTCAACACAATGACCCTAGCAGCATATACAATCTTCCATTAAGTCAAATACTTACTGCCGTTTTTCATTAAGTCAAATACAATGAATTATCGCAGTTTTTTATGGTAATTTTAAGGTCATTATTTAAACAATGAATTGTTTAAATGACTTCCCAGCTTGAATACCGTTTGTTATTTCCATTTCTTTCAAATAGTTATTTTGTCGATCATGAAATGGAAGAACAGAGTTCCAAGTAGCCTGTAAACTGGTTTTCTTTTAGAAGAACTAGGGTGTGTGACCTTTCGGTTTAGGCCTATTTGAAAGCCAAGGAAAATTTGGATGTTTATAAATAGGTGTCGTATATATATTGCTCACTATGCCTATTAAATGGGTCCACACAAGGAGAATTGACACCTATATATAGATTTGTTGACCCACCTTTAAAAAATGGTTAGGTTAATTTTTTAGGTAATTGGATTTATTAAATTAATTCCTGTCAATATGATTAGCTGCTTTTAAATTATTGTTGACAATCCAAAATTTATATAGTTTAAATGACTTTAAGTAAATTGTAAACTTGAGCTTGAATACTTTACTGTGGAGTTTGCTGAATAAGTCGTTTAATTATTTCCATATTCTGTATTTCTTTCAAATATTTTAAAAGTTTTATATTCTGCACCTTTTACTTCTGAACCTCTCTTGTCATGTATATATACAATAAACGCTATAAAACATATCAAAGTGGGAGTTTAAATAGTTTACCTTTTGGTATTTGTGGGTATTGTTAAATCTATATAATTAAGTGTAATTACCGTATGGTTTATAATAGCAATACGCTATGCCAACTGAATCATTAAATGCCGTTGTATTAAACAAGGGCAGTGTCCCCTTATACTCCCATTTATCGTTCTCATTGTTCATGTAGAAATAATCCTGCTGTACAAACATAGATTCTACCTCCTGGCAACCGTCTGCTGACTGACTCTGTAAAATAAAAACGGGAAAGATAACTAACAGTAATCGATCCCAGACTATTTTTCAACAATATAAATCTATAAAGAGGGCAAATACGTATAACATGGACCCCTGGAAAATTCAGAGGTGGGATCACGAGTGCCTAGGAGGAGAAAAAAAATCCCCTGTCGACAGGTCATACCCTCCATGAGTCCTATGTATTACCAGGTAGACGGAACATTACGTTGTTAAAATCAGTATATATATAAATAAAGGTCTAACAATAGCTATGGAACAAGTCAGCGAACCAATGATAAAAAATATTTGCCAACGAAATCTTTATAACATCATAGAACGAGGTGGGTTCTTGAAATCCCTGGAAGATCAACTTATCTGTTAGTAACCTGTCTCGGTTTAAAAACGGTTTGTTCTCGAAACGTGTTCTTGAGTATCGGATGAGTTGGAAGAAGTAAATTAAGTAAATATTTTGCCATCTATATACTAATTCAGAAGAAATTATTAGGTAAAGTTTTAGTAAATATCTATGTTGTTGATATACCGAATTTTCTTTGAAGCCGAAGTAACTTACAACAGTCAATAAATGAAAGCATTGAGGTATGTTATGACAAATTGTAAAGTAAAACTTATATTGACGGTATATTGTGAATAGCAATTCATTGGATAAAAGATTACTTTATATAGGTCATTATTGTCCATGATATAAAAATTATCAGCATTTACCTGAAACAGAACAAACGGGAATTCTGATGGTAGTTTTATTGATGTCCGGTAATCTTCATCTTCTCTACAACAAAATTTCAGCATCAGACTCATGTTGTTTCCGGTCTCCCCTGGAATAACGCCCCCTATATCCTGCAGTGTAAACTGATAACCAGATATTGTCAAGCTGCCATTAGAAAACCCTGTGAATAAGAATAAGATATAGTTCATTCTTATAAATAAAAGATCTCGTTCAATTGAAAAAGGGAACATTTCCTGTCAGGCATTTTATTGACGAAAAATAATTAACTTATAGATTTTATTAATTATTACATTTTCTGATTAAGTAGGGAAGATTGCATCCACTGTTAGAAAGTGCTTTAAAGTTAAAGGTTCACCTTTAATCAACCGGAGAATTTATTTTACCAACTGGTAAAGATTTAAAGTTTTACCAACTGTTCTAACCTGGTACATGCTATGACACCAGAAAAGACAAATTCTTTTTAAGGAAAAATCATATACGAAGGCTGTTCAATAAAGAAAGTCCTCAGTTCTCAGAAAGAAACAAAAAGCTTTTTAATGATTTAATCTTAATGATTTCACATAAATATTGTCTTTTAATCTAAACATATGCCCGAAACATTTTTATCCAATTTCTGATTGTTTTTAGAACACATTTTTGAATATGGTCATTGGAATACTGGAATATAGCAGATCCTATAATTTCTTCGACTTGTTTCTTCTTTCTGAAAGGTGTTTTTTTCAAGTTTGGAAAATGAAACAAATCAAAGGGTTAAAGATCTGGCGAATATTGTTGGTGCGACAAAACATTGACGTTCTGTTAACCCCCCCCCACCCCCCAACCCCAAACTCCTTTACTCTTCAGGGCGTGTGAGTTTGGAAGCTGTCATGAAGAAATTAAATGTAATGGATTTCTGATTCCTGGTCCTTCCTCTCATAAACATTCTGATTTTTGGGGGGCAAACATTTTGCTTCCTAGACTTCTCCAAAAATTGAACTGCCTCCCCAAATGAAAATTTGAACAACATGACCTCTAATATTTAAGAAAAAGGCATATAAAACTGTCCTTGTGCTCTTGCAATTCTTTGCTCTTCACAGACCTTTGCTGTTTTTGTCAAGTGCATCTTATTATTAATTTGTTTTGATGGTTTAAAGCAATGGATTCAAGTTTCAGTATCTGTCTGAATTTCAGACAAAGATGGAAAACTACAATTTCTGATTTTTTAAAATAATTGTTTAGATATTCTTACACGCTGTCGTTTTCACTCTTTTTTCAAAACATAGGGTGACCATTGGGTATCAAACTATTTGACAGTCAAATGTTTCTTTAAAACAATGTGAACTATCACCAAAATGATGCCTATCAAATTTGCTGTGTGTTTTAAAGTCAATCAAACATCATCAGTGATAATTTGTTGAATTTTGGCAAACAATACATTGGTTGTTGCAAGTCCTTTTCGCCAAGGAGGGTACCCATTTTCGATGCCCATTATATAATTTTTGTTCATTGAAATCCACCTGCTCATGTGTCTATAAAACAGACATTGGTTGCTGTAAATTTCGCATATATAAGTGAGTATTTCTTTTTGGTTCATAACAAGTTTAAAAGCAGCTTTAATGGAGCGTTTAATTTCACTCTACTTTGCTGATTCTCTACCATTTATTTCTAATGCAGTGTCTCGAATAGCTTTGTTTTCCAGCTGCTCTTAATGAAACTATGTGATGAAAAGTGGTCACATAAACTGTAATTAATTCATTAAAGATTCAATCATGAGAGAAAGTGAAGTTTAATGTCAATGATTTCTATGCTGTATGTCAAAGAGGTCAGGACATTATTTATTAAACAGCCCCTGTATCTGTTTTTTTTGCTTTCTTTTGTTTTTATTGCACGAGGCAAAACATCATGAATACAACGCATTTAATTTCACTTACAGGACCTGTGTTCTGTAAACATACTGACGAGATATTACTAATAATAAATTCAACTAGCTTACCTTGAGGGCATATGTTGCTGAAACTGTATATACAGTACTGCCCTTTGGGCCACTCAGTTGTTGTTTCATTGTCATCTCCTTGATCACTGGTTCGATTTTTCACACAAAAGTTCATTTGAATAGCACGATAATAGTAAGGTCCCAGTATGTTTGGCTCTATGATGCCATTGAGGAGGTCTGGGTCTTTAGTGTTCCAGTACTGTCGTTGGGCGGAGTCCGGGAGAGTCAGGTTAATGTAAGATAAGGTCCAGCCTCTGTCTTCAGTCTCAGGACAACCGAACATTGAGGCAGGGAGGGCATATGTCCCATCTGGCCAGTTGCTGTTCTGAAAACCTGCAAATAAAGGTTTTAAAAGACTCTTAAATCTTGAAATGTTAAATTTTATAGACTTTTAATGTAATTCTGTGATATTTTTTCCTTTAGATATATAAACAGTTGAGCATTCTTAATAAATATTTAATACATATTTTTATTTACCATTTTACTAATTATTTCTTTGATTCTTTAGCTTTATAGCCCTCGTTAATCTAAACGTCCGCAATCAAACTCGAAAACGAGAGTGAGGGTACACACTACACAGCATCGAAAAAATAGCGAAAAGTGATCCACTTGTGCACCCAGCCTCCATGATAGCATTATGCCTAAGGATTGTTTTCTCTGGCAAAATTTCCAATCGGGAATGTTTTATTTGTCATCATGTATTTTGATACATCTTTGCAATGTTCATCTTTCGTCTATTATTTATTAAAGGGTTATAATATATCTGATTAATTTATATTAATGGGTACTTTTTAAAAAGAAAAAAAAAACAATTGGGGAGTGCATTGCTATAATATATTGTGCTTGTTTTGACATCCATTTTTGATTTGTTAAAGATAAATCTTACTATAGTTTGAGCGCAGAGTGTATTCTATGATATATTGTTGCTTTATTTGATTGCAAACACCAAGGTAACATAAAGTTTGAAGATAACAGACTAATGGCACACAAGCCAATGTAAAATTTTCTGAATGTGATATATTCTTTAAAATTCGTTACATTTAATGAATTTAGAAAAAAACCCATTATCATTAATTCACCATTTACACTTCCAATTCAGCAGCTGACCTAAATTCAATTTACTGTTGAGACACCAATTTTTTTGTTGTATGGTCATAAATTTACATCTACAAAATCTGTTATAATGCTCGAGTATAAAGCGACCCATTAATATTGCATTAGACCATGCAATCACCTTTCGGACCCTGACCGTGCTTGGTACTATTGAAAACACGATTTAATAGATCATTATTTCAGATATTTATGTTCCATCTTATTTTCAAATTTTCGAATAAATAATTTCAAGAACTGCGATATCGGTTTATCTGATGAAATAATGTCAGATATCATCGGTTTTGTCACATCAAATGTCTACTGATTATATCTATCTTAAGATATTTGAACAATAATTTTCTGATGGTTATCATAAAAATCAAATTACATTGAAGAACGTTTAACGAGCACCATGCGTACGGTCATTGACACGTGCGCATTTTTTTTATTTTCATTTACATTCAATTTAGCAGATTTTTAAAGTGTTCCAACTTTTCATAGTATAATCACTGACGGAAAAATGTTGTCAAGAGATATTGTGATTATTGCAGCACGGAGAACGGGGCTCCTCTATACATATAAGTATAGGGATTGAGAAGTTTTTTCTTCAGAATTAAAGGTTAACTACACTGTATACATAAAAAAGATACCGTATAGCGGGTTATTTAAGCGGGGTGTTAATATTGGCTTATTTTGGCGTTTTGATTACAGCCCGCTAAAATTTTAAACGCTAAAATATTCAGTACTCTTCTAAGTGTTCATTTACAAAGAGCTGAAAACTTGTGTCCGCTAAAATAAATTAGGCCAAAAAATTATTGGCATACCTTAGAGCAGGCAAAACGCCAAATTTTACACCCGCCAAGAAAGCCCCCTATACGGTAATACATCAAAATGTTCTTTCCCTTTATAAATTACAATATACACAATGTATTAACTTCCATGAAGTACATCTTTTTAATATATAAAGTTGCTTATCAATTATCCTTAAAAATAACGACAGGTCCCTTAATTTAGAACATTAAATTTTACTTATCGCATAAAACGGACGGTGCACAGGTTGCGTTATATACCTATTTAGTCAAAATATATTTTGCCGATAGGTGATCTATGTGTCTGATTTTAATTTATATTTTATGCAGTGTGGCAACGCACTTTGAAAAAATTACGCACTTTGAAAAAATTTTTCAAAGTTATTTTTCCTCAACGCACTTTGAAAAATTTGTTCAAAGTGCGTTAAGAATGCATATAAACATTTTTTACCATGGAGGCATTTAACGCACTTTGAAAAAAATATATGTATGAATATAAAAATTCTTGACTTAGATTTTAGTAATGGAGGAAATCAAATTGTAATAATTGTATCTTTCGAAAAACATAATTAAATTTACATGAACTCATTTAACCTCATTGAGAACAAGGAGAAGACGAGTGCTCTCACAGGTGCATGTACATAGCCGTCGGTAGCAAATAAAAGTTGACCCCACAGTTAAGCCCCAATTTTTAATGCATACATGTATAAATTATGTATATCTTTGCAAAATATTAATGTGCCTACATGTAACCCCACTTTCCGGTACTGATGCCTATGCTACACCCAAATGCATGTATATGTGTTTGCATAACTGGTATGACGTTGAAAACTTTCAATAAATTAAAGTTTACATAAAATACATGCAAACTTGAAAAAAAAAATTAAGTACAGTAAAGCATTTAAGCGAGAAAGAATTTTCAAAGTATGAAAAAATCAAAATCGCTCACTTTCACATCCTGAAGTGACCTCTTCACAGAAGAGTTATCAAACAGGTTCAATTATTTACCATACCTAAGATTTGCAGGAATGTTGATCCATTTTTTTCAAAGTGCGTTAATATGGTCCATATTAACGCACTTTGAAATGAAATTTTATTTTTTCAGAGTGCGTTGACTTGGTCCCAAAATTTAACGCACTTTGAAAAATTTTTTCAAAGTGCGTAATTTTTCAAAGTGCGTTGTAACAATGCAGCCATCAGTTATTTAAAGAATTGATAAAGTTCAAAAGGGTATCGTTTTTGATCAATTTTCATCTTACTCGAAGCTAAGACTAGCCAAGACTAATTCCCAATGTTGTTTTTTTCCCGGGCGACAATTCATAACTATATCAAATGTTCTCTTGTTTATAATAGAAACACCTTAAAGGGCGAAACTCGTTATACTGTACCAAAAGGAAAATGTGTAGAAGAATGCGCATATTTTGTTTTGTTATCTGTGGCATATATTAGTATTACGAGTTACCCATTCATTGGAGAAACAGTTGTCTATGATATCAAAATATATAAATTTTTATTTATCTGACTTCAACGTTTTCAATAAAAGCTATTTGAAATTTTAGAGGATCCACGTCTGATTTACACCGCTTCTAGAATATTATAGCCCAGAACGTCTGTAGTTTTTTTCCTTCTAGAAGTGTAAGAAGAATAAATAAAAGCTTGTTAGGACCTTTTTTGGACCCAGCAATGTTATTAATTAGGTTTTTTTATAAAGTGTTGGAATCTAGTACATGCATAGGGTAAACAATCTTACCTTGGTTCAATGGTATCACTTAGTATACCTTGTTCACTGTTAAAATTATTAAGCATCAAATGTGACCATGAATAATTTCTTCCGTAGTTTGTTTGTTTCAAAATGCAGCTTTAAGAATGATTCTTACAAACAAAGACGCTATCGCTAATTACATGCCTTGTCTATCATTATTGTTGATATAGTCACTCTAGATAACTTTTACATCCCCTCCAGGTTAATAAGAAGGAAGGGGATATAGATAGATTGTATTGCATTTTGCCTGTTTTTAACGAATCTTTAATATGTATCACAAACACAAAATTCATTCTGACATGTTCGGGCCTTCTTTTTCATATTCAGCCCTATGTTTGACAGAATTCATAACTGTACTTAAAGTTCAAAAATGTTGAATGATTAGGAACATTCCGCTTTTACATAGGTACTATAAATTAATGAAATCTATGTCGAAATATACCGAGTATACAACCCTTATCTATCTTTATGTATTGAAATTCATGAGACAATTCAGGATAGCATACCCGAAGCTTCTCCATCATATCTGGCATGTAGTGCAAAACTTGACTTTAGTACACTTGTGAAATAACGTATATATAAACGTATGAATTCTTTTTAATACACATATCTCATAAAAAACGAATATGTTATTCTTATTTCTGCAAACAGAATAATAAATAGATTTTTTTTTCATTTGTTGATATGTTATTCCATAACTGTGCACCTTGATTGTGAAGCTACTTTTTTACTCAAAATTTTCTTTTCGTTGATGATTGCAATTAAAGCACAGAGTGTGAATCATTTCTATGTAGCACAAAGAGAACCTAGGGATTTCATACCTTTAAAATTAGTTTGATAATAAAATGCACCTATTCAATGTAATCCATTACAACATTTCATCATCAATACTCCAGCTTTTCAAACAACTGTGGGTTAATGGTTCTCATCGGAAGCTGCTTCAGGACTAGTTTTTGAAGATACTCTGTTTCAATGCTAGTTCTTGTTACATATCACAAATCAGGGGATAAAGATAATAGTTTATCCAGGGCAGAATAATGTACAAATTAATAAAAACAAATACTAATTACTCTCTCTTATTAAGAGATCTAAAGTTTCAACTTGTGTAAATATTAGAGCACCATAGCTTTGGTCTCGCACAAATGTTACATTTATTCAGGGGACAGCTTTTTCTACATAAATATTCGCAATGGACCAAATTTCTAAAGAATATTATGGAACGTTCATTAAGCAATATTTTTAAAGAGGAAATACAAATTTGGTTAATTAAAACTTCCGTAATAGACCTAACAGCTATATTTTATTAACAGAAAATCTTAAGCATGTTTTCCTGCTGTCTAGATGTCTAAACCAATGTTTTTTTTTAATTGTATGTACTCACGTTTTTCACAGAAAAATCCATAATAGTTTGAGGAACAGTTACAATGGCAGCTAGTTAAATCCAGGGTACCAGCGTTCTGACATTCAACGAAGGGACAAACTGTAGAAACAACAAAATATCTCTAATTATCATGCCTCATGCATAAAAGTCTACAATACTCAATCAAAATCTCTAATAATCATAATTTATCGTCATCAGGCATAGAAGTTTTGGGTGTTTTGTGCCTCACAATTTTCCAAGGCTTTTGATGGTTTTTTAAAAATAAAATTATCTCTTCATTGTACTGAACATATTTAACATTCTCGCTATCTCTCTCTTTGATGATAATATAAAACTTTGCATATTTCTATGAAGTGATAGCGATATTCAAATATATATTATCAAAAATTCATAAAAACCTACCTGGTTGTTCCCATTCGGACACAATATAGCCAGATCCAAGATAAACGAGCCCCAAACTCAGAATTACTGCCAGCATCTTTAAATTCTGTCCTCAGGACAATTGTTCTGAAACAGAACCAGAGCAGAGAAAATTTACCGAATAATTGTTCCACTTAAATAAATTGCTCGTTTAAAACATTGTAATTAAATGTGTATAGTACTAAATACATTTAACGAAATTCACGTCCAGTGGAGCCAATACTATAGTGATGAATAATTTAATGACAATTTTGTCAATAACATAATGAGCATATTTCTCATAGGAGGGGTGATATAACAATTCAAATTTTATCTGCAAGCTGCGGTTGGGTAAATCCAATGTTCCATTAACTTAAATGTGTGGCTAATACAAAGTGTGGACGATGTTCAACTGCTAAATGTAGAAGGTGCGTCCAATGCTGATCTTTCTTACCTCAGAAAATGGTCTAAGTAAAGTCGCATTTAGGTTGCAATCCATTTCAAAGGAGAGGAACTACTATGTAATACAGGGCAAAAGATCTATTTAATTTAAGAAAACTTTTGCTTATATTCTTTTTCTAATTTCAAAGCTTGATATTTATATTTAAAATAATGTGCATTTAATTTGGTCACAAAAGCATATTAAGTCAAACGGGTTTCGGGATAAATAAAGTTTTCATGCTTTATTTTATGTTTTTGTAGATAAATGTTTATTTAGATCAACAACTTAATGCGATTAATAATGAAAAAAGTTAAATGCACAAGCGATTTTCCAGTTGTTACTTCTTTTTTTTTTTTTTTTTTTTTTAAAAAAGGTAAATATGCTCTTACGGTCTTATTAAAAGAAAACATATACATGTATTATATTCATTGATAATTACTTACATATCTTGTTACCTATAACTTAATTTTTGTAATGCATGCATTCAGTTTCAAAAGACCATACTAAATATTACATTGATTTGTGACTTACCGTAAAGTTTAAGCATAATATACAAACCCATGTGCCATCTTCTCTAGTATCAGTTGACATCAAGAAAGTCTTGCACGATCACACTCTCAAAAATGATACATCATCATCTCTTATAAATATCGACAAGTTGGGGGTTTGTGGTTATAAGAATGAATTTGAAATGATAATCAAATATGAAGTTAATAAATTTTAAGTGTATAGATTAAAGCACATGTTGAATGATTTTCGGAAGTCCGAATTGCGCGATGTAGTACGTTCAATTGTTTGCAATAGTTACCCCTTGAGGATTTTTTTCTCTCACCTAGCCAAATCTTTGTATTTGAATTAAAAAGCACTGTAAAATGGGTAAAGTCGTAAATAATTTTTTATTCGTTGAAAAAAAAAAACCGTGCATATTAAATAAAATTAAAGGACAAATCTATTGTACACATGGAATTGCTTATACTATTTTTTTCTTTTTCAAATCAAATTTTTACAACTCCCTTCCCCAAAAGTGGGTTTCAGTACATATTGTAAAGCTGGATAACAATAATTTGGGTTTCAGTACAAATTTTACAGTTGGATCCGGAATATAATGAAACTTGAAGTCATTTCATAGCAATTTTTGGAAAATCATGTGCAAGGTTAGATGTACTATTCATAGTGCATTTTCATTTTTATAATTAAGAGTTTTTAATGTTTTTCTTTTATAATGAATTGCTTTTTAGAGATATATTACGAAACATCTAATTTGGATCAAGGAATTCAATTTGACTACATTACGCAGTAATGCAATTAAATATATTCTCAACTGGCACATAAACCCAAATTTTTGAGATTAAAAACATATTTTTGTATCTGTTTAATTAGCTTTTTAAATCATTTAAATTCCCTAAGGATGGGGCATATATTATAATGAATGTCGTTATAATTTCATCCACTCTATGATTATCTATCTAAATGATGATAGCTGGGGAAAAACAGAAACAATATATTCTGTATTATAAAATACGTGTTTTATATGATTGTATGTAACTGGTCCTAAGTATCTAATGTTTTACTGACTATTTTTAGGATTTTGATATTTTACGTGCCAGGAAAATGTCAGGACCGGTGCCATAACAAAAACTGGGAAATTGCCGCCTCCACCTGGAGGCGGCATTCAATGGTTAATTTTAGATGCTTGCAAATTGAATTAAGGAGCCGACTGGGGTTTCCATTGCACAATACTTTGCGCATCATTGATAAATGAAGCGTATTTACTGTTTTAGAGCAACTTTTTTCACTTAAAATTTAACAAAATTAAGAAATTACATGTTAAAAGTCTTAATTACAATTTTTATTACTGATTTTTAAAAAGAATTTTTTTAACTGGTTGGTAGATTAATTGACGTCGTAATAGTGTGATTTGATGAAGTAAATGAAGGGGAAATAAAAATGTTATAAAAAGTTTTAAACATATGCTTTTGAAATTTAAAACATAAAAATTTGAGAAACTCTTGGTCATTTTCTTATTTCTTTGTACTAACCCTTTGTATCAGTAATATTTTGCAGTACTACATAAAAACAAGAAAATGAAATGCGCCCTATTGAAATCAGTGGTATAATTTTGTGTTTCTAACATATACTGTACATTACTTATCAACTATTATAATCTGAACAAAGAGTCTGTTGTAGTATTTGAATAATTTGCTTTGAAATGCGAAAAATTGGCATATGTATATTCCTATAGTAAATGTACCTGCATTTTCAGACGGTCCGTCTAAAATACCTGGTCGGTAGATTTTCTTCAAACTTGGCATGTACACTGAAGTCAATGTAAGTAATATACATTATAGAATTAAAGAGTTTCTCTATTGTAGTTTTCGCAAAATAAAACCCCAGTCGACTCCGTTGAATCTCAAACTTACAGTTTATCAACAGAACACCACTTTTAGTAACTTTTTATGGTTCATTTATATTTATACAATCCGATGAAAACATTTTATCAGACTGATAAGATCTGTTTTCATTTCGTGAATTTTAAAATCTTGAACACTTTTTTAAATGTAGAGTGATGTTTTTAATCGATATTGCATTGTGCCTTGATTTCTGATTTTGGCATTTATATTATTTCGGTTGGCAAGTATCGAAAATAAACTTTCGTTCGAGACGGCACATTTCCAGTTTTAAATTTCGTAATGGTTCTGACGTTTTCCTGGCACATAAAATATCAAAATCGTAGAAAAGCCAGAAAAACGTAAAATATTTCGGACTTGTATATAACCTGTCTTGAACATGGCGAAAGCGCTCGCAGCAAATATTTTATTAACTTTTTTGATTTTTATCTTTAAATAAACACAACAATACTGCACCGGTCTTCCACTTTGTTTACGATATAATATATAAAGCTTGTGAAATATATAAAGCAAAAGATAAAATAAAAAGAAAAAATATAAAATAAAAGTTTATTGCACAGTTTCGATTATTCAAAATTGTATGGCAACTCTGACATAACTTTTGAACCAACATTTGTACAATTTACAACAGTTTCTCATATTGTCAAGAAATGACTGGCATATTAAACAAGGAGCACGATGACATTTTTTGCGATTGGGTCATTTCCACAAAAATGGCATTGCATTTTTCTGGTGAAAAATGTTCTATGTCCTGGAAGAAGTATATATCTATCCAAAAATAAAATATGCAGCATTTCTCAACTGAATTTAAGAATGCGTGATGCACAAATTGATATTTTCTTTAATCGCTAGAATTCGAAGTACATAACTCTAACATTCAGTGCTTTGTGATATTTTCTTATGGTAGTTCTTGAGCATTTTTAGAGTGATTTCCCCCAGTTGTTTTATATCTTTTGGGATTTCGTCATCTTTTTCAGCTTCTTTAGGCACAGTTCTGATATACACGTCTTCTATTTTCTACAACAAAATTTGTTTTGAACATCTGAGCATATATTATTTAAACATATTTCAGTTCCTTAGAACATAATTTGCCAAGTTAGAAATTCCTTTTAGCGTAATAGATATATACAGAGATAATTCGAACTCGTACTTATGAGCAAAGTATTAGTGGTCAAATGACAGTAAGTGAATATATACAACTTTTTTAATTATTAAGCTGGCAAAAAATCATAGTCAAACTTAAATGTATACCTTGTTGACAACATCAAGCAAAACAAGATCTGTGTTTAAGTTTCCATGAACGAGATCGTATTCATGTAGAATCTTTAGAGCTTCAGCCAATCGGTAAACAACAAGCTTCATTTCCGGTACAGTAATTATTCCCTTCTGTAGCTGATTGGATAAAGAGACATACACAGTGGAGTGTTGACCAATCACAAACAACCTGTTGTCACACAGCACGCTAACTGCTTCCGCTGTAGCTAAAAACAAAATAAATACGGCTAAATATTTATTTTTCTGTATAATACTTGATTTGAGATTTCTTTCTTTGCTCAAAGCTATATATGGCGTATCTGATCTAAAAATAAAAATACGAGATTAAGTGTACTTTTATATAATCTTTGTTATTTACGTTCAATTTAAATTTTTCACTAATTTTAAATTAAAATATCCCCACGTTTTAAAAGTAAAATTGTCTTTTAACTGTGCCCTATATCTAGATAAGAGTCGGAAATAAATCGGTTTTGTTTTAAATCTCTGATATATATATATTGATATTGATATCGATTGATTTAAATTGTGTAATTTTCCTTAAGTCCTATCTTTATAAAAAGTTACATAACAAATAGAAAGATCATATGAATTTTACTTAGTCTGAACTTAATATAAAAAATACGCCATATATGACTTAAAGAAAGATATTTAAAAAAAATATTTTTGATGATTTAAAAAAAAATCTATGATTCATCGTCCTTTTAAATTCTTTAAATTAATGTCTTAGAAAAATTCTAAAACGTGCTAAAAATAGACTTGCAGTGGTCCTGCATTGATGTTTTCTTTTTTGATGACATATTCGTCTCAACCTACAAATATATGTAATGATGTCCAAAACAATTTTTAAAAAAATTCACCTTCTATTACTATATGTTAGTAATATTTTATAATTAATATGTAGTATTATTAGTATTACATGTAGTATATTTAATATTCTGAATATTTTATCTTATTGAATAATATTAGATATACAAAAATAAAAAAAAAATTACATTTTTAAAAACGCTGCAATGGATTGTTTTCTTCTAAATAAAAAGCGTCCTTATTCAGGTGTACTCACCCTTTTTCTCAAATTAGCAAATGAATACAAGAATGGATTCAAAGCGGAATTAATTGGGAGTATAAAGACAGCGACCCATGCATAGACCTCTCCTGATACCACGTGGCCTCTTAGAGCCAATAAACCTGAAAGTCAATAAACTGCTTAGAATCATAATTATTAACTAAAATATAAAATATTCATTTATAGACATGTAACGAGATACGGGACCAGCACATTACCCATAATTCCAATGGGAAACCAACATATGAAATCGGTGAAAATGACAAGGAAGAGTCCACGGGCAATGACCATGTCTTGGGTTTTCCTAGTTGATTTTATACTGCCAGTTGATCTTGATATTTCTCTGTATATCATACACTGTCCCAACACAATGACCACGAATAGTAGAAAATTGAGTATGATGAAGATTGCAGTGGAGTACTCCCATCCAGCAGGTCTGTCTCTGGTTAGAGGTAAAGCCAGGCAGACCACAGAGCGAGAGTAGAACTCTCCTTCAAAGTATCCTCCTGGAATCAGCGGAATGGCTGCCATAGCGACGGTAGTACTCCACAAGACGCCAATGCATGAGAGAGCTTTCCTTCTGGTAAATCTAAACTGGCCTAATGGAAATTTGACGGCTATTAAACGATCTATTGTCATCAGGCATAGTAAAAGAACAGATGTTTCGCTTGAGATGGTAGCAAGCATGCCAGCTAGTTTGCATGTTGCGCTGTTTCTCCACTGAATGTCATTCCAAATGTAACTCCCACGATAATATTTATCAGCAGAAGCTATAATTATCAAATATACTCCCATTAGAAAGTCTGACACACTTAGATTAGTTATGAAAATACCATGGCCTTTCTTTAAAGTTTGTTTATCGAAAAATACTTTAAATACAAATACTCCAAGGTTTCCTAACAAAGAACAAAATCCCATAATCCACATACAGGTCGAGAGGAATTCGTTTCTCATCAGGTCATCGCAAGATGAGAATTCATCTGCCTTTGGTAAGCAAACATTCACAGTTCCTGGTTTTAAACAACAAAATGCGTATGAATCCGTGAATAATTTTTCCAGTTTAGATAGACCATAAAATATTTTGGCTGAAAATTGCTTTATTTTGTTTTTTCTCATATCTAAAACTTTCACTTCAGACAAGTTTTGAAAAGCAAAATCCGAAACATATTCAATATCATTGCCAGAAATATTTAGTAGGTGAACGCTCCGTAAACCAGCAAAAGTACCCTCTCCTATATTCCACATGCGACAATTTGTTAAATAAAACTTTGGTAGTTTTTGTAATCCAACAAAAGCAGAATCTGATATTTCAGTTAAAAGATGATTTCCCTCCAAGTTCAAAACTTTTAATGATACCAGTCCAGTAAATGCATAACTATATAAATGAGTGATTTTGTTATTTCCGAGATCAAGTACCTGAAGATTTTTCTGATTAGCAAATGAATATGGTTCAATAGCTTTCAATCCGCTATTTGTTATAAACAACCTTACTAAATGAACCAAATGTAGCAAAGATGGCAAACCATGCCTAAAATCATTTTCACTTATGTTCAAAAATCGTAATTCTGCTGGAAGCTTTGCAGGACTTGTGTGCTGCAAATCTCTACAAACGCCCGACAGACCGTCACATTTACACTCATCCGGACACGTGATCTGACAAAGAACTTCATCATCGTGAAGAGGACAGTGGTGAATGTTGTCGCACAGCCTTCCCGGATTCAAACAGACTGTGCTGTTTTTGCATCGATATAAACCAGGACATGTTTCTGAAAAGAAGAAATATTCTAATCTAAAGACTTAAATGACGATTTTGTATTTTAGGATTTAAAGAAAACAAAAGACAATGTTAGATTTACCACACTGCATCTCATCCACACCATCTTTGCAATGCTTCTCGCCATCACAAATCAAACGTGGAGGAATACAAAAACTTCCCGGGCATTTCATATACCCTGGTGGGCATAACATGGTTTCTGAAAGATAAAATGGTTTTTTAGATTGAAATTTAATCAATCACATTCCAATCACTGTCTGAAATGCTACAATAAGGCATTCAACAGGTTCTCATTTTCTTTTTACCCTTTAACCTCTTGTTGTCTTTCTTTTAAAGCATCATTTGCCTTGTTCGGTGACTATGAAGTACTTAAACTAAAATATACACACATGTAGTTGTCGAAGCCACAATAAATTAACAAGAAAGTAATTATTATACTCTGGTCAGTCTATAATGACAAGAACACCAGTGCTATCCAAAATCATTACAATGGTTGTCCGGTAAAATCGTGGGCAGGTTGTCTAAAACATAACATAATCAAAATTGTATTTTTTTTAATTTTTCGTCAAATGGATAAACACGAAAAGGTTCAAATAAAAATATGGGATCATATATCATGCGTGTCTTTGCCTAAATGAGAACATCACAGTGTCTAAATGGACTTTGTGTTTCTTTATTTGATAAAAAAGAAATGAAGGAAAACTTCATTTAAATTTGAAAAAACGCCGATACATATCCTTTATTCCTCTCCTTAAATTCATTGTATAGATTATCAAAGATTGCAAATCTCACATCGACGAATTTATCTAAAGTACAGCAAAAATAATATAAAAAAAAATTTGTAGCTAGTGTGTATTCCAAGTTCAATATCCATATGCATGCAAGTTTGGTTTAGGATTTATAGTTACTTGGAACAACCGCTTCAACAACATTAACCTGTCACTCATTTGAAAGATGTGGGTCAAATCCAGCATCCAAGCAATTGTGGTAGTATACTTCCCCAGGTGCTTCATCAATGCAAGTTTGGTTCAGGTGGTCTTTGTAGTTACTGGGGAATGGCTCTTCTCTAAAACCTTTAACCTGGTCACTGATCCAGAAAAAGTAGGTCAGACACTGCATTCATAGTAAGTCTGGTAGTGTCTATCTTTGGATCCATCTTCCATGTAAGTTAAAGTTACTTGGGAAGAACTTGCTCCTAAAACTCTAACCGGGACGCAGACGCTAATGCAAACGCCGACGCTGGTGGCATAGAATCTACTAATAAATCCCCTTACATTAGTACATTATGGATGTTTATGTATATATACAACTTCTGATGTCATACTAGTCACGTTTCCAAAAACTACCAACGGCCGACAGCTTTTGAAACAAATAACCGCTGCCTTGCCCGATTTTGATCTCTTGTTTTCGTCGACCGACCAATTTTGTTTCCATGGTTCCAAGTTATGATTTTTTCTGTGTCGGTGACCGATTTCTTCAATTGAAGGAATTCCTCGACCAATCTTCAATCATCGTCGGACCATCGGCGGTCAGTTTTTGAAGTCGGTTGTCCGTTGTTCGACAATAAGGGGTTTCCAAAACTTCGACCGACGGTTAAAATCAATTTAACTTCTTGCTCAGTGATCGATCATCGATCATTTTACCTATTTGGGATACTTCACACAAACAAAATTTTGATGCATGGACTGATAAATATTTATTAAATGGAAATGACATAAAGATAAAGATAAATCCGTAAAATGTTAAGAAATCGTAAAATTTTCTTTGCTGCATAGTTATGCGCCTTTTTATCTCTTTCTTTGTAATTTTTTAAGATTGTGTGAAAAATATGTATAAAAATCTGTGTAGAATTCATATTTTCTGAATTGTCCTATAAGACACTCTAGCTTTTCGGGTGGTCTTATTGCATGCAATCTTAAGGTATTATACTGACATACCACAATCATCTAAATGTGACAAATCTCGGCATCCTATGACATCACCATACACGTCATAATCAAGAATACAGTGAATTGAAAGTGGTTCAATTTTCCCAGTACGACAAAGAAAGTCTTTTGAAAATTCCCTAGTCTCTGTAAAAAGAAGAATTTTAATTTGCTAATTTGATGTTTCTGTGTAGAGACATTTTCTCTCTCTCTCTCTCTCTCTCTCTCTCTCTCTCTCTCTCTCTCTCTCTCTCTCTCTCTCTCTCTCTCTCTCTCTAAAAAATAACAACATCGAAGTTTAAGTATGAAATATAAATCAGTCAGCCAAAATAAACGACAGTTTATAACTCCTAGCTTTATACATGCGCATTTTGATATTCTACAGTTGATTGAAAAACAATGTTTAAATTATACCAATAAAGGAGTACTGTAGAAAATTTTTTCAATTAATTTATTAAAAACTTTATTTGTCCTTTATAAATGTATAAGCATATAGTAAAAAAAATCCGCGTAGTTCAAACAGAAATTGAGATTCCGCTATATCTGTACATAAAAAATTTCAATGAATTAAAAACTTTATACCTTTATTACAATTAAAAACAGTTCAGATCTTTCTATATCTGTAATAAAAATAACCATACCTTCAGCGCATATAAGGGGTCCTATTTCTAATTTCACGAAGCTATCTTCTCCTGGACGATCTATAAATAGTTTTTGGACAGGTAGCAATGAATGGTCAGTTATAACTCCGGCATCTTCTCTTACGTCCGTAACTTCAGCACTGTATAATTCATCTAATGTTGGGTTACAGTTACATCTGAAAAAAAAAAATTTTAAGCAATTTAGAACATCTGATAGTTTTTTATATATACGAGGGTCTCCTATTTTGTACTGTGAAGTATGACCTATGTCTGAATAAATTCCTACATTTTGTTTATTGGTATGTAAAAAATCAGGTCCATATAATAAAATCTTGAAAATTTACAACGATTTTTACTATGAGGTCATGGAATTCACGGAGCAATCACTTGACGTAAGGCGACGTGACAACCCGATTTCAACCGGTAAAGTTCTATAAATCTTTCAATTCTTCAGATTTTTCTTATCTATTTTCTACTTTAAAATTGAATATCTATATCAAGACATATTACTTTTCTTTTATATAATGTCTTTTGTACTGATTCAGATATTATTGAGATCTTTAAAAAAGTCTATGCAGTTAATCGATCAGGTATGGAAACTATGCAAAACCATATAGGCGCAACGCAACGTCCATGCGATACGGGGGTATTGAAGTATCGATGGAGGCAATCATTCAAAACGTTAATCCTTCCATTCTTATGTAGCTACAACCATTTGAAAACTTGTCCTTTGTAGGTGTAGGAAATTCCCGGCAGCATCTTGAACATTTTAATCTCTTTTTAGACATTTTCCAGTCTGCATACATAATTTTTACATAAAAAATGACGTTCCGATTTTTGGCTGTGTTTTTAAGCGTTGATTTAAAAACGGCTATAAAACAGTCATATACCCTCCAATTTAGTTCAAAATTTTTCCCAGTGACGTTTCATGAATACTATAGCGGCAGGTAAAATATCATTTTGCGGTACAATTGTGCAATTTTTAATTTTAATAAAGATTCTTTGTGATGTAAACGTGCCAGAATTAGCATGCTCCGTGAAGCAAGATTTATCAAAATAAAAAAGCTGTATATTTTTCAATAATCATCGGATAGCAACAAATTCTTGTATATTAATGGGAAAAAAGGTAAAGATTTTATCTGCAAAGTTTGTTTTTAGCGCGCTCACAATAAAACTTGTCCGCGAACTTTTCTAACACCCCTCGTATATATTTCTTTGAAGCATTAGAATTTTCTGTTTAAAATCAAAGGAGTGATTGATTAAATGTTTTTTAAGTCTCATTTGAGAACTTTTCACTCCTACTGAAACACCTCCATAAACAGTTAATGAGCTTTTAATTTACTTTTAAGAATCTTTAATAGACACTAAGGCTGGAAAAACGTTTTATCATGCTGTGATCTGCGAAAAGAATATACATATACTTCCAAATGTATACATGTATATACATCAATCTCTAGGTCCACAGAGCGGTGTAACCTTTACCTACCTTGTCTTTCCTTCTTCACATTTATTGACAAAAGGGCACGAGCAAGATTTTGATGAAGGCCCCAGACTTGAATAGAATAACTGTCCATTTTTCCCTTGCCATCTGATGTCTTTTGAGTATACATAATGACACGAGATCCTTACCGTCTGGCTGCATTTATTTGTCTTTTTTAGTTTCCATATTTGTTTATCATGTGCAGTGTATCTGAGTTGTTTATCTACGATTATTAAGCTTGAGTATATTGTCTCCTCCTCGGAATGGTGTATTAATGTTTCCACAAGGACACTTTTATTTAGTTCACGAAATCGACACTCTACGATCACTGGAGAAATATCTAAAAACAACAGGATACAGATAAAACAGATCTCCCATTAATAATACCATTTAAAAGGCTTGAAATATTTTTTTTCTAAAGGGTCCACTTTAAGTACACTAAAATGATTTCTGAACTATTATTTGCAAGTAGAATTATAAAACAGTAAGCAAGGTATCCATTCAGATTTTATATGTTATGAATGACACTATAATTATCAAATTACCCCTAAAGCCAAGACTAGTCCCAGTCCCCACCAAACTCTGTAACTACCTTGTAATCCAAGACTAATGAAATATTCCTCATTCTCCTTCCGTCCAAATCCCCACCAATCTCTGTAATTACCTTCTAAGCCAATATTAACGAGATATTCCCCATTCTCTCCCGTCCAAACCCCCACCAATCTCTGTAACTACATTCTAAGCCAAGACTTACGAGATATTCCTCATTCTCTCTCTGTCCAAATCCCCATCAATCTCTGTAACTACCTTCTAAGCCAATACTAACGAGATATTCCCCATTCTCTCTCTGTCCAAATCCCAACCAATCTCTGTAACTACCTTCTAAGCCAAAACTTACTCTCTCTGTCCAAATCCCATAATCTCTGTAACTACCTTCTCTCTCTGTCCAAATCCCCACCAATCTCTATAACTACCTTCTAAGCCAAGACTTACGAGATATTCCCCATTCTCTCTCTGTCCAAATCCCCACCAATCTCTGTAACTACCTTCCAAACCAAAACTAACGAGATATTCCCCATTCTCTCTCTGTCAAATCCCAAACAACTCGTTAACTACCTTCTAAGCCAAGACTAACAAGATATTCTCCATTTTCTCTCCGTCCCAGTCCCCACCAATCTCTGCACGTCTCCTGGACATTGTCCTCACAATTCTGAGATTCATCTTCAGCGAAGAATCCACTACAGTCGATAAAACCATCACACACCTTAGAGGGGTGGATGCAGGTCTGATCGTAACATTCAAAGCCATGTTTACAACCTTCTGAAAGTAGATATATAATCATAATTTACATGTGTTAAAAATATAAAGGAATGAGGAATCGTAACATTCAAAACCAATGCATTTGTCTGTAAAGTGAACATTTTTTTTACAAAGGACGTATGTGTGATACTATGAAATCTATTTCTATATGTATTTATTCGTTTTTATTTATTTTTCCATATCGTTTTGAGAAATAAAATCTTAAAATTTGATTAAACAAAAGTTTGATTACGCATCTGGGTTGAGTTGCCTGAGTAAAATTTTATTCTATGATTTCATTTGATCTTTAATTTGATTGGTAATTTCCTATTTTTTCATCAAATAATACATTTTCATTATAAGTATAAATTTACCACGCTTTACCTATGTATGTCAGAGCAGTAATACGTTTTAAAGAAAGAAGTATATTTATAATCCAGTGTCTATCATACGCATCTTATGGTATGTAACTTAAATATTCGATTATGTGTATCCTTACCATATAAAGATTTGATGTACGTACTAATTTTGATTGCAAACGTTTTACTTCATTGTATTTTTGCATTCAAAGTTGTAAGTGAAATCATACTGAGTCTGAAAGATTTCAATTTTAATTGTTTACAGTACACATTTTTTTCATAGAATTCATTTTTTCTTAAACGTTTGCTGTAGGTAAATTATTTCATGTGTTATTTTCACAATTTCTGTAACTTTGACTTATTATATACTTTGTTTATTTTAGCTCAATGCCTTTATATCTTTAATAAAAGCTGAAAACATAACATCTGCCTAACTGCTCGGTTACTTATGATCTCTTGAAATTAAATATAAACCTATTCTACATACCACAAAATACCTCATCACTTCCATCAAAACAGTCCGTCTTCATGTCACAGCGGTCAGTTGCAGTAATACATTGATCATTCTTGCATTTCCATTCATCGTCATTGCATGGTCTTCTTACTGTGAGAAATACATTTGAATCGTAATAAGCCATAAATAGGTACCCTACTGAAACAACTTAGAAAGTCTATGCAAACATAAAATTTCGTTACTTTTCTGATCTTGTTCTTGTTTGTCAAAAAAGTTTATTGTGGAAATAAATATTACAAAGAACAAGGTACAGTTTCAATTAGGGATGTCAACGAATATTCGAATATTCGAATATTCATTCGATGAGTTGATATTCGAATGTAAATTCATGACTCGAATATTCGTTTTTAAGCATTAAAAAGAAAGAAAAACCTGGCAAGTTTCATTATAAATTGAATCTAGTTTGTAAAAAATTAAATGACACTCCTCTTGGATTACCTTAAAGGTGTAAATAGTGTATCTGTTTAAGTAATTCATTCATTTGTTCACTTAATTAGTGGTCTAATTGTGCCAAGTACTTACAATCAGCTTGTATTGTTGTAAGGACACAGTTTTCCAGTAAACACATGAATCCCTTGTTTATGTAAATATCATTAAAATAAATTATCAGGAAAGTAATCAGCAAAAAGTGTTAATTTTTCTCCATTAGTTAATTGTTCTGCTTGGTAAAAATTTATAGGAGTTATCAGTGTTGACTTTATTAAGACGGTCAACTAATTTGAAACATACCAAAAGAATCTTTAGAATTTTCAAAAAAAAATCATTACATTTTGGATGTGTACAGTACTGTACATGTACTCTTCATATAATAGATAATTAAAAATATATAATTGTGTAGCATTTATCAAACTCTACATAAGTTTTTATTCCAAGATAATGGCATAAAACCTATACTGATTGACATATATATTTTATAATGCAAGATATTTATTTTATCGAATATTCGAATATATTCGAATACTCCTATCGAATATTCGAATATCAATTATTAAAAATTTTGACATCTCTAATTTCAATAGAAATTAAGCCCGGTCTTTTTCTAAAATATGAAAGTGATATGAAAAATCTAACTTTATTCTTTCTGATTCATAGGAATTCTATGCAATAAAAATACTCAAACCGTTTTGCTCATATCATCTCCTAAGTGCTTATTGTGGCGTCATTAACTTGTGTGTTTTCCCGTATTTTCTTTATAGTTGCAGAAGACATAAATTTTCAGTGATATTTTCTTGCAGAAAACATACAGTGCCACCGTCGCCCACAAAGATTTTGAGATATGTCCTTTTTCGAAACAGTTTACATAATATATCCAAAAACGGTGGCAGACCCTATTTTCTAAAGGAAAATAAGCACAGAAATTAGTTGTTCTGAGGCTTTTCTGCATTAAACTTAGAAATGTGCCAACTTAATGACGTCATATTTCCAAAATGGTCCTAATTTATGCCATATTCTTTAATGATTTATCATATGCATCCACTCAACTCCTGTTCAAATTAAATTTTTAGGGTACAATAAAGCACAAAACTGCACCTTTTTCTTTGATAAAAAATTCAAGCAATGTCAAACAATGTAGCAAAGGATTTGTTTTAGACATTCAAATGAATTACTAAGACATGAGATCAGTGCATACGTACTACAGTCTGTTTCATCAGAGTGATCGTCACAATGGTAAACAAAGTCACAGTACAGACTAATGGAAATACAGCCTCCATCAGTACATTGAAACTGCTGACCTGTACACATGGAAGCTGTGGTGAAGAGCCATAATGCTGATTTAAACGAAAGATTATTCTTGCTTAAAGGTCAATAGAACCACCATAATATTTTTTACGAAATGTTAACTGAAAACGAAGTTGATGAAATTTCTGTAATAACAACTAATCTCTTAGACTAAATTTGATCGTACTGAGAGTATTCTCTTGAGAATCAAAGAAATTGGAGTATAAACACCATATGCAGGTGATAGCAGAATACATGCGTTGACGATGACAAGATGGAACCTTTTGTCATAAAAATTAGTGGTTACTTAATTGGCCTTTGTCAGCTATATTCAATAAAACATCCCAATATGTAGTAGGTGTGGCAGTGTTTTTATTTCACGTATACCGAATGGAATAATCTACTGTTAATTGATTAAACGTCGCCTATATAAGTAAATGTCGAGATGAAGGCCATGTCGGACAAGCGTTTTCTTCTTATGACGTTTTGGAATATTAAAACAAAATACAGAACCAAATTAAAGGAAAAAGATTAAGACCCTTAAACCATTCGTGATACCTACAGCAGTTGGACTCATCCGATCCATCAAAACAGTCCTCCATTCCGTCACACACAAACAATCTGCTGATCAGTTCTGTGTTCTCACACTGGAACAAAATGTTATCCAGCTCTGCTGACATTGAAACAAGAGTTCCATTTCCCCACCAGTTCTCTCGACTGATAGTTTCTTTAAAATAACAATATTTAATGCATATATATATATATATATATATATATATATAATATATATATATATATATATATATATATATATATATATCCAAGATAAACAAACAAGTTTACGTTTAATTTTTTACACTAAGCAAAATGGAAACATTATATATATATATATATATATATATATATATATATATATATATATATATATATATATATATATATATATATATATATAGCATCCAAGATCCGGTGACAGGTTTTAACTGCTATAACGGTCATTATAACGACAAAAGAATTTACGAAAAGCTGATTATTGACGAGAATGTTGAAACCCCTGTAACATCATCTATTTGTCTCTGTTATCTGTACCTTGCCTCAATTAACAATTTTTTTTGTACTCAGTAAACCCTTTTAATTAACGGACAAGTCGGTGGATATAACACCATGCAGAAGACAGCAGAGTATAACAAGTTATATAAAGAAGGACGACTATTGAAATGTTGCATTCATCCCGTTTGTTATAAAATTTAGTTGGTAATTAGCCTTAGACGTTCATAGTAAAACGACGTTAAATATGAAACAGATTTGACAGACTTTGTGGTGTCTTTTTATTATCTCTAGCTTATTGTGAAATATCAAGTCAATATATGAATAGAAATAACGATTGTTAAGGTATGACACTCGTGAAATGTTAAATCTAGAATTTTTTGAGAAGTAAAATTATGAAATACAAGAGGCCCATGGGCCACATCGCTCACCTGAGTAACTTGGGTGATGCAGTTCTTTACCAGATTCCCCCCCCCCTTGCTATACCTATCGTGCCCCACTACCCCCTTCCCTTTCATGATTTTAAAACTTTAGAATCTACCCTACCCCAGAATGCTTCCATATAAGTTTCAGCTTTCCTGGCCCAGTGGTTCTTGAGAAGATTATTTTTAGCTCACCTGAGCCGAAGGCTCAAGTGAGCTTTTCTGATCAAAATTTGTCTGTCGTCGTTGTCGTTGTCGTTGTTGTTGTTGTCGTCGTTGTAAACTTTTCACATTTTCATCTTCTTCTCCAGAACCACTGGGCCAATTTCAACCAAACTTGGCACAGAGTATCCTTGGGTGAAGGGGATTCAAGTTTGTTCAAATGAAGGGCTGCGCCCTTTTCCAAGGGGAGATAATCATGAATTTGTTAAAAATTAATGGCATTTTTAAAAAATCTTCTTCTCCAGAACCGCTGGGCCAGGAAAAATGAAACTCATATGGAAGCATTTAGTGTAGATGCAAGTTTGTTCATTCATGACCCCCGGGGCAAGGGTGGGGCCAAAATGGCCGTAAATATTACATAGGAATATATAGGAAAAATCTTTAAAAATCTTCTTCTCCAGAACCACTGGGCCAGGAAAGATGAAACTTATGTGGAATCATCCTTAGTGTAGATTCAAGTTTGTTCAAATCATGACCCCCGGGGCAAGGGTGGGGCCAAAATGGCCGACCCAAGTTTTACATAGGAATATATAGGAAAAAATCTTTAAAAATTTTCTTCTCCAGAACCAATGGGCCAGGAAAGATAAAACTCATGTGGAAGCATCCTCAGGTAGTGTAGATTCAAGTTTGTTCAAATCATGACCCTGGGGCAAGGGTGGGGCCAAAATATACAAGTTTTACATAGGAATATATAGGAAAAATCTTTAAAAATCTTCTTCTCCAGAACCACTAGGCCAGGAAAGATGAAACTCATGTGGAAGCATCCTCAGGTAGTGTAGATGCAAGTTTGTTCATATCATGACCCCTGGGGCAAGGGTGGGGCCAAAATAGTTTTACATAGGAATATATAGGAAAATTCTTTAAAAATCTTCTCCTGTGAGAACCACTGGGCCAGGAAAGATGAAACTCATGTGGAATCATCCTCATTTTTAATTTTTTCAAATCAAAACCCCCGGGGCAAAGATGGGGCCAAAATGGCCGATACTTGTTTTACATAGGAATATATTAGAAAAATCTTTAAAAATCTTCTTCTCGAGCACTGTGCCAGGAAAGATGAAACTCAAAATTAGGTAGTGTAGATTCAAGTTTGTACAAATCATGACCCCCGGGGCAAGGGTGGGGCCAAAATGGCATCATGTTTTACATAGTATATTAGAAAACTCTTTAAAAATCTTCTTCTCGAGAACCACTGGGCCAGGAAAGATGACATGTGGATACATGTAGTGTAGATTCAAGTTTTTTCAATAAGCTAGGATCAAACCTTTTTATAGGGATATATAGGCAAACTTTTTAAAATCTTCTTTTCAAGTACTTCAAAGCTATGATTAGTGATATTTATATGGAATCATCCTCAGGTAGTGTAGATTCTAATTTGTTCAAATGATGAACGCCTGGAGGGGGGGGGGATAAATTCAAGCCCGATGTGCTCAGGTGAGCGCTGTGGCCCCTGGGCCTCTTGTTAAAGATTTGTTCTATATATTTCTTTGTAAGACTTGGATTCCCTATTGTGGCCCCGCCCTTCCCCTGGGGGTCATGATTTTAACAATTTAATATCTACACTATCCAAGAATGCTTCCACATAATTATCATTTTAACTGTTTTGGTTAAGATTTTTAAAGCTTTGTTCTATGTATTTTATGTAGATGTAACTTTAGTGGCCCCGCCCTATCCCCGGGGTCATGATTTTAACAATTTAATATCTACACTACCCAAGGATGCTTCCAATAATATTTCCTGGCCCATCATTTCAGAAGAAGATTTTTAAAGATTTGTTCTATGTATTTCTATGTAAAACTTATTGTGTGGCCCCGCCCTGTGTGTCATGATTTTAACAATTTAATATCTACACTACCCAAGGATGCTTCCACAAAAGTTTCAGCTTTCCTGGCCCAGTGGTTCTTGAGAAGAAGATTTTTAAAGATTTGTTCTATGTATTTCTAAAAACTTGGATTCCCTATTGTGGCCCCGCCCTTCATGATTTTAATAATTCAATATTACACTACTGAAGGATGCTTCCACATAAGTTTCAGCTTTCCTGGCCCAGTGATTCTTGAGAAGAAGATTTTTAAAGATGTGTTCTATGTATTTCTATGTAAAACTTGGATTCCCTATTGTGGCCCCGCCCTACCCCCGGGGGTCATGATTTTAACAATTTAATATTTACACTACCCAAGGATGCTTTCACATAAGTTTCAGCTTTCTTGGCCCAGTGGTTCTTGAGAAGAAGATTTTTTAGTGACCCCACCCTATTTTTGTCTTTTCTTGATTATCTCCCCTTGTAAGGGGACTTGGCCCTTCATTTTAACAATTTTGTTTACCCAAGAATGCTTTGTACCAAGTTTTGTTAAAATTTTGGTTCTAAAAATAAAATGTGAAAAGTTTACAGACATCTATATTATCAGAAAAGCTCACTTGAGCCTTTGGCTCAGGTGAGCTAAAAAAAGTAGGGGTCAGAAATCATAACGGAATATAATCTCCAAGTAAAAGTATGTGAGGCTAAAGTTCCAAGAAATTAAATTTAATAAATGTGCAGAATTTTCTGTTAAATATTCTTCCATCTTTAAGAAATAGTCCCCCATAATTTTGCTTCTTTGTGGATTTACATTGTTGAATTTAAAAATTTATTTAAAAAAATTTTAATTAGAATAAATAGTTTTGAAGGAAGAGGTGAACTTTTCTAAAAAGCTGACGAGTGACATACCTTATAATTGATATGATGTATTCAGTATTTCTGAATATCGAGTTCAAACTACGTTTTCGAACTCTTTCGTCACCGCATGTAGAATTCCACTCTAAAAATTGTTTCATAGGAATACAAAAAATGATAATTATGGAGCATACATTTGAACTTACTTCTATTATATTCAACATCAATTTCGCACATGTAGCTTTGGATTTTATTGTAAGCACAAGCTGTGTCATGCCAATCATCCATTGAACGAATATTATAGAACTTTATACTGGTACATAGCTCATTATGAACCCCATTGGGTTGCCGGTCCTTAATGCTGCCATCACGAAACCTAAAAATTAAAAACAGAAAAATATTTTAATACGATATTGTGCTTAATCTCATGCACACTGAGGGCCATAGAGCAGTGATAATTAGGCAAGTGTCAAAAAATATTTGAAGTTTTTGCAATTTTGAGAAGACAAAAGTTCAAATTAGAAAAAAATAAACTAGATACGATCTCGTTGCGAGCAACGAGAGGTCTTCCGTCTGATTCAGGAAAAAAACTTGTAAAATCGAACTAAAAAGTGATTCAAAATTTTGATCACAAGGAGGAGTGAATCTAGGTCGGCAACGTGAATGCGCCTTTTTTTCTCTCTTTTCTCCCCAACGCGTGAACCATTTAGCTATTGGAAATACTGCTTTAAATATACTTGTGTATACTTTTGCAACAGTACACCTGTCTTGGCGGGCCATATTCATAATTTTGTGTCAAACGCCACGCGTAAATATTCGCACCTTTTCTTTGTACTGATCTATTAAAGAGGTGCAATAGCTTCAATGAAATTAATTAAATAAAACATTCTTATCACCTTTATTTTATTTCGGCGTTAGGAAAGTATATATAACACATTGTACACATTACATATCGTATCTAGTCCAGTAACACTAAAGCAGTGAAACGTAAATTAAGTTTTTTAAGATTGACACTGAATTGCAACGTACTACTACGTGAGAGTCCAGGTAGTTTTTTGCATTTCATGTACATTTATGTCAGAATGGTTTAATCAAACGCTCAGCTTCCTCCATAAGCCCCTACTCGCGAAATGTCGGAGTTGACAGAGACAGCCGCCATCTTGGGCCCGCTTCAGATTTTCAAATATTAATATCTAAAGTTCAAACCAATATTAAAACAACTTATATAGTAAGCATCAATAGAAGTGTCTCTATTAATAGTCCAAAAATAAATGAAAAATATTGAAAAACAAAGAAAGTTGAAAATTTGGACTTTTTGAATTGGCTTCCGGTAGCGACAGGAAGTACTGAAGACGAACGAAAAGTTGCGTCCTGGAAAGTATTGATCATCATCTATAAACTCTGAAAGTTTCACATTGATATCTTTTACCGTTTTTGATTTAATCGTGGACAAAATGTCGTTTTAAAATCAGGAAAATGGTCAAAACTTGGCACCAGAGAGGAATTTCCAATAACTGTCTTGGAACTTTCAAAGTATTTTACAACACATCTTTCCTGAAAATTTCATGTAATTCTATCCAGTAGTTGTCGAGAAATCGTGTCAGAAAAATAATAATAAGAAGAAGAAGAAGAAGAAACAGAGCAATAACTATAAGGTCTTCCGTGAAGACGGAAGACCTTAATAAAATACACATGCATTTATCTAAATAATGGTAAAATCCCGTATAGCGGTTTATTTTAGCCGGGTGCTAATTTTGGCTTATTTTGGCGTTTTGATGATAGCTAAAATTTTGATCGTTAAAATAGTCAGTACTCTTTTTAGTCTCTATCTGCAAAAAGCTGAAACCTTTCTTCTGCTAAAATAAATTGCGCAAAAAATATTCGCATACTTTCAAGCAAGCAAAAGCCAAATTTTATACCCGCCAAGAAAACCCGCAATATGGTATTAATGATGATCCAATGTGAAAACAGTTTGGAAAAAAATGTAGGTTGTCTTCCATCGGGGGGTTCGAATTCACAGCGGGATGTGGAGACTGGTCTTTCGGATAAGATGGTATAAACCGAATTCCTGTGTTGCAGTAGGCTTTGCACGAAAAAGATCTCTCACTGCTCTATGGCCCTCAGTGTGCATGAGTATAGGTATAAATTTTCAGACCACGACTGGCATATTGGAGCGTCTCCATATGAGTGAAAAAAATCTCGAGAGGGACATTTAACAACAATCAAACAAACAAAATGTACCAGGCAGTAAAAGTAAGGGGGTTCCCATCTGACCAAGTATATTTTAGTTCATCTGTTTCTTTAGAATATCTTTTTTGCAGACCTACAAAAACCAGTCAAAAGGTGAATATTATTGATATTTGACCAACGTTGAGTTTGAAAATATATCAAAATTGAAAGACATCTGACAAAAATACCAATATATATCTCCCAGTCACCGCTCACGCTTTTATGGTTGGTTACCATGTAATGTACATATGCGAGTTCTTGTTTTGAAGCTATGCTGACAAGGCTTCCATTCTTTTGAATACAGTGTTGATTTGCTTCAGACCATGTGATACCTACGTCACCTGTGAAAATTTTGTAGCAACTACCATTCCTATAGTGCCAAATTCCCGGACACCCTGTAGATGTATAATAATAAAATAGTATTAAAATAAGCCAATCAAACACAAGAAAATTATTGTAAATAATATAATGTTTCAAACATCATTGGATCATTTTCAATTTAATTATCTATAATTGAAAAAAAAGGATGACAAATGTTTCTTTATCTAATTTCGCTATATCAACCTACCTTCATGTCTGATAATTTGAAAGTTTTGGGTAAAATACACCAACTCGTAGAATCCCAAAAATCCCTGTCCAGGAATCTGGTCCGTCCTTGATCGAAATTCTATTCTCATAAAATGCCATCTAGAAGTAATAATCCTAAACGGTCTATTTTCTTTACAAAATCTTCCTATCAACTTTTGTCTTTGATTCAGGTCCGTGTCATATACCGCAATATATGAATTTGAACAGCTTGCTCCACCATTTACAATGTCTAGGTTAAGTATCGTCAGTTGTACGTATTGCCCAAATTTTCCGTCGATTTTCCATGTGGCAGAATCCCCTTTTTTATATGGAGCTGGATATAGATCAGTTGATATGTAAGCTGATTGCATTCTACACCTAACCGTACGCCCTCCTAAGGCCATTCCACACCCTGGTTTATCTATAAAAAAAAATCAAAGATATCATGCAACTGTGTATTGAGAATAAACTTAAACAAGATGACAAAATTCAATCAAAACCTACAACCGTAGTATTCATATATTGTATTTACTGTCTTTACTTCTTATGTTTTTTCATCAATACCTGATTTCGTGACCTTTATTTCAAAGATCTTTTCTAGCTGCATTGTAGACATTTGAAAACACGATTCTAGAGATACAACAACACTTCTTCTTGAGGATATAACTACTGTGTTACGAAATTTATCCTGTGAATCTGATGTAATTACAATGCTGTTGGTAGCTTCTTGTATAACTATCCGGTCTTGACACCTTCCAGGATTTATCTCGAGCATTCCAAGCTGCGATAAGGAGACGATTTAATTTTTTATTCACTAAAATCCTTCATCATATAATCATGACACACATAATGAAGATGATTTAAGAAAGTGTTTTACAGAAAGAAATATATATTGGTACTTCTATTAACATCAGTACAATGCATCAAACTAATATAAATCATTCACATGATCTTTAAAAAACTAAATAAACTTTACCGAGCTCTGACTGATCTTATTATTACCTCATTTAACTCCATTTCTGTTGTCGTTCTAGGCAGATGCACGTAAACAATTTCCAGTTTTATGAACCCTGAATCCCCGGAATGAACATTCCAAGTACAATTCAGCCCCTGTCCATAACTAAATGGAAAACCTGGCGACCTAATATATTCTTCTTCACTTTTCGATACGTCTATGAAATATGTACAAGGATTGACCTCATAAGCATCTGAAAAGTAATTTTTTGTGGCCATAGTTTATTTTCTCATATATTCTATAAGCAATTTTATATTTTTATTCATGTATAATGATAAATGGTTTGCTATATAAGTTCATATCTTTGACCCCAGAAAAACAAACACTGGGGGTACCCATAGACATTAATTGGTTTTCTTACTTGGTTTTTGACCCTTGAAATCGAAAACAATATAATAATGGCCTTTCTAGGACATACGTGGAGAAAAACTAAGAAAAGGGGTTTTATTTAAAAACTATAAATCGCAACGTGTAAATATATGTATTTGACATTTTGACATCAAACGGGTCAGTCTAAGGTCAAAGGATTTGTGATAAAACTTTCACTTACAGTGAGAGAATTAAGGCAACCTCTTTAATGAAATATTCATAAATTTATTTTGCTCCTTTTGATTTTGACTTAGGAGAAACTTTGCAACTAATGTAAAAAGGTACTTACCTTTAAAGCAGAGTCGATGTGAAACAAAATTAAGCTTTACACCCGTCTGAACCCAGGCAAACATTCTTGCAGGGTGATATCGGTCTCCCAAGCTTAAAGAACATGCTTGATCCGATGTGTACTTTTTAAAGGACAGAGAGGTGCAGTTGTTCTTCAAACAAAACTGTCTACAGCCTTCTATACTTGATATATTTTTATAAGATTGTTGTGTATTCTCTGAGTTAAGCCAGAAAGAAAACCGTCTTAATTCTTCAAATCCAAAGTCAATCGTACCATTTCTACACTTTATATCTCTCTGCACTGTAAACAAATTGAATGCATGTTTAAAGTTTACTTCATTATTCTTGATATCAAACTGTAATAACTTCTTAAATTGGGAATAATTTACATGAATGACTTAGAGAATTAGAAGAGAATACAAATTTGTTAAGACATATTTTTATCAATAAATATGGTATAAGAAAAAGCTTCTTTTTAATCATCGTATTGTAAAATTGATATTATAACCCTGCTTAGAAAGAGGTGTGGGGGGAGGATGGTGGTGGGGGTCTTCGTCTGTCTGCACGTCAGTCCATCCGTCCGTTACACTTGAGGTCACACATATCTTCTTACATAATGCCATTATGTAAGACTTATTTTACTTGATCCGACACATATTTCCCATAGCAAAACAAACCCAATGCCATTGATTCTTGAATACTGAAGGGCATCCATCTTTAGAAATAATCTTTCACAGAATCTCTATTACACAATGCCATTGTGTACTCTTACTTTTTGATTGGAAACTTATTCGTGTTATTACGGATCTCCCATTTGAAAACATGGACTTTAAATTTGCCATTACAAACAAATGGAAGTGGGTATCATTTAATGAGCTCGCTGCTCGCGGTACGACATGTTTCGGTTCAAATTTACTCCTGCTAGGTTACAAATAAATGTGTTGTTAGAGATAAATAACGATACTTTACACTGTTTTTGGCAACCAATCACTTCTGCCTTCAGACATGCCTCCTGACCCTCTGCTTGTATTGGATGTATTTTTATGTATCTTGTCAGGATTTCATTGTGCAGTAGGAAGGACTGGGGTGTGCTTATCGGTATGCTATCATCAATGTTGAAAGTCTAAAAAGACAAAAACTAGATAATGCTTCATATGATATAGATAAAACAGTGAGTTATAGTATTCAATTATACTTACGACATTATAATTACAAAAAATTAACTAAAACAATTCCTACAGGACAGACAAATGAAATTACAGGTAGACACTGGTATTAAAGAATCTTCGTGTTTATATGATGTTACACATGTGATGCAATTAACTGAACATTAGATCGTGAAGCAAAGACAACTGTTAATAGAAATTAATTAAATCGCCCGAAAAAAAAATTACATTTATTATTCATAACATCATAATCCTCAATATGTAATTGAAGGTTAAATACATATATATATCATTTTACTTTCACAATTCCAGGTGAATCTTCATATCGTTTTATCTTATTTTTCGTTACTCCGTAGGACAATTGGAATGATTGAATGTATCTGGCTTCCTTTCCTGATGTCCATCCCTGGACCGATAATCCCTGGACAACCGTCGGGACAACTAAATCAATCTAATCAACAGAAAGAAGGTGGACCATTTTATTGTTGCTTCAACAAATAGTCTATTATTAAAACAAATACCATTTCGTAGGCTATTACTTGTGCACTCGTTTTCCCGATCATAACAAGGAGCACACGGCGGATGTGACCGATCAGCAGGGGATGCTCACTCCCCCAGGGCACCTGATCCCACCTCTGATGATTTAGAGGTTCATGTTTGATCTTTTCTCGATATGTACTGTTTCATTGGATTTTTGTTCGTTATCTTCATTTTTACCTAGATTTTGAAATAAAAGTATTTAACACATTAGTTTTAAATATATTTTTTCATTGACTTTAACACATTCTAACTAATAAAACATATTTTGACAATCATGCTTGAAAGTTTCCTTTTTTCTGTCACGTGATCCTGGACTTAACAGTCTAAGCCATAAAACATAAAATTTATTAGATTCATATTATAACAAACCATAAACCATGGCGATCTTTCTGTTTTCTGAGCACACCATCCTGGGTTTGGATGATACAGTCGTCCTCGAAGTGGAAGAGGAAGTATTTGTCCACTCTCTTCATTTATAGACGAGGCTTCTAACTGATAGTCATAGATGTTACCTGAGGCCATACCCAAGGGCCTACCACAAGTTGTCTCTGCAACCCACAATAATTCATGTAATAATTCGCTTATAACTTTGCTTGCAACTCTTAATAGTGGAATTGTATTACTTTGACTATACTGTATAAAAGTGTCGGATGGGGCAACTATGCAACTGCCATTTCTCCTCATTCTATATGTCTGAATGTTACGGTATTTGGACTGCGTGGTATATCGTAGCACGCAAAATAACTTCTCAATGGAAGTTTTCAATCTTTTTTAATCCCAAGTCCGACATATAATTCCTTTTATTTACTCAGAATGTCACATGCAATTTACATTACAATGTCTTTTTTCTTCAATATAAATGTAGCACTTTGGGCTGTACGGACCGTTGATATCTGCCTGTGTAGCTATAGCTCAGTGGTAGAGCACCTGATTAGTAAAACAGGGGTCCCTGGGTTTGATTCCCGGGCCAGACAAAACTTTTCTATGCATTTCTTTTCTACTTCTATATTTGATGTCAAGTGTGGGGGCCTTATGCAGATTATTTGTAGTTAATAAATATATGGAGATAACGAACAGTATTCAAGCTAAAAAGTCCATTAAACAATGCAAAATAGGACCAGAGCAAACACAGACCTCCAAAACATCAGACACGGGGTCAGGTGCCATGGATGAGTAAGCATCCCTTGAATAAGTAATCCTGACATTGCCTGTGAACTTGTGTCGTCGAGGTCGGATATAGTGATAACCCCAGGACTCATAACAAAGTTTCAACAAAAACTAAACTCGCCTTGGTTTAATTGATATATTGCAGATAAAAAATAAGTTAAACGTTATTTGTTAAAATCTGCACTGTTCAGGCTTCTGTATGGTATTACATACAACTTACATACGATGTCATAAAACGTGAGAGCCTTGTCACGCCTGGTTTGAAGAGGGTATAAACCATGCACTGAAAAAGTATTTGCACCCGTCCCTTACAGTATCATAGTTATAGAAGTATAATAGTTTTCAAAGTGTATTATTAAGCCTTAGAATGAGAGAGGGTATATTCACCTTTTCCTAGAATTTTAATCTCGTTGATTTCCATTTTGAAAAAGTTGCCTGGATTATGGTCTGGATGTGTGAAATCAAAGTTCCGTATGGTGACGTATTGACCCACCACCGGACGCCTGCACTGATACCGGAACACTCTGGAGTATCCTGGGAGTCTGATGTCGTCACATCGAACAGCGCCATAGTTTATGAAATCCCACGGATTCTTACTGACGTAGGTCCCAAGGTATCGCAGATTATGAGGCATGTAAGCTTGATGAAAACAATGATACGCATGGGGTAACAAAAAAATTCGAAATAATAATATTGCGTGTGTGTGCTTATTCCTTAAATTCAGTTGCTAAATTTCAATTTTCTATTGTAAGTTAAATATGTTGATACATTAATGGTCTAGTAGATGTTCTTTTAATCTTTCAAAGATCACCATTGAATTTTTTTTTTATCATATACATGTATGACCACAACAGAAGAATCATGATAAAATGTTTAGAAAATTCGTATATTACGTTATGAGCATATAATTATTCGAGACATTTTAATGATATAATGCATGTTGTAAATTTAAAAAATGCATTTTATTTCAAAGAACACAATAAAATCTAACAGAATACTAATGCGGAATAAACTTACTACTAAGACGGTAAATAATTATAGCGTGAACCTCCACGTGTTCCTGAAGATTGATTTGAAACCATGGCTTCATCATGGGTCGCTTTGAAATAAATGAGTTCAGGGTATCTGCATTATGATAAAAAATATATTTATATAACACAAAATTAGATCATCTTCATTGTGGTATCATAAAAAAAGTCATCATTTACCTATCGAACCATCAACTGCATAAATTGCCTCGAAGTTTTCGTCATGTTGAACACTTTTATAAGATGTAAACTTTCCATATTCCTTCAAGTTTTTATCCTTATCTAAAACAGATTATAGTATCATACCCAACAACAATTTTTTTTCATAATTAATAAAGAATAGAGCGCTATGTTTAACAGCCCTTTTTTTTATTTTACCACAGATTTAAGGCATTAAACTCACCACATTTTCTAATTATGCAGTATTGTCTCCAGTTTGGTAACTTAACAATGCAGAATGGTTTCCCCGATTTGTATGTATAATACTGGTAAGCTCGACAGTAATTTTCATCGAACTCATGATACGCCTTCCTGCTGTTCTTGAAAAGTTCAAAGCTAGATTTTGTCCAAGGTAAGCAGGCTTTCCCTTTCTTTGAAACATTGGCTCTTCCGTTGTAAGAATTTCCAAAGTCCATGTCAAAGTAGCACTCACGGCGCGCTGTAATAAACAAAATTCTGGCCACTCATTCCTATCATAGTAGTGTAGCTTTCATAGAAAAATAAATTAATTTGTATGTGTTCTGCAACATGTCTGTACAAAGTGCATCACCGCACAATCATATTGATAATATATATGTATTTTACTTTCGAAATATTTATAGATAAGTCACCAAAAATAGTGCTAAAAAGATACCAAACCAAATAGATTCCACATATTGAGCTTGTAACAGTAAATTAAATGAGGTCATATACATGCAGCAGCATACCAAAGATTTACCCAAATTAACATTTGATATTTTATCGAACACAAGTTTAAAATCTTTTATATCATATAAAAGCAATGTATTACATATAATTACCAAAAGGTTCGTAGTAGCAATAGGCCACGCCTACAGATTCATTTAATGCTGTTTTGTTAAAGAACGGTAACACTCCTTTGAAATTCCACTCATCGTTTTCATTGGTCATATACAAATAGTCCCGCTGTACGATCATAGACTCCACCTCCTGACAAGAATTAGCTGATGAACTCTAAAAATCATACCATACTCAACGCATGAAGATTAGTATGGATCAAATCTATACATTTAATGAAACATTACCATTGATAATCCTGCAAGCTTTAGTAATTCTTATCGACTTACCTGGAAAAGAACAAATGGAAAGTCTGATGGTAGTTTTATTGGTGCCTGGGTATCGCCATCTTCTCTACAGCAGAACTGCAGCATGAGACTCATATTGCTTCCGGTCTCCCCTGGAATAACGCCCCCTATATCCTGTTTTGTAAACTGATAACCGGATATTGTCAAGCTGCCATTAGAAAACCCTGTAAACAAATAAACAAACATCGACTACTCATTTTTAATTCAATTATATTTACAGTGCACAGTAAGAAAATGCAATGTATTCTATAACAAAAACCGACTAGGTTAAATGTTTAACTTTATTGCTTGGATAATAAAGTAAATGTAATAAATAAAAAAAACACATATATACCCCTTTTCAATTCAATTCTTTCAGTTTATTAATATATCAAATAATCCAATATGCCCCATCATTTAGAATAATTCTAAAATTACAGTGTTAACGAAATATATATGATCAGAGAGTTTGCGAACTATCTCTATATTTACAAAACGTTCATTCAGATCAGAAAGAAACTTTGCCATATAGGGTATAGTCATATGCATGTTCTATAAACATTATATGTAATGTAATGCTTTGCTCATTATTGTGAGGTCACAATGTGAAAATGACGTCAATATGTAGATCCCTTGTGACAAACATTAGTTGACTCAGTCGTGCTCGAGCAAGGAACGGCTGTAAATTTTAACGTGATTAACTTGGGAATTCCTTTGCAATGGTAAATATTAATCTGTACACTGTTTATGAAGATAAAAGACTTGCCAGAAGTTCAATATATTTGATTGATTGTTTTAGAAGGCAGGGAGATGGTTAAAAGGATGTTTGGTCTCTTACCCAATGAAAGCAAGTTGGTGAAGAGATGTGGCCTTTGTTACAGAAATGTTAGAAATGTGTTATGATACCACAGAATCTGACACACCTGTTTCATACTTGGATATTTAACTTGAAAAAGACGTTAATGGCAATCTAACAACCAACCTCTATGATAAACGTGATGACTTTAACTTTTCTTTCGTCAACTTCCCTTACTTATACAGCATTATACCTTCATTACTTGTATATGGAGTTTATATCTGTTGATACGGTACGCAAATGCATGCATGCTCTTCGTATGAAGAATTTCTGAAACGAGGTAAATTACTAACAAACAAGTTGATGAAACAAGAATATCAGCAGTCTGGTTTAAAGTCATCATTTCGTAAGTTTTATTGTCGATACAATGTAAGCAAATACAATTTGTCGCTGAGTCTAATGCTGACTGACGTTTTATACTAATTGTTAGTCCATAATTCATACACTAAATTTACGACGAATTTTTCTGTTATTTTCCGATCATGACAAGGAACAAAGGCAGAAGAGACCGGTCGGCAGGGGATGCTCACTCCTCTATGGCACCTGATCGTATCTCTGTTATTTTGTAGGTCTTTGTTTGCTCTGCTTCTGTTTTGTATTGTTTTATGGACTTTTGATGTTGACTACTGTTCGTTATTTCCATATGTTTCATAATGAAAGATCGCCAATTTACAGTTGTAGTTGAATATCTTAACAATAATATACTGATAAGCAAATTAAACAGGGTAACAAAGAATTTGCGAAAAATGTTTGACTGCAAGACCGAAATTACGAAAACTGGAATCTTGCTGTTAGTGCATTAAAACCAGTGCTCAGAATTACTCAACTATGAAACGTATTACGCGACGCAGGGAAAGTGGTTGAAAGTTAAAAACACGTTCATGGTAATATCATAACAAAAATTGCTTTAAAAATAAGATTCTAATATATTTTATGGATTTGCACTATTCGGCTTAGAGAGATAGCAGATACGAGCGCTGAGGATAAGATAAATCTACTTACTGGTATATGAAAAGATGGATTTGGTTAAAAGGAATTAAAGATGCAGACCGATGGGAGCTTAACTTTAATCTGGACAATTCCCAGAGATAAATCATTTAGTCGGACAAAGATAACGAACGCGAGCTCTAAGGATAAAAGTAATTAAAGAAATATTAAAATATGCTTATAAATGTAGCTCAGTGGGACTTTTTTGTCTCTTTCTGGTTGCAGTGCAACATTAAAACCAATTATAAGTAGTTATATTTCTAATAAGCTATATTTTGTAAAATTATTTATTGAAATTATAAATATTAGAAATAGATTGTTTAATTATAAAGAGTATTATACAGGTTGGGTAACACGCAGGGAACCTGTAATGCGCTGAAATGTGCAGGAAGAGGATAAATAAATCCGAAAATCGGATAAACTTTGTCTGGTCAGGACCAGGGAATTGGAGGAAGGTTTTCCCTGGCCCTTCAAACACGTTCATGGTAAGACAAATAATAGAAAACCCAAAAACAAATTTACAAAACAAATAGAAATCCCAAAAACAAAAATTTCCCCACAAGAACATTTTAATTGTTACGAAAGTAATAATGACAAGTTTGTCAACGTTCTTGTAACAATTGATGCACTTGAAGTATATCTTTTCTCAATTAACAATATTATTTTTATAATCAATAGATTTAATCAAAAATTGACTTAATTTTGAGTGTTAATCCACATAGCATATCGCAAAAATAGTTCCTGGAATAATTGTTATCTATTTTTCGTTTTTGTCTGACGAGATATTACTACCAATGTTTACAAACAGACTTACCTTGAGGGCATATGCTGCTGAAACTGTATATACAGTACTGCCCTTTGGGCCACTCAGATGATGTTTCATTGTCATCTCCTCTATCACTAGTTCGATTTTTCACACAAAAGTTCATTTGAATAGCATGATAATAGTAAGGTCCCAGTATGTTTGGCTCTATGATGCCATTGAGGAGGTCTGGGTCTTTAATGTTCCAGTACTGTCGTTGGGCGGAGTCCGGGAGAGTCAGGTTAATGTAAGATAAGGTCCAACCCCTGTCCTCAGTCTCAGGACAACCGAACATTGAGGCAGGGAGGGCGTATGTCCCGTCTGGCCAGTTACTGTTCTGAAAACCTGCACAAAAAAGATGTTATTTCAATAGTTTACCTTGTAAAATACTGTAAAACAATCATGTTAATGTACAAGAAACAAAAAAAGTAAACGACAACTGCATGTTATAAGGAATATTGAAAAATATAGAGATAACGAACAGCCTCAAGTCCATTTTAACAATACAAATCAGAAAAAGACGGATATCCAAAACATGGGATCAGGTGATCACATGAGATTAGTGAAGATTCTCTGCCAACCGGTCACACCCGACGTGTGCTTCCTGTCATGACCATGGAATAACAGAGAAGTCCGTAGACTAGTCAATGTGTAAATAAAGGAAGATGGGAAATGCAAAAATCTAGATGTAGAGAGCAAACCATCCTTATACAATTCAAGTGAATATTTTTATGATTTTGACACTTATAATTTATGAAATACTAAATATTGGTTCTGATTACATTGACCTGTGATATGCAATTAAGATTTCAATGATATTGAGAAATCAATCGACACCATTAAACAAAAGACCCATTGACCTTACCGATTACCCAAATAATACAGATAATACAATATAGTAATGAAAATGTGAAGATAATGAATAAATAATTTTCGTTTGACATATTTCTTCTACGTGTTATTTCACATGGTCGCCATCTTTGTGGTCAACCTACAAATTTTTCCTCTTTGTCTTACCAAATTTAAATGGATGAAGCAGAAACATTTTGGGGAAAATCTTTATGGAATAAAAATTATGAAAAAAGGAGGCTCTAACATATGTATAATTTTCAGAAAAACAATGCCTCCTATTCCACAATCGCCAGTATATAAAGTTTAAGTGGGTTGAATAATGAAGGAATATGAGCATGTTGACCATCAACGGGAAATAGCCTTGTTTATTTGGACCCGCTGAAAACTATCTATAGTAATCGATCTTTAAAAAGCCTAAAAACAATATAGATAGGTGAAAATGGCAAACGACAATGATCCCTGAAAATTTTAAAAGTAGAATTAGCTGTCTAGGGGGAGTAATTATCCTTAGCTGACCAGTCAAACCTGCCATTAGTCTGATCAGTTAGAAGGAAATTTCCGTAGTCAATTTAGTACAAAAAACAACGGTCTAACAATTGGTATGAAAAATGCCATCCAAAATTCGACCCCATCAATAGTCAGCTTTCCTTATTTACGAAGCGATAATCCCAATATCACCTGCTTATAGTATTATTGTGTTTATGCCTCCTATCTTGGTTTTAGCTCCATTCTTCAACCCTCGAGGTGGTATGGATTATGAAAGTCGCAATTGTGTACCTTATTACCATTAATGACATATGCTAAGATTGGCTGAAATTCAGGAATTTAATCTGTAAATGTTAAATTTTCATTTGATACTGTATATGATTTTCAACGCCATTTTAAACAGCATTTTTAAAATGAAATATACGATGTTTGAAAGAAGATTATTCAATGATTTGGATACTCACTCTTTTCGCAGAAAAATCCAAAATAATCTTGTGGACACACACATCGACATGTTGTTTGATCGAGTAATCCTTTATTTTGACATTTAACAAATGGACAAACTGAAAAAAAAAATATTCATAAGAATTATTGCAACATCCTGTTAACCTATAAAGAGTCCAAGCAATAATAATAACTGGTGTTTATTTATTTAATTTAGATGGCTATTCTTGCAACAAGTTTTGGTGAACAAAGAAAAACTGCTGCTTCAAAATTTGTCAACTGAATAACAGTGTGCTAATTTCAAAAAATCTAACTTGAATTATTAATTTATCCATGTGTTTGAATTTAATAGGATAATTTGAGAATTACATTTAGGTCATGAAACATTTATGTTGGAAGTACAACTGTAAAGAAACATTTTTTTTACCTGGTTGCTCCCATTCGGATACAATGTAGGTCGCTCTAAGATGGAAAAGTCCAAAGATCAAAACCACTGTCAGCATTGCAACACAAAATCTGTAGAAACTAATCGGAACATTTATCTTGCTGCTGAGGGCAATTTGTCGTGTATTTGAATGAGATAATAGTCGGATGATTTCATGTAATATGCTGTTTGCATTAATAGATCTTGGAGTTGATTAGTATTATAGTCGTGATATAGCAGTCCCATAGAGGAAAGAGATTCAAAACATGATTTGATAATTAGTTCAAATTGACTTTCAAAGTGGCATTGCACATGTCTTATACAAGCATGAAATGAAACATATGGAGATTACGAACAATATTCAAGAAACATTTTCCATTGAAGATGTAAGGACAAAATTATATTTGTTATAGATTTTGACAATGACTGTTTCTAATGCCGTGTGCAAACATTTTAAAATTCCCCATTTATCTACGCATTTTCTCCAATGAAAATTTGATATTGAAACATTATTAATGTAATTATACATAAACATTCAAGTGAACATTTATACTTACATTTACAAAATATAATCGGGACTAAACCAATTTTCTTGTAGCTGAAAAATATGCAAATCACGGCAGTGTTTCTTAGTCACATGGCTCATGTTGCATTGAATGAACCAATATCACACAGTGGCCAAGTCATTTACTTTCCGCATGACGATTTAATTTTACATATGTAACTAAGTTACGTTGAATACATAGAACAAAATATGTGATGGTCACACTTTGTATATCAGATTATTTTTTTTTCTTAATTTTTTAAATTGATCTTGTCGCCTTTGTGAAAAAAATTTATCATGCGACTTTTTTTACTATTGATTCTCCATAACCATTTTTTTTTCGATAACTCACAAAAATTCTAAACTTGACCACAACATTTATTTCAAAATATAATTCAAATATTTTTTTTTATTTTTTCTTTAATTAAACTAATAACTCAAATGCTGATTGATAAAATATCATTTTAAAAAACATATTTTTTAATTATAGTTTGGTTTTACATGTTTAATTCATCCTGAAAAAAAATTATTCGTCTCCATAAAATTAACAAAACAAGAGGCCCAGGGGCCACAGCGCTCACCTGAGCACATCAGGCTTAAATTACTCCACCCCCCCCTCAAGGCGTTCATTATTTTAACAAACTAGAATCTACACTACCTGAGGATGATTCTATATAAATATCACAAGTCATAGCTTTGAAGTACTTGAAAAGAAGATTTTAAAAGGTTTCTCTATATATCCCTATATAAAACTTGGATCGGCCATTTTGGCCCCACCCTAGCCCCGGGGGTCATGATTTGAACAAACTTGAATCTACACTACCTGAGGATGATTCCACATGAGTTTCATCTCTCCTGGCCCAATGGTTCTTGAGAAGAAGATTTTTAAAGATTTTTTCCTATATATTTCTATGTAAAACTTGGGACGGCCATTTTGGCCCCACCCTTGCCACAGGGGTCATGATTTGAACAAACTTGAATCTACACTACCTGAGGATGATTCCACATGAGTTTCATCTTTCCTGTCCTAGTGGTTCTGGAGAAGAAGATTTTTCTTATATATTCTTATGTAAAACTAGGGTCGGCCATTTTGGCCCCACCCTTGCCACAGGGATCATGATTTGACCAAACTTGAATCTACACTACCTGAGGATGATTCCACATGAGTTTCATCTTTCCTGGTCCAGTGGTTCTTGAGAAGAAGATTTTTAAAGATTTTTCCTATATATTCCTATGTAAAACTTGGGTCGGCCATTTTGGCCCCACCTTTGCCCGGGGGGTCATGATTTGAACAAACTGAAATCTGCTCTACCTGAGGATGATTCCACATGAGTTTCATCTTTCCTGGTCCAGTGGTTCTGGAGAAGAAGATTTTTAAAGATTTTTCCTATATATTCCTATGTAAAACTTGGGTTGGCTATTTTGGCCCCACCTTTGCCCCGGGGGTCATGATTTGAACAAACTTAAATCTGCTCTACCTGAGGATGATTCCACATGAGTTTCATCTTTCCTGGCCCAGTGGTTCTGGAGAAAAAGATTTTTCCTATATATTCCTATGTAAAACTTGGGTCGGCCATTTTGGCCCCACCCTTGCCCTGGGGGTCATGATTTGAACAAACTTGAATCTACACTACCTGAGGATGATTCCACATGAGTTTCATCTTTCCTGGCCCAGTGGTACTGGAGAAGAAGATTTTAAAAGATTTTTCCTATATATTCCTATGTAAAACTTGGGTCGGCCATTTTGGCCCCACCCTTGTATATCATTTGAACAAACTTGAATTACACTACTTGAGGATGCTTCCACATGTGTTTCATCTTTCCTGGCCCAGCGGTTCTGGAGAAGAAGATTTTTTAAAAATGCCATAAATTTTTCACAAATTCATAATTTTTTCCCCTTGGAAGGGGGCGTGGCCCTTCATTTCAACAAATAATTCCCCTTCACCCAAGGATACTTTGTGCCAAGTTTGGTTGAAATTGGCCCAGTGGTTCTTGAGAAGAAGATGAAAATGTGAAAAGTTTACGCCGACGCCGACGACAACGACGACGACGACAGACGACGGACAAATTTTGATCAGAAAAGCTCACTTGAGCCTTCGGCTCAGGTGAGCTAAAAATATTAATGCTACAATTTAAATGATTTGTTTCAATGTCGTCATTCAGTGCAGAGATAGAGAGTAGAAGAATAAAACCTTTTAAACAAGCATGTCGAATATTATACTCACTGTTTACTTTGTTATGGGTGATTTATTTCACAATTGGACTTTATTTGTATTAATTCTGTGCGTGCTATGAACTTTAAATAAGTGCTCTTAAAATGTAATGAATGAGTGTACTATTATTTAGGACAATGCTCAAGTAAGTGTGTCATATTTTCTTGATCATGACACGATTACAAACAATAAACACTTTTAATACAATGTTTATAATTCTTTCATTTTGTTACCAGTACAAATGAAAATACCTCTCACGTGCATTGCTTATTTTTAGTGGGGTTTTTTTCAGTGTTAGTGTGTGAAGCACTGACTTTTTACAGTTGACGATTTCTTTTAACAATTTACTTCCCAGACGTAATCTATAACAACATATCAACTAACATCACTAGAAAAAAAATAAGGCAGCTGCCAAGGATGGGGCCCTGACTAAGCTCCTTCTAAACAATGATAATTATGTCCCTATAACATCACGCAGGATGTTATAAATTATATAGAAAAATTAAGAGTATAAATATTTTCAAAAAAATATATTTATACAGTATACATCTTGAATTAAGGTAAAGATTATAATTTCAGTGTAGTTGTCAACCAAGGGAGCCATAAATACGTTTCACAGTCTATTCATTCCCCCCTTTTTGACAGCACTACTGGAAGACAGGTCCCTTCCCAGTAGTATTTATACAAGAATAAATAATTTTCACATTATTTTGAAAAGATTTTGAAAATTCCTATGCTCGGTGTTAACGTCAAGAAAGCGTAATACTGAAGTGTAGAAACATATTTATTTTTTTTACATGATTGTATATATTGTATTCAGTTTTACTTAAGACTCTAATCTACATAACAATTTATGTTTATAAATTCTATATGCCACAAACGTAATATTATGTAAATTTAGGGATCTAAGTTTATCATTTTTTTTTTCATGGAAAAAACAACAACAATATGTTTCCACTGAACTTTAAATGATAAAAAACTGCTTATAGTATTTCATATATTAGACACATTATCAAATTCAAAAATAAGATGTTTCGCATTTTCTATTTTGTTACAATGTACACATATAGAAGATGTATCTTATTTTCACTTACTCACATAAGCATTGTTACATATTATATTATTCAATAATTTGTAGCTAAATTCTGCTATGTGTCTATCTCTTATGTCAATAATTTTACATTCATAAATATTTTTCCAACTCGACTCCTCAAATATTCCAAAATCTTAAGATAATATTGCTTGGGCATTTTTACACCCTGTATCATGTACGGAGGCTCAGAATTGATATTAGATGAGGAAACCTTTCTATCGGTCATAGGTATGATGCTAGGGGCCTTAACATGTGAAGTTTGGGGGTTAAGGGTTGGGTGGTTGTCGTTTTCGTCCTAAGCAACTTATTTGTGCTTTGAAATACCCACTTATTTTCGTTTAATTTCATTTTGCGCAAAATATTTATATGGTAAAAGAGCTTCCGTACATTGTCTTAGTGTAGAAGTAACCCGACAACTGCAAAAGTCGGCGATCCTCGTAAAAGTCCATTAATCGTCCAGGCTGACTTTCGTCATTGTCAACTTGCACATTTCTGTTTAAGATCTCTGTTAAACAGCAGTAATAGACACCCGCAAAATTTCCTTTAAAATAACGAAAATTGTCAATCCTTCAAAATAACTTGTTTTACAGTAATTATAAAGTCTAGAGATAGACATCACATTAATTTCAAAAGAAGAAAAAAAACATGTTCCTTGTGTTTAAAAGCTTCCTTGCTGGAGGTTTGGTTGCTATTTAAGGGGGCTGACCGTGGTTTTATTGTGTGAAAACTATAATAGCGAAACTCTTCATTTTATATCATATTTAACTTACATTATCTACAGTGTACATGCCAAGTTTGGGGGAAATTTACCGTCCAGGTATTTTGAAGGACCGTCTCAAAATACTGGTACATTTACAATAGGATTATATAGGAAAATGCCAATTTTTAGCACTTTAAAGCAAATTATACAACTACTACAATAGACTTTTTGTTCAAACTATAACAATTGATGAGTAACACTATATTATACAATATATGTAAGAAAGACAAAATTCCACCGTCTTTTTACCGGAGGTGGCATCTAAAATGCCAAAAATTAATAATTTTCCTGTTTTTATAGAGTACTACAGAATATGAAGGGCACTAAAGATTTCTATGAAAACATAATGAATATAATGGAGATATACTCGAATTTCTATGTTATAAATTTCAAGAGCGCATATTTCTTACTTTTTCTTTAATAACATTTTTATTACCCCTTTCTGTAAGAGCTTCGGGTGATCATAACGTCAAAAACACACTGTAATGACGTCATCCTACCTATCAATTGCAAAATCGGTTAAATAATCAGTTATATAAATTTGCAATTACATTTTTATACCTATAATTTCTTAAATTTGTTTAATTTTAAGAATTAAGTGAGAAAAGTTGCTTTTAAACAGTAAATACGCTTCATTTTACTATGATGCGCGAAATATTGCGCAATGGAAACCATAGTTGGCCCCCTTAAGTAAAGTGTTTAAGTCATTTTTAGGAGTTTATTAACTACATTCAATGGTAAAACAGGGGGAGGTGTTGACCCGTGACACATTTCCACCAAAAAACAAAGCTGAGTCAATCCGGTAACCCTATGCCAATCAGATTGTTTATTGTATCGAATATTGGTCGTATAAAAATGATAACGTCATAAAATGTACGAAAATGATTTCAACTGTGTGTTGTGTCACTTTGGTGATTTTTCAGCATTCTCAATGTTATTTCTCCTAGTTGTTTCATGTCATTTCGTATATTCTCGTCCATTGCAGTTTCATGTGGTTCTATTTTTATAGATAGATCCTTAATTTCCTTTGAAAAGATAAAAAAATAATATAGTATGAAGCAATTATGAAAGCTACGAACTTTAAGTTATACAAAAGGATGGAGTATACTACTAGCAATTTATAAACTAAAAAAGACATGCAGGTCGATTGGTAATTTAAACGTATACTGAATGCAACCTTGAAAAAAACCCATTCAAATCTATTCTTGGAGCTGGTAAAAGGAATACACTTATTGCTATGCTTTGTGAACTTGGTAGAGTACATGTACCAATGTATTGTTCAATAATCTAAAGTTTAATATCCTATTGACATATATTAGAAAAATTATTTTTAGAATGGGTAGGAAAAGAAAATAGTGCAGAAAAAAATTACAAGTTCCTTAATTTGCAAACATGTATAAAAATTTGAAGTTGTACTTAATGTAGCCTCATATTTGTTGATAAAGAGTATTTTCCTAACAAAATAGCTTGGTAATTATAATTTATCAAGAAGATTATTTTTTGTATTATAATGCCATAGAGAAGTCTAGAATTCCCCTACTTTCATTTTTATAGGTTCCCGCAGACAGACGCATTTTGCCAGAAAACGAATCTGACATGCCATCTTCAGATTTTTACCAAGGAAAGACAACTTGATGTGCTTTGATTTGAGGGGTCACACACTACTGAACAAAAGTAAGGGACATCGCTATGAGTTGAAACGTTAATATTGTTGTCTATGTGAAAACTAGTGGTTTGAAACCATATGCCAGAATCATCTTTATTACATTGAGCATATGATGAATTTAAAAATCTTAAACAATCTGACATCAATAATAGGTAGAATACTATTTAATTTTCACGAACAAATTATACCTAAATTTACTTATCTGTAAAAATTAAATATGACCATGTTTAAAGGATTACCCAGAAAACTTATCAAAAAGCATTTTTGCCAATACTAGAATACAATACACCACGAAGGCCAAACATATGAAAAACTCAAATATAATCTATGCTTTTAAGTTTCCTTTTTTTACACGTAAGATCTACCAAGAATTAAACATACATGTAGCAGATATGAATATACAAATGTTAATGGGCAAAAGATTGCTTTAGAAAGATAATGAAGAGAGGAAAACTTTCTTCCTCTTCCTCAGCGATTATGTGATTTTTTTTTATCAAAATTCTTCATTAGGAGAACAAAAACCTCTTGAAAATATTAGAAAAATGTATTTCTAATTCAGCTGCTCTTCAGTCTACTCCTTAATTTAAATCATATGTAAATTGTATTTTTTACGCTCTACTTTAGCATTAAGCTTTAAAGATGCATTATCATAATAATGTACTATAATACCCCCTACTAGTACTACAATATATGCATCATCTATACCTAAACATGTTTATGTCTGTAAAAGTTCTCTTAGTTCACCTATATTTTAGGCCTTCTTATGTTTATTTCCTTTATGCCAATATGGACACTGGATTAGTAATAAAACATGTCTTATGTTATATTTACCCCATCCTCAACATCCAGTGAAACAAGACTCGTATCCAAACACCCGTGAACTAGGTCACGATCATGAAGAAACTTCATAGCCTCAGACAATCTTAGAACGACAAGCTTAATTTCCGGTAGTGTAAGAGTGTGATTCCTCATGTACTCAGACAAGGTGACAAAAAGGGGAGCATTTTTACCAATTATAAACAAATCATTCTCACAAAGTTCTGTATAAGTCTCTGTCGCAGCTGAAAATCATAAATGACATACAATTGGTTGGTTTACAAATTGTTTTCTTTTCGTAACAGAGACAAATGCAACATTTGAATTTGAATTTAATGAAACTTGATTAATTTCTTTTTAGCAAATCAAAGAATGAAAATCTTATGGTTTCAAACTAAAGCAAAAAATAACTGACTGTCGATTTACGCACAATGAGTTCCAGAAACTGTTCTCTTTTGGGATAACACCGCCAATTCAACCTACCAAAAGATTTTTCACTAATGAAATATACGATGATAATCAATAGTATTTAAGACCGTCTATTCAAACAAAACAAATCAGGAGCAGAGCAAACACTCGAAACATAAGATGTGGGATCAGGTGCTATGAAGGAGTGAGCATCCCCTTCCGACCATCAAAACCGCCGTGTGCTCCTTGTCATGATCGGTTAAATAAGGAAAACTTCGTCTACAGTTTAGTGTACAAAAATGGCCTAACAATTAGTACGAAAAAAAACTCTGTTAGAATTTTACTTTGATGATACTGTATTTGCTGACAAAGTCATTGTATCACTATAGAATGTACAGAATTATGAAAATGATTATTTCAATAACACGGAAAAACGAATTTAAATGATTTGTAGATGTAACAATTAAGACTATAAAAAAAATTCTGTTCGTTTTCTAAGGTCTTTAAAGACGATTTTACTCACCCTGCTCCTTATACTAGAAAATGAGTACAAAAATGGATTCAAAGCCGAATTAATAGGAAGAATAAAGACGGCAACCCATGTATATACTTCGCCCGAAATCACGTGTCCATTTAGTGCCAGCAGTCCTAAAATGAGTAAGTTTAAACAACAAATGTAATGTACAGTTAATTGGTCAAGTAAATGCAATATTACACAAGAATGAAAAAAGATAAGTGGAATTGTCACGAGTTTTTGTCTACCCATAATTCCAATAGGACACCAACAGAGGCAGTCAGACAGAACTATCAAGAATAATCCACGAGCGATGACCATTTCATGGGTCCTTCTGGTCGAATTCACCTTCGAAGACGTATTTGATATCTCTCTGTATATTAAGCATTGTCCCAATGCAATAATTAGAAAGAGGATGAAATTGAGTATGATGAAGATTGCTGTGGAGTATTCCCACCCTGCAGGTCTGTCTCTGGTTAAAGGTAAAGCAAGGCAGACGACAGAGCGGGAGTAGAACTTTTGTTTGAAGTATCTACCTGGTATCAATGGGATTGCAGACAACAAGACGGTTGCACTCCACAGGATCCCAATACAATAAAGAGCTCGGGTTCTAGAGAACCTTAATTGACCAAAGGGAAATTTGACAGCTATAAGACGATCAATTGTAATAAGGCACAACAGAAATACTGACATTTCACTCGAGATAGTTGCGAGCATGCCGGCTATTTGGCACGCTGTACTCTCCCTCCATCTTACATCATTCCAGATGTATTTTCCCCGATAATACTGATCAGCAGATGCAATAATTATCAAGTAGATTCCCATTAAAAAATCTGATACACTTAAATTTGTGATAAAAATTCCGTGACTTTTCTTTAATGTGTGAGAGTCAAAACGTACTTTGAAGATGAAAACTCCTAGATTTCCGAATAAAGAACAAAATCCAGTGATCCACATGAATGTTGAAAGGATATCATTTCTCATCAGGTCATCACAGGATGAGAATTCATCGGCAGTTGGTAAGCATTCCTTTACTGATGTAGGTTTCAGACAACAGAATGCATACGAATCTGTATATAGTTTTTGAAGTTTAAGAAGCCCATTAAAGATTTGGGATGAAAATTGCTTCACTTCGTTTCTTTGCATATCCAAAACTATTACATTAGATAAATTTTGAAATGCAAAGTCGGAGATAAAGCGAATGCGATTTGCAGATAAATTCAGTTGTCTAACATTTTGTAGTCCCACTAGAGTGTTTCGTTGAATATTCCATAAACGGGAATTTGTTAGAGTCATTTCAGGTAGACTTTGCAGTCCAAGAAATGCTTGATCTGCTATTTCAGTCAAAAGTTCGTTTCCTTCCATCTGTAAGTCTTTCAGTGAAACTAGTCCAGTGAATGCATTGCTATGTAATTGAGTTATTTTATTATTTCTGAGATCAAGTTTTAGCAAATTCCTTTGATTAATAAAGGTAAAGGATTCAATAGAAGTCAACCCACAATCTGCCATAAATAATCTGATTAGATCTTTCAAATGTTTCAGAGAAGGCAAACCATTGCTAAAGTTATTTTCACTGAGGTCTAAATATCTCAGCTGACTTGGAAGTTTTATTATGCTTTTGTTTTGAATATCTCTACAAATGCTTGAGAGACCATCACATTGGCACTTATCAGGACACGTGATGAAACATAGAAGTTCGTCATCGCCAAGAGGACAATGGGTAATGTTGTCACATAGCTTATTCGGATTCAAGCATACTGTGCTATCTTTGCATCGATACAACCCGGGGCAAGACTCTGCAACAAGTACATAAGAAAGTTTCAAACCTATAAGTAAACCACAAGTTCAGTTAAATCATGTATAGATATACATATATCTAAATATTTTGTAAAACATTTTGAGACATAAAATATGTACTATATTATGTATGTAGTCAATAGGAAAGCATCAAATTCATGTATTCTAGTATCGTCGTCCCTTGATAAAAGAATTTCTGCTAGACTGATTTAAAACAAGAGGCCCATGGGCCACATCGCTCACCTGAGCACTGTTGCTAGGAAAAAGTAAAAATTGGTTTATTATTGAAAAGTTTAAATCCAAAAGTAGTCCCCTGACCAATCATGGCTTCGCTTTTCTTGAGAAGGTAAATTGTAAAAAAAAAATTTCCTATATATTTCTATATAAAATTTTGGTCGGCCATTGTGGCCCCGCCCTTACCCCGGGGGTCATGCTTTGAACAAACTTGAATCTACACTACCTGAAGATGCTTCCAGATAAATACGATCAATTATAGCTTTGTTATTCTTGAGAAGAAGATTTTTAAAGAATTTTCCTATGTATTTCTATGTAAAACTTTGGTTGGCCATTTTGGGGTCATGATTTGAACAAACTTGAATCTACACTACCTGAGGATGCTTCCTTATAAATATGATCAATTATGGCTTTGTTATTCTTGAGAAGAAGATTTTGGATGTTTCCCCATAAGTTTCATCTTTCCTGTCACAGTGGTTCTTGAGAAAAAGATTTTTAAAACATACAATCAAATTTTCATTAATTCTCAATTATCTCCCCTTGAATGAGGGCGTGGCCCTTCATTTGAACAAACTTGAATCCCCTTCACCCAAGGATGCTTTGTGGCAAGTTTGTTTGAAATTGGACCAGTGGTTCTTGCGAAGAAGTCGAAAATGTGAAAAGTTTACAGACAGACTGACAGACAGCTAGACAGAGAGACGGAACAGACGGACGCCGGACAAAATGTGATCAGAAAAGCTCACTTGAGCCTTCGGCTCAGGTGAGCTAAAAAAATCATATCAATTAATTATGAGAATTTTTTTTTCAAATGCAAATCGGTTAAAAAAACCAGGACTTTTTTTATGCAATTTTCAACGTTTTTCTGACAAAAAAAAATTTACACCATTGAATTGATGGATTTTATATGATGACCATTCTACTATACTGCATTATACAAGTTTTATCAAAGATATAGAAAAAAGACATATATTGTATACCACAGTTCATTTCGTCAACACCATTTTTGCAGTGTTTCTCACCATCACAGATCAACCGCGGAGGGATACAGAAGCTTCCGGGACATTTCATATAACCTGAAGGACATGCTATTGACTCTGAAAGACAAAATGTTTTCTATTAGTAAAACAATTTTTGAAGAAGAAGTAACAAATTATCTCGAAGATTTTATAGATACTAACAAAACCTACCACATTCGTCTAGATGTGACAAATCTCGACAGCCTATGATGTCACCATATACGTCATAATCAAGAATACATCGCCGAGAGATTGGCACAATCTTTCCTGTTCGACAAAGGAAGTCTATGTTTACATTATCTGTCTCTGAAAAAAAATACATTTAAAATAAACTGATCATGTTTTACTATGCAAAAGCTATTACAAAATAGGAATGCTGTCAAAGTGTTTTTTCCCTTAATAATTATCCAAGGTTATTTGAAATCTTGTCTCTTACTTGAAATTTGCTGTTACCATTAAGCATTTTAAGGAATAAATTCTCCAATGCATATGGTAATTCCTTAGAGTAAAAGATAGGCAACAAGATACTTTGATACTAGTAAACGTGACGTTTTCATCTATGACGAATAATTTATCAAATAAGCTTGTTACTATATACAACAGTCTCAAAATATTAACAAGAGGCCCATACTATATACTTTTTATGTAAAGTTTAAATCCAAAAGTAGTCCCATGACCAATCATGGATTTGTTATTTTTTAGAAAATGATTGAGAAGAAGATTTTTAAAGAATTTTCCTATATATTTCTATGAAAAATGTGGTCAGCCATTTTGGCACCCCCGGGGGTCATGATTTCAAAATTGATCTAAAAATGAACATGCTTCCATATAAATATGATGAATAATGGCTTTGTCATTCTTGAGAAGAAGATTTTTAAAGAATTTTCCTATATATCACATTATAGTATAATATATGATGTTTCCATTAAATATGATGAATTATGGCTTTGTCATTCTTGGAAGATTTTTAAATAATTTTCCTATATATTTCTATGTAAAACTTTGGTCGGATATTTTGCTACACTACCTGAGCATGCTTCCATATAAATCAAATTATGGCTTTGTCATTCTTGGTTTTTAAAGAATTTTCCTATATATTTCTATGCAAAACTTTGGTCGGCCACAATTTAACAAACTTGAATCTACACTACCTGGCTACTTTGTCATTTTAGAAGAAGATTTTTAAAGAATTTTCCTATATATTTCTATGTAAAACTTTGGTCGGCCATTTTGGCTTGTTATACAAACTGTATTAGCTTATATATATATATGATGAATTACTTTGTCAATAAAGAATTTTCCTATATATTTCTATGTAAAACTTTGGTAAGTATTTATTGAACATTAGCATGTTTCCATATAAATATGAAATTAGCTTTGTCCTTCTTGAGAAGAAGATTTTTTAAAGAATTTTCATATATTTCTATGTAAAACTTTGACTGTTGGCCCCGCCCTTACTGCATATGAAATGACACTTGATGTTTCATTAAATATGAATAAAAAGAATTTTCTTATATTTCTAAAAACTTTGATTTTGGCCCCGCCCTAGACAATTTACACTACAATGATTTTCATCTTTCCTGGCACAGTGGTTCTTGAGAAGAAGATTTTTAAAATATACCACAAAATTTTCATTAATTCCCAATTATCTCCCCTTGAATAAGGGTGTGGCCCTTCATTTGAACAAACTTGAATCCCCTTCAAAATTAAAAACAAAAACAGAATATATTAAGCACACATTGTAATTTATATGACATTTCAGTGGCTATTTTTCAATAAGTCTCATTCAGACGGAGGTTTGTGATTACAATTTAGGCTACACTTTAGGAGAATCTACATAAGTACATTTACATGTTGCCTTGATTTATTGAAACAAATCAATCTCCTCTAGGTAGGTGATTTCAATTTAGGCTACACTTTAGGAGAATCTACATAAGTACATTTACATGTTGCCTTGATTTATTGAAACAAATCAATCTCCTCTAGGTAGGTATTAATCTCGAAAAACAATAAAAACAAGCCTTGACTCTTACTGCGTATGAAATGGCATGGACCATTGAATATGAGTTCTAAATTTGAAAACTTTACCCAGTTTGCTTAAAAGATCTAAATTAATTATGTTTTGACAGGCAAAATTAAAACAGAAGCAGGATATATTTGCTCTAGATTTTCGATCTTCAAAAAAATTGCAATATTATTAATTGTTCTTGAAAATGTAAAAATTAACCAACGATACCCTTCCAAAATCAAATACATGTATCTTTAAATTGATAAAATAATTTAATAAACCAACCGAACGTACCTTCTGAACATTCAAGAGGTCCAATATTTAATTTAATGAATTTATTTTCCCCTGGACAGTGGATAAAAACTCTCTTGATAGGCAGAAAGGAATGATTGGTTATTATTCCGGCATCCTCTCTCACTTCTGTGGCTTCGGCACCATACCACTCACCCAGCGTGGAATTACAATTGCATCTAGGTGATAAAAGGAAGCAAAGTTATTGTAATAAAAAATATATTCCTGTATTTAATGGAGTTAATCATGAAATGGGATTTAAAATGTATATGTGGTCAGAAATTATTCTTTTCATTTCAAAAGTTTATTTTGTTTTTCATGAGGAAAAAAACAAAACATTTAATCAATCTGTATTTATGTCATTATTTTGCTAGCTAATTGCATACTTTGATTTTCCCTTTTCACATTTACTGACAAAAGGACAGGAACAGTTGTTCTGTTGATCCCCTGATCTTGTGTGAAGACGTTGTCCATTCTGCCCCTCTAACATGACATCGATGTTAACGTAGATGTAGTGACAACGAACTCTAACTTTCTGGCTACAGTTATTCATTTCCTTTAGTTTTGCTATCTGAGCTTGATTTGCTTTGTACTTAAGTGTGATGTCCACCTCAGTTAAACGGGTGTATAGTGTTTCTTCTTCAGAATGGTGAATTACTGTTCGCACACTAACATGGTCATTGGCTTTCACAAATTGGCATTCGACTTTAGACGGACCTATGCCTAAGATTGAAAAAAAAATATTGAATGCCATTTTTATATGTATATTTTTACTTTCCTTAGCATTTATTACTTAAAGCTTTGCTTAATTCATTGCCTTAATAAATAACATTGCATGGAATTTCATATCCATGAAGTTCAATTTGAGTACTTTATGCATATTGAATCATTTATGCGGAGAAAGCCAATGCAAGAGAAAATGAACTTGGGAGATACCAATCAATCCCATGTTAACAAGGTATTCCCCATTCTCCCTCTTGCCCAGTCTCCACCAGTCTTTACACGATCTCCGGACATTGTTTTCACAATTCTGAGATTCGTCCTCAGCGAAGAATCCACTACAGTCGATAAAACCATCACAAACTTTAGAAAGGTGAAGACATGTTTGATCGTAGCATTCAAAGCCATTGTTACAATTCACTAAAATTGAAATATAAATAAGATATAATGATGAATTCTAAAACACATGTTAAGACAAGTGACCAATTGTGCTAAAATAAAAATATTCCAACAAAAGCTTGACGTCAAGAACACGACTAAACTTTAAAAAAAATTAAAGTCAATAAAAACTTTAAATCTATACTCATCACTGATTAGTAAATTAAGAAACTGCAATTTATCCTGAATATTCAAAATAACGGTGTTTGAAAAATCGAGCTGTATTCTTAAAAAAATTGCCTACCGCAATAATCCTCGTCGCTTCCATCAACACAATCCACTTTCATATCACATCGGTTGACAGCCGGAATGCATTGACCACTATAACATTCCCATTCCTTATCTGTGCATGGTCTTCTGACTGAAAACAATCCATTTAAAAATATTAAGTTGCAATTGCAATGAAACACAAGGTTTTGCTTAAATACAATATTGCATAAAAAAATTTATTAATTAACTTAGATCAATAATTATGATAATTAATCAATAAATATGGAATGTTTACATGAATTTTCCTTTACGTCTGAACATAAACATACATCAACACAATTTTTCTTATATTTATAATATATGAAACACTCCTTTTCACCAAAGCTAAAATATTGTTTTGGTATAATCTTTGTATATTTGATCTATTTAATCCAACTGCATGCCACGTACTTATACAAGTTCAGGTCATTCTTTAATCCAGCTAAAGGTACATGTACTTTTGAATATTCAACAGCTTGCCTTTTCACAACTAAGTATCAATTTCATATTTCATATTATAATTTCTTTAGTAGTTTTACTTACTACAATTGGTTTCATCGGAGTTATCTGGACAATGGCTGACAAAGTCACAATACAGACTGACAGAGACGCAGTCACCACTGCTGCATTGGAACTGAGTCTCCGTACACGTTGTAGCTTTGTTTATGAAAAAAAATTATTTTAAAAATAATTTGAAAAAAAACAGAAAAGTACTCCAAAAAAGAAATCCACTATTTTTTTTAAAATTCAATTAAATTTAAAATATTGTCATTAAATAAAAAAATATAAGGCCATCTTTAAAAATTGTTTGGTTGCCCTCTTCCAACCGCCTGACCAAAAATGGCCCGACCCAAAACTGTTTTTAATATCCTTTTTCTGAAAAAAAAAAGATTCCCCAACCTACTTACCGACCCAAATGTTTTGCCCTACGTCGGGAGCGGGCAAGCGTGCATTATTTCAGAAATGACCTTAAAGCTTACAGCAGTTGGACTCATCCGATCCGTCAAAACAGTCCTCCATTCCGTCACACACAAACAATCTGTTAATCAGTTCTGTGTTCTCACACTTTAACAAAATGTTATCCAGTCTTGCAGATGACTGTGACTCGAGAGAACCAATTCCCCACCAATTCTCTCTAAGTATGGTCTCTGACAGATAAAAATGTGCCATTGGTCATAGTTATTATTCAAACATCCATCCGTTATTCAAATGGGGTAAATTACCGTAGCCATAACGTTAAAAGGTAAATGCACATAAAAAAAAAACATTATTTTTTTCTAATTTTTTTTTCAGTAATTAATCCTGTTAATTAATACTTCAGTATTTAAAAAACCCTACAATATACACATCAAGCCAATGCCAAACAGCACAATATTGTAAATGATAGGTGTAGACTTGCCATTTTGTTTTACGATCTCAATTTCACACAAATAACTTTTGATTTTATTGTAAGCACAGGCAGTATCATGCCAGTCGTGGATAGAGTGAATACTGGAGAATCGGATACTGGTACATAGCTCATTATGAACCCCATTGGGTTGGCCATCTTTGATGTTGTCACCACGAAACCTAAATAGAGATGAAACCCAATTCTAAATTACAATCAAGGGCAATTACAAAACACCCCTTCATTCCAATGTAGCCAATCAAAAGCAGAAGTTGGGTAAATTTTAATACACAGCACCCCTTATGACAGTACATATACCCTTGATTGGGATAGCCAATCAAAACCAGAAAATCAATATTCCGATATTGTCCACATTGGTTTACCTTAAAATTATTCTGGAAAAAGATCGAATTTAGATGATTGGACCTTTTCCGTTATCTATAAAATGTGAGAAAATGATCAAACTCCAAATTTTACAAAACCTTGTTTATAGTGATACATTTTAGTTGTTTTCTCTGTGATAACTCTTTGTAAGTAAGTTGAGTTGATTTTCTGAATGTTTTCACCAAGTGAAAAGTCAAGAAATGCTTCGCCCTTTATTCAAATTATCTCACTCTCTAACTATCGTTGATGCCCTGGTATGCCCAACAAACCAGACATTAATTCCTCAAAACAATGTATTCTGTCTTCATGACATGTTATGCAAATAAAAAATCAGACCTTTTAAAAATTTTCTTTCCTATAAATTCCTTTTCAACAGTCGGTCTAAAGTCAAAAGAATTTAATTTCAATGCCCTGACTTTTGATTCAAACAGATTTATAAATACTACATTGATCCCAAGTTTGAATACATTGCTTTACCAAGCAGTAAATGTTAAAGGGTTTTCATCCGTCCACATATAGTTCAGTTCGTCGTTTTCTTCAGAGTAGATCTTTCGAAGACCTGAAGAAATAAAGCAAAATAAAAAATTAAAACATGATCAATAACTATTATAATCCGATTTGATTACAATAATTATTTTATATCATTGAACTATAGAATAAGTATAGATTACAAGAATAATAAAGATGAAGAACACACACCAATGTATATCTCCCAGTCTCGAGTGATGTTCATAGCGTTTGTTAAAAGGAAATGAATGAAGGAAAGTTCCTGTTTTGAATTGATACTGACAAGGCTTCCATTCTGTTGAATACATTTCTGTTCTGCTTTCTGCCAAGTGATACCTTCATTATCAGTGAATATTCTGTAGCAACTACCATTGTTGTAGTACCAGTTGCCGGAACATTCTGGAAAAAAAAATTGTAAATTCGTTTCTTAAATTGCACTAGACCTTGATCAGTTGATTACATTAGAGTCAAAACAAAAACATTTTCTCAAAATAAAACACATAACCAAAATGGTAATTCGTTAATTCGTCTAAACGAATTTAGATTTCTATTATAAACGAAAATTATATTCTTTTTTGCATTTCTAATGAATAACTTACCTCCATTTTCCATATCCAAATATCTTTGGGTAAAATTAACAAAAGTGTACAATCCTAAAAATCCTTGTCCCTGTTTTTCTCCATTTCCTGAATGAAACTCAATTCTCATCCGGTGCCATCTTGAAGTTATATTCCTATAAGGCCTGTTTTCTTTGCAGAATCTTCCTAGTAACTTCTCGCTCTCACTGAGGTCAATATCATAGACAGCGATGTAGGAATTGGAACAGGTGGCATCGCCATTAATAACGTCTAAGTGGAGAATTTTGAGGTCTACATATTGCCCAAACGTCCCTTCTATCCTCCATGTGCAGGTTTCTTCTGCTTTATAAGGTGCAGGGTACCTCTTAGTAGCTATGTAGGCTGACTGCAGTGTACAGGTAACTGTACACCCTTCGTCTGTCATTCCACAACCCGGTTTACCTATATCAATAATTTAATCATATCAAACTCCTTATGAAAGCCTCTATCAAAGTGTTAATTACGTTTATGATTTTTAAAACACGAATGTAACTCTTGCATCATAAGGTCAAAATATTCTCTTGTTACGATATATAACTAAATCAATTCAGTAAATTTTGATCTATATTTACTTAATACTATCGTTGTTTCACATTAAAGGAAACAATAGTGTATATACAACCCTATGCATGTACACACTGTTTTGAAAACACAATCTACGTAATAGTTTTCGTCGATCTTTTGTTGGTAGGGGAGTTAATTTATGAGCTGTTCCAATTTAGTCCCTAAAACAAGTTTGTAGAATTAAATATCTATGGTTTAGTACCTGACTTTGTGACTTTAATTTCGAAATTCTTTTCTCTCTTTTCTGCAGACATTTGGAAGCAAGATTTCAGTCTCACTGACAAAATCTTCCCAGAGGAGATCACAGTCGTGTCTCGATAGTCCCTCTCTGTATCAGTAGATATCTCAATGGTGTTGGATTGTTCAGTTATAAGTAAGCTTTCTTTGCATTTCCCGGGATTTATATCGAAGATTCCGAGCTATTAAAAAATTAACAATGTGGATAAATATAAAGAGATCGAAACTGTAAGGAAAAGTAAACCATGAAATCATAAAAAAAAAGTATTTAAAATTGCATTTTTTATTCTTTTCCCCCTAAATTTGTTAATTTAATTTTAAAAAGCGTCCACAAATATAAAATACCTCTTTCAATGCTATTTTTGTAGTTGGTTTTGCTAAATGTAAGTACACTATTTCCAGCGTTACAAAGTCCGAATCTCCAACAAATATATTCCAAGTACAATTAAGACCCTGACCATAACTGAATGGGAAGCCAGGAGATCTGATAACAGCCTCCTTTCTTTGTTGAAGATTAATTGGAAAAATACATGGAAGGATAGGATGTGCGTCTGGGAAAAAGTATAAAATACAAATGATTTTTATGAAAATACATACTGTATACAGGGAAATGTTCAGATTTATAAAACTAGAAATTTAAAACGGAGCAAAATTGTTTGTGCGTGTGAAAGGGCGAAAATAATCCTGTATACAGTATTTCAGATTTATACAGAGAAATTGACCTAATTAATGATTTAAAAAACAGTTTCGATCAATCTTTATAAGGTAAAAATAAGATATAATATTATTTATTTTTCTTTGAAATTGATTTACTCTTGAAGCAAAGGCGATGTGAGGCATAGTGTTGAGAGGAACCAGTTTGCACCCAGGCCACTGTTCTTGTAGGATGATATCTGTCCCCAAAACTTAACGAACACCTCTGAGATGAAGTATACTTCTGGAAAGAGAGGGCCGTGCAGTTATTTCTTAAACAAAACTGTCTACAGCCTTTGATGCTCGATATATTTTTAGCATCAAACGGAGAATTGTCCTCTTTTTCAAGCCAGTAAGAAAAGCGTTTTAGTTCTTCATATCCAAAGTCAATAGTGTCCCTTTTACATTTTATGTCTCTCTGCACTGAAAAGAGAAATCAAAATCCATGATTTTATTTTAGACGAAAACACAAATATTTTCAAAATTAAACATGTTATTAAATTCTCTTTAAAATGTTTTTTTAATGATTTTATGCCAAAGAATTGTAATAACAGTTCTTATTTGAATAAGAAGTCTATATATATGGGACAGAGATTAATTTTTTGTAATTTTTATAAGGATAGAAAACACAAATATTTTAAAAATTAAATATATCCCCTTATCATTGCATTTACATTTTGATACAAATTGAAGGCATTTGTAGAAGGAAAACTGCTTTTGTTTTAAACTTAATTGTAATAAATTTGATATTAAAATATATGGACTAAATTCTAAATTTCTTTATCAATACTTGTATAACCTATATTTAAAAAAATTATGCTTCTTTGAAATAATTTTCCTGTCGTATATAAAGCGTAAATTGCAGAAAGTGAAGATACTGTGTAGTCCTAGGCCTCTCATCTATTTAATTCATTTTTTTTTTCAAATGATCAAAGCAAGATTTTATTATCTCAGAGAAATAAAAAAAACAAGTCTAAAACAATTTCAAATCACCGTTTGAAAAAGAATTACGCTTTATTGTTTAAATTTCATTTTTTAACTAATTTCAGATAAATACTAAACATTGTTTTTGGCATCCTATGACTTCTGTCTTGAAACAAGCCTGCTGACTATCTTTCACTATAGGGTGTATTTTGATATATCTTGCCAGGATGTCTGTATGAAACAAAAACGTCTGTGGTGTGCTCACTTCTATTGTTGTATCAGTAACAAAGGTCTAAAAAGCAAATAAATGAAAATTAACATTTAATTTATATATATACTAGTTTATTACAGAAAGTCTATCTCAAAATTCCTTTAAACAATACAAATTAGGAGCAGAGCAAACACGGACCTCCAAAACATCAGAGGTGGGATCGATAATATTGATGAAATGCATTGATGATTGTTTAATACCTGAAAGACTGAAATCCTTCTACCAAACGATTTCAATGATCTGATAAACAAAAGAAATGGAACACCTACCTTTACAGTACCAGGAGAGGCCCTATAACGTGTCATCGTATTTCTCGTCACTCCGTAGGACACTTGGAATGACTGGATGTATCTAGTATATATCCCCGAGATCCACCCCTGTATTATAACTCCTTGGATAACAGTCGAGATTATCAAATCAATCTGCAATGCACAATACCTACATAACAAGATGTTTACTAGTATATGTTAATCTATTTATTATTTTCATTCTGTGTATAAATTTGGAATGCAAGAAGAAATTAATAGAAACTGCTTTTGCCAAAGTATGCTAGAATAAATACAGGTAAGCAGGTCTCATATGGAACATTATCCCGTTTCATAAAAGGTAACGATAGGTGAAAATGCATTTATTTCTTGTTTTTTTTATAGTCTCTGTTGCTTCTTGATGGACAGCATTTTAATGTTTAAGCATCTAAAATGCCATTTTAGTAAATCACCATGAACCAAGGTTGTTCGTCCTTCTTTGAAGCACACCATCCTGGGTCTGGGTGATACAATCGGCCTCGAAATGAGAGTGGCATTACTTCAACGCCTTCTGTGTCATCAGAGGATGATTCAAGCTGATAGTCATAGATGTTACCAGAGGCCATTCCTAATGCTCTCCCACAGGTTGTAGCTTGGAGGCAGAAAGAATTCAATTTGAGTCTTTAGAACATATTTTAAGAGTCATATACCAGCTGTATACTGTATAGTAGTATTACAAGTTTTATAGTCAAAAGAAAAATGATTCTGTTACATGTGCATTATAGTACGAGTAACAAGTGAAAAAAAATAAGAAGATAAGCAGAGAAAATTTTTTAAAAGAACCTAAAACCAATACAAATCTGTGAACAGGAAAATACCACTACCACTAGAAATTTCAGAGGTGGAATGTGGTGCCAAGAAGAAGGATACATTCCTATGGGCCGGATCTGAACTAACAGAAGATCTTACACAACAATAATGTTTACTAAGTATCCGTAGATTAACTAGAGAATGTTTACTTATCCTAGACACCTTATCCACCAATAGGGTACTTAGAGTCGGTGTTTGCCTTGATTATGATTTGTATTCTTTTTGCATCGCTAACACCAGTAAAAAAGGAGTATGATGAAGTGTTCACGGATGAGAGGGAACACAGATCTAAAGCATATAAAGGCCAAAAAGGATACTTTGAGTGATTGATTAAAAAAGGAGAAACTGCCTCATGGTAAATTTCTTTTCGTATTTTCGATTACTCATTGAACAACTATTGTATTGCACATATACATGTAAGATGAGGAATTTTAGAATGATTGTGAAGTTGAGTTAAACATTGACTACTTTTTACAACAATCAATATTAAGTCCTGAATTCTGCATATTTAGTGTCAGTGATATGGAATAAAATAAAAATGACTTATGCAATGATTATGCATTTTCTCAAGTTTGCAAGTGTACAATTAACATATTAGTTATTTCCCAATCTCTTGATCTTGATATGGAGTTTTATTTAGTTATTTTATGTTTATATCTTTAACCTCCTCAAATTAGAAATGTTATCTTGACAGTCTCACGAAAAAAACACACTCATACTCACATTTTCCGAGAATTGTAATCTCGTTGATTTCCATTTTGAAATAGTTGCCTGGATTGATATCTGGATGTGTGAAATCAAAGTTCCGGATGGTGACGTATTGACCCACCACCGGACGCCTGCACTGATACCGGAACACTCTGGAGTATCCTGGGAGTCTGACATCGTCACATCGAACGGCGCCATAGTTCATGAAGTCCCACTGATTCTTACTGATGTAAGTTCCCACATACCGCATATTATTCGGGAAATATGCTACACACAAAAAAATAATAATGCAATTTTTTAGTGTATTAGTGTAGGTTAAAATTGTTTATCCCATATCTAATTTTTGTTTCTTTTTCTTTTCTGTATTTCATTATTTTTATGAAAAAAGTTAAATAGTTAGGTATACGAATTTAAAGTAATTTGATGAACGGCATTTACACATTGAAACTCGAATGATGGTGATCTTCAGTCTACATACAAAATAATCCTATTTAAATAAAATTCTTACTTGCATAACGGTAAATAATGATGGCATGAACTTCTACATATTCCTGAAGGTCAATTTGATACCAAGGTTTCATCATAGGTCGACTGGAAACAAACGAATTCAGGGTACCTATTTTGTTGAAAAAAATGCATGTATTATTTCAAAACCATAATGATATGAAATTTTTCTTTGCCAAATGAAAGATGGCAGCTTCAGATATATCTAAAAAAAAAAAATTGGATTTTATCTGATGGTTAATTTATTGACCCCAAGCCTCCTTAAAATTTTGTATTCAAACAGTATTTTTAGATATTTGCTTTTAAAATCTAAAATATTTGTTTATGAATGGATTCGTATGATACATATATATATACATATGATATATGATACGTAAAGAGAAAAGTGCTAAAATAGTTTGTACCTACTGCCCAATCACAGTACTGAATACTAAAATTAAATGAAATACTGTTATGTATAATAAAGAAAAGATTTGCATGTATAAATACGTCCGATACGATCGAGGTCATTGAGAACTAGTTTGTGATCCTGACGAAAACATCCTAAACATAAGGTTTGATGATTCTTGGTCTTACTCTAGGCAGTATATGATACATGTGAATTTTGACTAGTCTTGCCATAAAATACCGAAAATTGGTGGAATCAACAATGTCTTCATTTGCTACGTACACACAGAATCACAAAAGAGATAAAGTTGGATGGTTCTAGATTTTCTGCTGTGGAAGATACAATTCAGAAATGATTTGACCAGGAGCCAAACTGATTAAATTCCAATACACACTTAATGAAGCTTGCTACTAGTATTAGGGATGCGACATTCTTCCTCTCTCAAATTGCATTAAGTGGCAAACATTTAAAGGTACTTGGACACAGATTTGAAGTTATTATTTTCTCTATAATATTACGACTTATATATTTTAATAGCATTGCACACAAAAATTAATTAAAAATCTTATTTCGTTTAAAAGATATTGAAATTTCAATTTTTTTCGGCGGGTTTGATTGACATATCCTTGCACTCTCACAAATTTAATTTTATTCTTAATCCTTAGGAAAAGTGGCAATCTCGTTTTGTATAAATGAAAAATATTAATACTATAATCCAGAAAATTCAGAGTAGACACGTTCGAGAGCAAAACAAACACACAATATATTGTCAGTCCGTGCAGTTGTGGTAAGCAGACTGTGACGATTGAACGCACCCGATGAATTCTAAATATAAACAATAACAGAACTGAGCCCTGTTTACAAAAACTGTGTACATAACAAAATGCTTAGTGATCTGTACGTATCTCTTAGTTCATTATTGTGAAGGTGTTTTGCTTTCTAACATTTCTATGGAATAAAATTATTTTTCTTGATAAAAGTTTTAATATTTCTCATTAAAACACATCAAAATTGCCACTTTTCCGAAGATTAAGAATAAAGTTAAAATTTGTGAAAGTGCAAGGATGTGTCAAAAACCCGTTTGAAGTTTTTATAACTTTTAAACGAAATAAGATTTTTAATTAATTTTTGTGTGAAATGCTATTAAAATATATAATTCGTGATATTATACAGAAAAAATGAGAAAATATTAACTTCAAATCTGTGTCCAAGTACCTTTAATGTTGAAAGTTGACAGACGGAATCATTTAATAAGTTATCGGTGGTCATATGATATATGAGCAGTAATCATATACTAAAAAGAGCAGTGCAATATTTTCGCGGGTTTATCTGAAAGGTTAACAGGCACGTAGCAACAGGGGGGGGGGGGGGGGAGAAGGGGGCTGCCCCCTCCCCCCACTTCGGAATACTACCTTTACTATTGAAAATGTTCATTGAAAGGTTGGTAGTCCCCCTCACATTTTACCACAGTATAGTGATATGAAGAAAATGTAGTATTGTATGCAAAAAAATTGGAAATGATGGGGAGTTGGCCTTGAAAAAATTTGCTAAAAATTTTCGAGTTTGGGCAAGTTCCCTTTTTGTTCTTTTTTTTTTTTTGCTTGTCAACTTTTTAGGTAAGTAAAAAAAAAAAATTCGTTGGCAAAAACTTTTATTAACACTATTTTACAATGTGTTTTAAAGAAGCAAGTAGAATAGAAAATTTCAAAAAGTTTCTGACGGTAATCTGACCAGATGTTGATATTGAAAATATAGGATCAGCAACTAAAGATTAATTTTCTGAACATTTTCTTAACATGCCTATAAATCCATCCACAGGATAATCCGGATAGTTGTCTCCAGCGTTTGGAACACTTCTGAAAGGTTTAAATTTTCCAAATTCTTGTAAGCCCATCTCTTCAGCTAAAAATATTAATTGACTTTCGTGTAACATTAGCAAATATTAAAGATAGTAAAGGGATTTCATTTCGACAATAGCTAAATACCAAAACATCTTCAGCAAAAGAGAAATATACCATGTTTTCAATTTTTTTTGATAAATTTGAAAAACTGAAAAAAATTTGAATACATAATACATACAGTTTTTTTTTATTTAAACTTGAAGAAATTTGATTTCAGTTATTTTGAAAATTTATTAAATTCTAAACTCTAATCATTCCAGCCATCCATAAATAATCACAGAGAATTTCACCATTGATGTCAATTGGTTTTCGTATTTTTCTCAATTTTGTCAACATGAATACCTACCACATATAGGGACGTTGCATTCTTCTTTGACATTTGGAAACTCAACAAGACACAATGGTTTCCTAGATTTGTAGGTAAAGTACTCGTAAGCACGACAGTAATTTTCATCAAACTCATGATAAGTCCTCTTATCATTGTGAAAGAAGTCGAAGTCTGAGTCAGTCCAAATCAAACACGCCTTTCCGGAAGCGGAAACACTTTTTCTGCCATTGTATGAATTCCCATGGTCAGTATCATAGTAACACTCACGGTGATCTTAGAAAATATTATATCGTCATATTTAATATTTAATCTTACTTTTAAAAGTTGATTAAAATAACAGTCACCGTGACAGAAATTGAATATAATACTAGTATTATAAAAAAGGAGAAGATTAAAATACCCAGTAATTAAACTCTGACTTGATTGTCAATTTTTTATGAAACCTCATCAAGAATGGGAAACCATACTTAATACATAAGTACACTGTATATCAAGATTTAAGAATAGTTACTAGTACCATATGGTTCGTAATAACAATATGCCACGCCTATAGAACCATTTATTGCTGTTCTATTAAACATAGGCAACGTCCCTTCAAACTGCCAATCGTCGTGTTCATTGGTCATGTAAAAATAATCCCGCTGAGTGATCATTGACGTCACTTCCTGGCAGCCATCAGCTGACATACTCTACAAAATAGGGTGTAGTATAACGGACAATCCTTTTGAACTGCTATTTGATTTATACTAGGTAATCTATAATCCGATAAAATACAATACATGTACATGAATCTGAAATAAAGTTAGAAATAGTACAACAGCCATGCAAATGTGGTGGTTTGCAGAATTTATAATACCAGTATCCGTTTGTAGATGTCCATGAAGACGTGCAAATATAATAAACTTGGCGACAAAAACTCCATATACAGTACATGTGTATATCTGATAATGGTACTAGTATATAGATACACAAGTAAGGGAAATTGACGATTGAAATTATGAAGTTTTCACGATTATCAAATTAATATGTTTTACGGTGTGACCGTTGGGGCGAGCGCAGTTGTACCATCAAAAACACTTCAGATCAGCCACTTCGAACGTCAAGCCGCACGAGACATCTCGACTAGCTGTGACGTCATACGACGTCACAAAGCTCGTCGGAGCTTATCTGTTTGAAACTATAGAACTAGTGCAATTTTGTCGAAAGACATTGCAGAGTTATTTCTTGTTTCTTTGAAAGATTTCTACAAACTGAAAGCCTGATATATGCATTACGTTATTATTTATTTATTTATTCGGCAATATTCGCGCAAAGGACATTGGGTAGTGCAGGAATTCTGGGAATGTTGCACAGAGAAATTTGGCTGACGTATGTACAGATTTCAATCCGAATTTCCTCTGTTCTTACACGTTAGTCTATTGAGCTCGCTTCGCGAGCGTCGCTTCGCGACGCTCGCTGCGCTCGCTATTATTATTCACATGTAGTTGTATGTCTGTCCCCAATGCCTTTCTTAATAATAATAATGATAATACTTTATTTATAGAAGGTAACCCGATTAGTGCAAGCACTAGTCTTCCTCAGGGCCTTCTTTATAACATATATACAATGTTTTATACATTAAGACAATAATTACAAACATGAAACAATAAAATACAAACACTTTGTTACAGCAGAATAAATTAAATATTGGCATTTCATTGAAAAGAAAGGAAAACATAAATTTCATGTAGAACCAGTACGTTTCATATAAAGTAAAAAATTTTCAACACTACTTTTAAATATTGCAAGGGATTGGGAATTCCTAATACTAATAGGCAACTCATTCCAGATAATAACCCCTGAATATTGTAAAGAATTTTTGAATAAATTTGTTTTATATTTTGGTAAACGAAGTTCTGAATGGACATTTAAACAATAAAATGCTTTCTTTGTTTGTTATTACTGGAATTAATGGAAGCAGCTGTTGCAGAAAAAGTACATAACCCGCGTAACCGTTAATTCCAGTAATAACAAACAAAGAAAGACAATTTCTTGTTTATTTTTATATCTGTTTAAATAATCATTTAAAGAAGGATTAAAAAGTTTAATTATTGTATTAATGATGCGAACATCTTTATATGTTTCATTGATGGAACAGCCATTAATCAAGAAATCTGTACAGGCGACATGGCTAATGTAGTTCATGCAGTGATTAACGCAATGGGTTTTCTTAAGAAATAAAGGAGAAATTATTCAGTGGATGTAAATATATAGAGATAACGAACAGTATTCAAGATCAAAAGTCCATAAAACAATACAAAATAGGAGCAGAGCAAACATGGACATCTTAAACATCAGAGGTTGGATCAGGTGCAGTGGAGGAGTGAGCACCCCCTGTCGACCGGTCACACCCGCTGTGTGCTCTTCCACCTCTTCCACCTCTTGAGCATATCGCTCTGATTTGCAGACATCACAAATACAATTTAAAATCAATTGATCGAATCTTAAAATACAATCAATTTCATCATACCTCATATATTTCAAATACATCTTAGTATATATGAAGGTAACAAAAGAAGTTTAAAAATTTCTTAAAGGTTTTGATAGTTTAATCAATCAGTTATTTTCATTTGATTTTAAATAGTTGATAAAAAGTATTTTAAAAGGGTATACCTGAAACAGAACAAACGGGAATTCTGATGGTAGTTTTATTGATGTCCGGTAATCTCCATCTTCTCTACAACAAAACTTCAGCATCAGACTCATGTTGCTTCCGGTCTCCCCTGGAATAACGCCCCCTATATCTTGATGTGTAAACTGATAACCGGATATTGTCAAGCTGCCATTAGAAAACCCTAAAATTGGAATTATTGACATACTTGCTGTTTGGATGGCAAATCTGTATGATGGACCCTTTTATCAAAGAATAATATTCAGTGAAATACATTGAGATAAAGAACAGCGTTCTAGCTAAAAGGTACATTAAACAATATACATATCAGGAGCAGAGCAAACTCGGACCTACAAAACATTACAGGTGAGATCAGGTGCCATGGAGGAGTAAGCATCCCCTGCTGACCGGTAACATCTGCCGTGTGCTCCTTGTCATGACCAGAAAATAACGGGGAAATCCGTCGAAAGTTCAGTAAATAATAGTCTAATAGTTACTGACAAAGTCATTGTATCGACTATAGAACTTGCAAAATGATGAATTTTACCGAGATCCTCTGGTGATATTCTTGTTTCAGCAACTTGTTTGTCAATAATTTTCCTCTTCTTAGAAATTGTTCATACGCAAATTAGAACATGATCTTGCGTATTGAATCAACTGAGAGATATAAACCCTGTATATATGCAGGTGATAAAGTAACGTGTATTTTGCTGGATAAGTAAGGGAAGTTGACGACTGAAAAAGTTTATGTCATTACGTTTATTATAAACTGAAAAATTTGTTATCAAATTATCATTTTTATTTTTTTCTAGTAAAATATCCAAATATGAAATAGATGTGTCAGATCTACTCTGTGGCAATTTTGATTTCATGCTTAAACACCCAATTTTATGTTAACGCCCCCCAAATCTTCCTGATTCAAGATCAATAATTTACCGCCTGTCAATCATTAAAAAAACAATAGCTTTTGATTTGATTGACAGATCAGCTACCTGTGCTACCTGATAATCTGAGTTTGCATGTTTTGAAGACAATTGCCTCGTCGCACGCCAAACTCTTTCATGTACCCGCCTTGTAGTGTTGTCACGATGATCGATTTATAATCGATGATCGGTCGGAAAGGCTGTCGATTTTAGACAATCGATTGGAGATTTAAACAATCGATTAATCGGTGTATTTCAGCACATATCTCTTTTATAGTTTTCTCATTTTTATTTCAAAAACAGGCTCTTGTTATCAAAATATATATCTTCCAAGTGTTGTCCTTTAATACCTATTTTAAAATACATGTACTTAAAATCTGTTTAAAATAAATCACAAGATAATGATAATTGTATTTCTAAACTGAAGAAACTAAACTACAGTCAAGGGACATAATTATTCGCCACTTCAAAATGGCCGCCGAAATTTTACATAGCGCACCTTGATATTAATTTTAGGAGATATATAAAAGTTTTCAGTATTTGGGGGAATTCACTTTTCATATCATACGAATTCACAAGGATTTGTGATATTAAGTCATAACAGTTTAAAATTAATTCCACATATAAACCGGTATTTTAGATGATCTTGTAAATTAAAACCTGATCTGTCAATGCTTATGTTTCCCAAGCCAAGTAATTCCTAATCATGCAAAAATCTGTATTAGGCCTACTGAAATTGTTATTCAAACTGCATATATACTTGTATATACACGCGGGTTAGAAAACTCCATACGTTTGAATTTTATTACAAAAAATAATTGAAAGTACTTATATTATTAAAACATTAAAACATTGACATCATAAGATATTTCCTTTCTATCTTCACTGCTGTTTGTTACTTGTAAGTGTTTTATCGTCCACGAAACCTGTAGAAAAAAAGACCGTCCACAGAAACAGGCTCAATTTGCCGTAATCATTGGACGTCCGACGATTAAAATTATTTTTAAGAAATGGGATATCAGAAAAATATTCAGCATTATCGTCATATAGTTTACAAAAGATGTTTTGTTTTGTACAAAGGCTACGATGATGAATATGCACGATGTAGTACAGAAATTTATGTCAGAATTAATACTCGAATTTCCTCTAGCGTCTGTCTATATACGTAATGAAAAGGTGAAGATAATTAATAGTGATCGATTCTGAAGAGAAATATTTCTAACAATAAATTTTGTTAACACACGAACAATCGAAAATATTGAATATTTTGGAAATTGTTGGCCAGAATTTTTTTTTTTTTTTTTAAATCCAATTGTGGTAAATGTTCACATGCACGACTTTTTTATTATGGTGATTTCTTTTATTGAAGATTTAAAAAAATAAACGTTATTTCTTCGAAGTTTTTAGTCGTGATTTTTTCTTTAATTTAACGAAAACATTTTATAAAACGTATATCTTTATATTTCTTTTCCCATTCAAAATATTACGATGAATGCGGTTAGTTTACAAAATAAAGTTCATATTAAAATAATTATTTTACGTAGTTTCACTCAAAACTAGACACAAAACACGTAATGTTGACCCTGATTACCAAACACAGATTTCCTGTGTACTGCTACGTGTACACAGATTTTTGACATCTTGGGTATTGGGGGTCTCCAGGTAAATAACACCACCGTTACTTCGACCACTCCCCCTCCTCCGGTAACCGTATTGTAAAAAAATTGGGTCGTTAAGGTAACGAAAAAAGTTCGTTGATTTGTAATCACCAGTTTGATAAAGACACGGGTACTTAAACTACCTACCTACATGTATTGATAAAGATCGACATTCCACACTACTGAAGAAAAACTTTTTTAACTTATAACAAGGGCGGATTCAGGAGGGGGGGGGTTTCGGGACCCCCCCCCCCCCGCTCATTGATTTTTTTTTTTTTACAAGTGTCATTTTATCATTTTGTTGCATTGATAAGACTCTAATAAACATAAACCCTTTGTTTGTACAACTGTGAAATATACATCCACTACATAACAGGAAATCACTTTCCGCTTGAACGCACACAATACACATGTAATCAACAGAGAGAGTGCCTCAGAGATCGTGCATCTAGTGAAGTCACAAGATCACAGTACAATGTAGTTAGGTACCAACAACAGAAAACTGCATAGTTACGGTGCTGCTCAGTAATATTCTTTTGCTGATAAAATGCATGATTTTTAAACTATGAATAAACTATTATTCAGGGTTTTTTTTTTACCGTTTTTAAAATTAAATTAATATATTTTTTTTTTACAAAACCAGGTTGGCTTAGCAAACCCCTCTAGTTTTGACAGATTCTCCAGTTATGTAAATTTTTTCTTCAGTTAAGAGAGTTTGAAATTTCATTAATTGTATACACGTGTGTTTATATTCCAAATCATATTGACAGTATATACTCAAGTAAGTTGAAAAGCACTAGTCAGTGATTCTGAAAATGATTCAATTTTTAATTTTTTTTAGTGTTTAAAAATTTTGCACATTAGTTGTATCTTGGAAGTCAGCTTGACATAGGACCAAATTAATTGTAGGTGCATTTAAAGTAAACTGAGACAACTTGAAGTCAACTGCTTGCATTCCTAAAATTGTCAGATTTAACATTTTTTTTAAGCAAAATCTAAAGTCTTGTATTAAAGTTAAATTAAATTGAAAACATTTTATTAAAAAAATTGTGATGATCGGTCTTTAAAAAAAGCTACAAAAAGTACCCCCAAAATGCTGGAAAATGCACCATTTAGAACCATTTAAAACAAAATTTTCTCGGGGGACACCCCCTCCCATGCCCTCCCCCTTCGGGCCTCAAAACCCCCCCACATGAACTTCTGGATCCGCCACTGTTATAAATAAGTGTTTCTCTTAACTTTTAACAAAGTGAGTTGCACAAAAACGTGCCTCAATGATATATGTTGTATATTCTATTGAATTCCAAATGGAAATAAAATCACGAATTTTCTTACCTTGAGGACACTCGTTGAGGTTGTATATGCAATATTCACCTTTCGGCCATTCCTTAGTTGTATCATTGTTCTCATCATCAAAATATGCTAGATTTTTCACACAAAAGTTCATTTGAATAGCACGATAATAGTACGGTCCCAGTATGTTTGGCTCTATGATGCCATTGAGGAGGTCTGGGTCTTTAGTGTTCCAGTACTGTCGTTGGGCGGAGTCGGGGAGAGTCAGGTTAATGTAAGATAAGGTCCAGTCCCTGTCCTCAGTCTCAGGACAACCAAACATTGAGGCAGGGAGGGCATATGTCCCGTCTGGCCATTTCGTTCTCAATTTAACTGTAAGAAATGAGATTCACAAACACTGTGTAAAACCAGTCTTTAAAAGATTTGAATCCTTTGAATTCAGGATTTAATTTTTAAAAATATGGGGAAATTTTTAGCTAAATATATACAGTGAAATATGAAATATGGAGAGAAAAAACGTACAGAATTCAAGTTCAAGGTAGATCGGGGGCAGAGCAAACACAGACCTCCAAAAACTACAGAGACGGAATCAGGTGCCATGGAGGAGAAAACATCCCCTATAGACTCTTTATACCTGTCGTTTGCTCCTTCTTATAATCGGATAAACGGAAAATCCGTGGAATTCGCAGTGTGTAAATAATGTCCTGACAATAAGTATGAAAAAACTTCTGTCATGATGATGCAGCATCTGACCTAATGATGGGTTGTTATAATTTAAGGTACTTGGACACAGATTTGAAGTTAATATTTTCTCTATAATATCACGAATTATATATTTTAATAGCATTTCACACAAAAATTAATTAAAAATCTTATTTCATTTTAAAGTTATTAAAACTTCAAATTTTCTGGCGGGTTTGATTGACACATCCTTGCATTATTTGAAGTTTTAATAACTTCTAAATGAAATAAGATTTTTAATTAATTTTTGTGTGAAATGCTATTAAAATATATAAGTCGTAATATTATAGAGAAAATATTAACTTCAAATCTGTGTCCAAGTACCTTTAAGGTCAATGTATCGACCCTAGAACTTGCTAAATGACGACTTCAGGCAAGGCTGTTAATATTCTTGTGAGTGAGAGAGATGTGAGACTGATGGGATGGCATTTTTAATGCCATGATAGAGTACATGGATCAGGAATTTAATGACAGGTTTAAGAGATTATGAGAATGAATGTCCGGATATTTCATGTATAACACAGAACGGGCCGCTAATAGAACAGTATTGTCTGCATGAGCATCCAAAATGTCGAATTCTAGTCCAAATATACTTCAGTAATACATGTATTCTTTTTAATGAAAACCTTTTAAATAATATCTGTTTCATATAAATACGCCGCCCGCGTGACGCAGTGGTTACAGCGTCTGCTCTAGAGTCGCGAAGTTAAGGGTCGATCCTTATGTCGCGGGTTGGGATCCCACTGTGGGACGTGGAGACCGGTCCTTCGGATGAGACCGAATAACCCAAGGTCCCAACAAGTTTATCGAAAAAGCAGCTGTCTCTGATATAAAAAAGTATAGACCTTTTATCGTGGGGGATAGTTGTATAAGGTTTTGCAAATTTCTCTGATCAGAAAAGTAGCCTCAAACTGTTTTAGTTTTAGGCAACGCGACTGAAGATCATTAAATTTTATTCTTTATTTCGGATTCTACCTGATAACGCATGTACACAGTCAAGAACATAGTTTTTGTATGCAATGTTCATTATCACAACTGAATATTTGACTGGAAACTTGGATTTTCCTCTCCTACTTTATATCCAGCATATAGTCCCCCTTCAAAGTTATATATATCTCATAAACTTAAACTTTTCCAAAATGCTGTAAAAAAAAAAAAGCACATATGACTTCTCAAAACTCGTAGACTATATTTAATATTTCAGAAAACTAAAAATTTAATAAAAATGGCCTTGAAAATATCCATACTTAGTAATAAAGTCATGAAGAAAAATATTTTATTGAAAAACATTTTAAATCTTCCCACAAATGTTGTGAAGTACATGCTGGAATATTTGATTGACGATATCACTATCAGAAGATATCTCGTGCTGTTGTTTTCAATTCAGCATTTCTATACATTTAGACATAAAGTATTTTCATTACTAGTCAACTTGATATTTCCCCAAGAACTCCATTAGATGCCACAGGTTCCGCCACATCTGGCTCATACTTGGATAATTTCAGGGAAGCAAATTTGTAAACTAACGAACTTTGTGATTTGTGACACCTCCAAATTGTGTTTTCTTATCTATCCTTATTTATGTCGAAATACGCCGTTATCACCTGTTTGGCATTTATCCCTGTCGATATTCAAGAGCATCTTTAATATATATAAATATAATTTTCTACAATAAATTTCTTAATTAATCACAAGACAAGCTACTACCAAATAAGCCGGTGTTACACGGGCATCAACGACCTTGTTTAATATAAATATTTCGTAAATTCAATGATCGTTGAAATGGCCTTGTTTGCAAGTACCTTTCACTAGGTCGAAAATGGTGTTTTAATACAAATTTCTATTAATAATATGTTATTACTTTCATACCGATTTGTCCAAGATTTACTACTAGTTGCCCACTCACAGCGAGTGTGACAGGGAACGATTTCTCCTACATAGCACCTGATCCCACCTATTGTATTTCCAGAGGTCCATACTTGTTCTGCTCTGAACAAATTGTATGATAAAAATCTATTCTAAAATGATATCCACTATTCCATTCATTTTAATGCTTACCTTTTTCACAAAAATATCCAAAATATCTTGGCGGACAGTTACAACGGCACGTGGTTCTGTCAAGTACGCCATCGTTCTGACATTTAACGAATGGACACACTGTAATAAAAAACACATTAATTGTTGGAGAACGTTTAATCCTTTTTTTTTAAGTGTTCAAAAATATATGACAAATGATACTTCTATAAATGCAAATGCACATGTATATAAAAGTACTAAATATATAAATAATATAACTGTTGGGCTATAAAGTATTTTTCATCAAATTAATTTGAAAAATACAGAATCAAAATACATGTATGTATACGGTGCAAAAATATTGAATTGTCCCAATTCAAACTGAAACTGATTTACATAATGCGTATATTTATAATTAGTATAGTTAAAACTTTATTGAATGGTATTGAAATACAAAGAAATTTTATTTACCTGGTTGTTTCCAATCAGACACAATATAGGTAAATCCAACACTTATAAGTCCCCAGCTCAATACAGTCGCCAACATCATTTTATTCCCCATTGTCAATTCAGTTTCTATACCACTGCAAGAAGGATCTATGGATTAAATTCTTACCAAGAAGATACTTATAAATGAAACGGAACATTTAACTTTATAATTAACAATACTAACATTTCCTGCAATATGGTGTCTTTGAATTCGTTTTCTGTAAAATGTTGTGCAAATGACAACCGACAATAAAGTGTGAATGGCCTGGAAAGTGGTGCCAAAGAAGATTCATCAGTCCAGAACAAGTTAACCGTGTACATTGATCATGTATTCACAAATCCAAATTAATTGGCTGATGATAGATCTGATCGCCTGCTTCTTTACCATTTCTCTCTCGGCGATGACGCGATGCCAGTACATTTGTCAGCTTTAGTTTCTCTCTGTTAACGCTCCGTGACCTTAACATAACCAAGTTTAATGTCTTATTTAAAATCCGACCCCTGGCGCGTAGAACCGGGTTGGGGGAGGGGGCAGGGAGACTGGTCCTATTTCCAAACATCAACTTTTCCCATTCAGAATGTTTACTGAAAGGTTGGTTACCACAGGCACTTCTTTGGTATACGAAACAAGTGCCTGTGTAGTAACACACAATCACCCTCTCAATCACTTTTCAGTAGTACGGCCAAATAAGGTTGTAAAATTGGAAACTAACACCCCTTTCCCACAAGGATATTTGGCCTTCTCTCCATTTTTTTTTTTTTTTTTTGATAAGAAGATATTTTTTCTCTGGTTGTCCAATCCCCCGGTTTTCAATCAAAGTACTCAGAAGTACAGAGAGCCGGGCTCATTTACAGAGTAGAATGGATTTCTTACATGAATCACGTTTATATTCTGATGAAAAAATTATTTTAAAACTATCAATATAAATGATAAGACACTGATAAGACACTGACAGTGAGTTTTTCAATCCTAATACCACGGTCCGATTTTGTCAGAATCAGAATTAATCTTGTACCGCAGCTGAACGTAAACAAACAGGCCAGTCTGGTTCCCTCTCCTGCTTTACCTCGTATGTGTAGAGAACTACGGTAACACTGATTATCAAAAATCCTTACGCTAATGAACCATGATGAACTATGTTCTTTGACTTATGAAGTTTTCAAAGTCATTACTACTAATGTTTATTTTATATAGATAAAACTTCGTTTTATTTTTGTTGCTTTATTTAGCGTTTGTATTATCTCAAAAGCGGTTGAGAGTAAGAACTATATTTTTGCACGTAACTTTAAAATGGCGACTATTGGGTTAACATCCTGCCTTGAACAGGATCACATAAGCCGGCAATTGCTCTTTGAGCAATAAGCCCGGCTAAAAATGATATTAGAAAGTGTATGTTGTAGATGCAGAACAATTATTTCAGTAGTGGTTGAAAGTGCATTTCAATAATAAACAAAGGTGTGACCGTGTCAACCACTACTGAAATACGACCACTGTTGAAATACTTATTTCAATAGTGGTTGAGTGCATTTCAATACCTAACATAGGTTGCAACAACTATTGAAATAATGTTCACTTTTGTTATAAAGATTTCAATAGTAATTAAAATATACATTTCAAAAGTGATATAAATATTGATTTCAACAGTGTTTTAAACAATGATTCTAGAAGAACAAGTAGTAGTAATTTTTATAGTAAACTCAATTAAAGTTACAAATGTCGGAGAGGATAAGGAACAATTTTTCCTTACATTTTTTAATAGTTTAGTTATTTCAATAAGTCTGCAATGTGGTTTTTGTGTTGGGTTAATTATCAGCAACTATCAAAATAATTATTTAAATCATTTTTGAAATCATTATTTCAATCACTATTGAAAACTTTATTTATGTTTGAAATGCAATATCAGAACCTGTACTGAAAGCTTTTATTCAAAAGTGAACATTATTTCAATAGTAGTTGCAACCTATGTTTGATATTGGAATGCAATCTCAACCACTATTGAAATGATTATTTCAATAGTGGTAGTTATTTATTTCAATAGCGGTTGTTACACATGACTCTTCAATTGGATATCACCGACTCTCTTATGCCTTGTTTATGCCACTTACACTTGAAAATCTACATAGAAGTGCAGATTTGGGGGTGGGGATAAATAATTTGACTCAATGCAAAATATTTTTAAATTCAACTGAGCTACATGCATAAACTGTAGGTTATCATATCTATAATATTCAAATATATACTAAACAAGAGAGGCCCATGGGCCACATCGCTCACCTGAGCACTGTGGCTAGGAAATGGTAGAAATTGGTTTATTATTGAAAAGTTTAAATCTTAAAGTAGTCCCATGACCAATCATGGCTTTGCTATTCTTGCAAAGAAGATTTTTAAAGAATTTTCCTATATATTTCTATGTAAACCTTGGTTGGCCATTTTGGCCCCGCCCTACCCCGGGGCTCATAATTTGAACAAACTAGAATCTACACTATCTGAGGATGCTTCCATAAAAATATGATCAATTATAGCTTTTCTATTTTGGAGAAGAAGATTTTTTGAAGAATTTTCCTATATATTTCTATGTAAAACTTTAGTCGTCCACTGTGGCCCCGCCCTACCCCCGGGGGTCATGATTTGAACAAACTTGAATCTACACTACCTGAGAATACTTCCATATAAATATGATCAATTATGACCCATTCTTGAGAAGAAGATTTTTAAAGAATTTTCCTATATATTTCTATGTAAAACTTTGGTTGGCCATTGTGGCCCCACCTCACCCCCGAGGGTCATGATTTGAACAAACTTGAATCTACACTACCTGAGGATGCTTCCATATAAGTTTCATCTTTCCTGGCACAGTGGTTCTTGAGAAGACGAGTTTTAAACCATGCCACCAAATTTTTATTAATTCCCAATTATCTCCCCTTGAATGAGGGTGTGGCCCTTCATTTGAACAATCTTGAATCCCCTTCACCCAAGGATGCTTTGTGGCAAGTTTGGCTGAAATTGGCCCAGTGGTTCTTGAGAAGAAGTCGAAAATGTGAAAAGTTTACAAACAGACAGACGGACAAACAGACTACAGACAAAATGTGATCAGAAAAGCTCACTTGAGCCTTCGGCTCAGGTGAGCTAAAAACACTTCTGAATCTAAATTAGAACACAGTATGCACTATAAAAGGTGGACATTATAATATCAGAGCTCTCATATATTTTCTATTGAGAATATGATGGTTCCCTTAAGAGGGAGTACAGTGTATTAAGGTATTCAATGTTTCATGGCTATATTATTTGATACCTATATAAAAGAATGGTCCTGAACCAATATTTTCAAACAAGGTAGCATACTCCACTAAAGTAACTTTTAAAAGTTTGATTGCCAAATTAATTGCACCTGGAATTTTACATTTAAGGATATTGGAAGTTAAAGTGATATTAAAGGTGCATGGACACAGATTTGAAGTTAATATTTTCTGTATAATATTATGACTTATATATCTTAATAGCATTTTACACTTTTAAACGAAATAAGATTTTATTTATTTTTTGGTACAATGCTATTAAAACAAGCTAATTCAGAGAATTCGTGTCCCCCGCTTAGGGAAAAAGTCGGCTCCCCCTGACTGAATTTGTAGAATTATTAAATGTATACGTGTATACTGAAGCAAATAAAATACATGTATGTTAATATGCATATAAAGATTTGATTGCTTATTCTTTATTATGTGTATAGAAGATTTTTTTATATGGAATGTTTATCACACTGTAATGATGATTTTATAACCTCATATGCTGAATACTATCATTTAGTAAAATAAAAAAAGTATTTTAAAAAAAAAGAACAAAAAAAAAAGAAAGGTTCGACCGAGATTCGATCCCGGGACCTCTCACATTTGAAGCGAGAGACATAATCACTAGACCACGGAATCGCTTTACGAGCTGTGAAGTATATGCAGAATTGAAGTCACATACATGTATATATTCATGTTTTCATGTTCGGTATTCTCAAAATTTTACACAATCCATGGTGTTTGATTTATTTAGCCTTTATTAAACAGTTCTAATAGATGTAATAAGAACATAAAGTCCGCCGAGAACCTGTTTTATACGCAATAACTCTCCCCCCTGCGCTAAAAATAGCGACACGTAATACTATAAATACTAATAAAACAAACGGGGCGGGGCACTTTGAGAGGGGCGAGAGACGTCCTAGGGAGTTTTGGTATAAAATCACATTGCATAAGCTCAAAATCTTCTTGAAATATCGCCCGAAAATGATAGTATTACATACATACAGAATGTATAATTTACGACCTTGAACTTTGACCTTTTGACCTCAAAATCAATAGGGGTCTTCATTAGGCCACAGGGAGTTGCTATATAAAATTTCATTGCAATAGCTCAAATGGTTCTCGAGATATCGTGTGGAAACGAAAGTGTTTTAACAGACAGAATTTGCTTATTTATGACCTTGACCTTTGACCTTTTGACCTCAAAATCAATAGGGGTCTTCCTTAGTCCATAGGGAGTTGCTATGCTAAATTTCATTGCAAAAGCTCAAAGGGTTCTCGAGATATCGTGTGGAAACGAAAGCGTTACAGACAGACAGAAAGACGGACGGACGGACGGACGGACGGACAAACCCAAATTAATATCCCCCACTTTTCAAGCGGGGGACAATATATAGGACATAATATTATACAGAAAATATTAACTTCAAATCTGTGTCCATGCACTTTAAGGTATTGTAAAAGGTAATTTGGGCTTCATACAAATCTCTTTGTGAAAATATGCATAAAAATCTCTTTATTAAATATCACAGGCCTTTAGATCGCTTAGAAAAAAAATTGAGGTTTTGAAAAAAACACAATTTTTTTTCAAGCGATCCAAAAGCCTGTGTTAAATATGAAATAAAATAATTCACATGCCACAAATATTTCAATTTTTAAAGGAAAAATTCTTCCTTTTATCAAGGACATATAACTCTCCAAAAAATGTTCAATATGTTATCCCTAATCATTCAGGTGTATTTGGTTTAAGTCATCTAGCAGTACATATCTCTAACTAATTTAAATTGTTCAATATCCCTTCTTGATACATTGAATACCCTAAAACAAGCCATTTTTTCTCAACAGAGAATACATTCTCATACAACTATATTATTGTTTCAATATTCTTGACATACTTTATTAACAATGTGTAAATTAACAAAGTTTCTGAAAACTGAGGTAGTCATCTCGAATATATGATGAGTTGTCTCCTCGGAAGAAGGAAATGTAAGAATATCTTTTAAATTTTATAATTTATCACGAAATGAAACAAACATATGTAGTCATGAACATCAAGTACATATTTGTAGGTACATGTACAAAAGTTATGATACATTTAATGATGGTCAAAACTCTACATCACATCTGTTAATACAATGAAATATAAAATACAAAGTCTGCTTTGCTCTGATTTCTCAATAACTCTAGTAATTCTAGCCTGCAGCTTGTTCCTGCTTCCTCTTTGCTTTCTTGACAGCCAAAAGTTCTGCCTGCAAGTCATCAAAGTTGATATCTGGCAAGAGCTCCGTGACCACTCCGTAACCCAAGGTCACAGTTCCATCGGCCCCGCTACCCCTTATGGTGAACCTCTGACCTGTTTTTAGGCCCATCTTCTTCTGCATCTTCACATTCACTTTGCAATCCTCACCAGGCATTGCCATGTCCTTGTCAACAAGTTCAAAGTAAGTATTCATGTTCCAGGTATAACTAAACATATTGCCATAAAAGTTTTTCATGAAAGCTTTCGAGCGACCTCCCTCTTTTTCTGAGCTAAAGAACACCTTAGCTTCAGCATGATTACTGATTGGATACGTGCCAGGTTTGACCACGAAGACCCCCCTCTTCAAATCCTCTTTTTTCCCTCCTTTTATCAAGCATCCCACCTGGTCTCCGGCCTGGGCTTGCTCCAGAATTTGCCGGTACATCTCCACCCCGATGATCTGCGCTTTGGAGATTTTGTTGAAGCCTATCACCTCACAGTCGTCCCCTTTCTTTATTACCCCTGTCTGCATCTTTCCAGTGACAACAGTACCCCGACCTGTGATGGACATCACATGTTCCACAGGAAGAAAGAAGGGTTTGTCTAAATCTCTTAATGGAACAGGCAGGTAAACATCACAAGTGTCCAGAAGTTCCTTTATTTTCTTTTCTCCAATCTCTGGATCTCTGCCCTCCAGAGCACATAGGGCAGAGCCTTTAATGAATGGGGTTTCATCTGCATCAAAGCCATACTGCGCTAAAAGTTCTCTCACTTCCATTTCCACCAGCTCTAGCATTTCTTCATCTGAGGCATCTGCCTTGTTGATAAAGACCACCATTTTCTCCACACCGATCTGTTTGGCCAGTAGAATGTGTTCTCGTGTCTGGGGCATGGCGCCATCAGTTGCTGCGACCACCAAGATACAACCATCCATCTGTGCAGTTCCTAAACAAATGATTAACAAAACATATTAACATTTTTCAACATTCACCAGTAAATGTAAATTATCATCATGTTCTTAGCATTTCAAAAGAGTGAATGCATAAAATATTCATAGTGCATGCAGTGCTCAATGAAAATTAAATATTATCATATACAGTATATTAGAGGCTTCTCTTTTGAGAGAACAGCTTAGCTGCAGAACTGTAGCTCTCTGTTTGAGAAAATTCAGACAGAAAAAGCAGAGAGCTACAGATCTATGGATTGTAAAAACCTTCAATTTATGCCGCCACATTTTTTGTCGCTCACTTTAGGTATTATTTCTTATAATTTAAGCTTTCCCCTGTTTTAAGAATGTTATCCAATAATTAAGCATACATTTTTACTCCTATTCTTGATACTGTACTTACCTTACAATGTTCCCAAATAGCCCTTTATGGTTTTGGAATGTCATTTTAAAAAATATTCATTCCAATGTCTGCGTTAGAGATTGTGTGTAAAAATATCTTTCAAAGCACAAACACTTTCCCAAAAATGGGAGTAAAATACATGGTAAATTATCGGATACCATTCATATAGCGATGAATGGCATTAAATTATTTAAATGCAAGAAAATATACCTGAATTGACGACAAAAATGCGGCGGCGGTACCGGGTGCGTCGATTTACCCAAAAGGACCCAAAAGGAACCCAAAAGGACCCAAAAGGAACCCAAAAGGACCCAAAATGAAATCAAAAGGACTCGAATTAATATATTATAATACATTGAAAATTAATAATTTGAATTAAATTATGAATATTATATTATAAATTTACCTAAAAATTGGCAAAAACATACATTTATATTGTTGCAACTTTTCTTAAAGAAATAACATACGACTTTTATAACACATCAATCATTAAATCTGGTCAGATATGCTTTGATTTCTTTTAGCTGAATTTAACAAACTGCACTGTATTATTCTATTTCTCCTTCTGTTTTATTATATCTTATTATATGATATTTGATAAATAAAGAAATAAGTTTATTTAATGACATGTTCCTAGGCATATGGTTTCGGGGATGGGTGGGGGTGGGGGTTGGGGATGGGGGGGGGGGGGCTCCCACCTCAACCCAAACACGCACTTTACCCTCAAAAATTTAATAAAATATGAAAGTATTCATTATATATCCATTTAATCTCTTTATTTCAAGTCCTTTTGGGTCGTTCTTAATTTCCTTTTGGGTCCTTTTGGGTTCTTTTGGGTCCTTTTGGGTAAATCGACGCACCGGCGGTACCTAATAGTACTATTCAAGTCATCTCAAATCGAGCAAATTCGGGATGGATTACATCACTGTACATTGCATTTGCAAATTCGTTTTTGGCAGTTCTTTCATTTGCATGTTCAAAACAAACATTACCTGTTATCATGTTTTTGATGTAATCTTTGTGTCCAGGACAGTCTATATGACCATACTTTCTTGCTTCTGTCTCGTAGGTCACAATGGTTGAGTTTATCGTGATTCCTCTTTTCTTTTCCTCGGGGGTAGAGTCGATTTGATCGTATGTCTTCATTTCAGCCTGGTTGCTCTGAGACAGAATCTTTGTTATAGCTGCTGTTAGGGTTGTTTTTCCGTGATCCACATGTCCAATTGTCCCTATGTTCATCACAGGTTTGTCTCGGACATAAACTTTCTTTCCACCGGTCGACTGAACTGGGGGCCCGGCATATCGATTTCGGGACGTCGAAAACGAACTGGTTGAGCATACTGCGTTACAGGCACATACTTTTGTTATCAAGGAGTTGTTCAATGCAATCTGTCTTGTTGAGAAGTGGCGAAGAGCCGTGGAAAGTGGCAGTAGTGTGGTCAACATGATTGTTCTTGAATTACATAAAATGTGCTTTCTGCGCCTTAGTCTTCCGAACGCTTGAAAGGTTAGACAAACGCTTTTCGTTGAAAACGATAAACCAAGTAACAAGATAGCCGAACTCAAACTCACAACCATGTTGAAAACGCAAAATTTTATATTCGAAAGCAATACTTATATATAAGATTTATCAAAATAATGAATTTTGATAAATCAAACAGAAAAATAATTTGATTAATTATTATAATTCATTTTTAAAACTCCTCACTCTCAAAGTCTCCTCTACTTTAATTTTCTATACATTTTAACCTCTGTATGAAACATGTGCATGGAAATAACGAACAGTAGATCTATTAACGCTCAAAAGTCCATTAAACAATTAAAAAAAATAAGAGCAGAGTAAACACGGTCCTCCGAAACATCTGACGTGGGATCAGGTGCCATGAATGAGTGAGCATCCCCTAGCTGCCGACCGGTCACACCCGCCGTGTGCTCCTTGTCATGATCAGGAAATAACGGAAAATCTGTCGCCAGCTCAGTGTGTAAATAATGGACTAACAATTAAAGACGCCAGTCAGCATTTGATTGATACTTACAATTTGTATGAAAAACGTCAGTCAACATTTTCCGGACTCAATGATACATTGTATTTGCTGACAAGGTCATTGTATCGACCACCAAACTTACGAAATGATGACTTTAAACGAGACTGCTGATATTCTTGCTTCATCAACTTGTTTGTCATTAATATACCTCGTTATAGGAATTGTTCATATGTAGAACATGAGCAACCTGTAGCTTGCGTATCGAGACAACAGAGAGATATATAAACTCCGTTTGCAGGTGATGAAGGTAATTGCAGATATTGAGCTGCTGATGTGAGTGTATTTTGATGAATACTTCGATATCTCAGTTTATTCATTGTCCGCCCCATCAGTTCGAGATTAAGAAAATTGAATGTAGATTATGTCTGTTTTATTTATTTTAAACTGACTTGACAAATAATATACATGTATTCAAATAAACTATACGTTAGAAACTTATAAATGCATGTAATGGTATACACATATTATCAGACATCTTCTAGAATGTTTTTTGAAGATTGACTGATTGTCTGATATATACGTTCCACACAGGATTTTCCACTGATGTATATACACAGTAACACACCATATAGCGGTGAAGGACTTCAAGTTTAGCTCTTAGCTATATTCGGCACTCAGGACCACTGAGCATTGGGGGGTTCTTTATTGTGCCATGCTACGCATACCGAGATACAGAGTTTTCATACAAAAAGACCTGTGTCTGGTGCAGTCACTCCCTCCGTTTACGTCTTAGGTTTAAAAGGGCACCCCCCACGCAGCTGGGAACGAGGGTCGAACCTGCCAGGGATCCCCCTATCACAAAGCCAGCGTCCTAGGAGTAAGCTACCATGCACTTAAACCATAAACTGAGACCGGTTAACATTCCAAAAACAAAATTCATGGGTTGTTATCATTGAAAACTCTGTTTATAATACTTTAATTCCTCTGACTGGATATTACGTACTTGCTGCAATTAAATTGCATTATTTTTCTCTATAAATTTGCATAGTTCTGTGTATTCAGTGTGAATATATAGATATCGCCTGATGCCCAAATTTATTCTAGGGAACCAACAACTTCATTTTGGTGAGGTTCCCATCAATGTTACACAATCGAAAGTCCAGCCAATGTACATGTATTTTAATTTGAACGAGAGTTAAATTAATCAAGTGCATGCCTGTGATACCATATGTAAACGTTACAGCAGACGGTGACATTACATGCATGGCTTATGTGTACGTAACAGAATTAAACATTTAAGTGTATTAGCTTGGGGTTGAACCTGAGTCCTCTGGCATGAAAGTCTGGTGTTCTACTGATTGCGAATGACGAGATTTCAACGAGAAATTAAAGTCCATTTTATTTTAAATCTGCTTTCTGAATTATTTTGTGTTCCACTTTCTGTTTGTCTGTCTCTCTTTCTTTAACGATATTTTCCATGCAAAAATATATGCATAGAGTACATGTATAATGACGTCAAGTTTTTCGACTTTGAACATACTGTCCATTACAAATATGTCATTTTTTCAAAGACAAATACAAATTTTAATTGGAAAAAAAAAATCAAATTTTTGTAGAGGACGATACCATCAGTACCTAAATGTCTATCAAACTATCCTAATTAAGTGTTCGGAAAGACTAATTTGCTAGACTAAATATTGTACTTCAGTACCAAGTAAACGCAAAAATGTCCTTATTTTGGTTAAGTTTCTGGTAAACTCAATTATATGGAGAAATCACAATTAATACAGAAATATTGATCAACGTAAACCTGTCAGAATTATGCTCAACTTCCTGTTTCTTCACTGGCGACAGTTAAGGAAACAAAAACAAACTCTCAGACAAAATGTACACGTTTCTTTTATTATAATGTACACTGTATATATGTACAATCAGTTGTAAAAATATGTAATATATTCATTTATGAAGACACCAAGGAAGATGTATACAATATATAAAAAAAATAACAATAAAATAACCATATATTCAAAGCAATAGCTCGGAATAGATTGAGTGATATTTTACATCTTTACATATCTACATATTTACAAACAATAAATGGAAGATATATGAAAGTTTGCATCAATTTTATTCACAGATTCAAATTAACATATTTATGACGTAAAAGCACCTTGTTTCATGTTTGTCACTAAAAATACGGAATCATCAGCTGTAGTAGTATGGCGAGAACATTCCATACGGATACATTGGCATGTATGACGGGAAGTGACCACGTGACTGGTAGGGTGAAGTCATGTGTGACGTCTGCTTATTGCCCGGTGACGTGGAAGGTGGTGATGAAGATGGACCGGGGCGAACAAAGTGACCTGGGACGACCTGTGCCGGGGACATTGGAGGAGGCATCACGTGACCTATATACCCATAGGGCGACATGGGCGGCATCAATGTGGATGGTCCCATAAAGCGGGGGACCTGATGGGTATTGTCATTCATTCTCCGGCGCCAACGTGCTCGTTTGTTTTGAAACCAAACCTATGAATAACGGAATGTTAACATTATTCGAACACTTGTAAAAAATGGATCACTTTTCAGTAAAATTTTAGTCTATTCAATTAATAAGGAAGGACTTGCTGTCTTAATTTTAATGTAAACTTGCAGGAAAAAATGTTTTGTTCAGAGTGGATACATTTTGAAATTTCTTTAAAAATACGACTCACTTTTAATTTGCTTTCCGAAATTTCAAGTTCTTTGGACAGTTCCTCCATTTTTTCAGCATCCGGATATGGATTTTCGTGAAAAACCTGAAATGATTTAAAATAATCAGCCTTTTTTTCAATTTACATGTACAACTTACGTATTTATCACATACTAGTAAATATGAGAATCATTCCGAAAATTCTTCCTTTCCGCCCCTGCCATTTCCCCGGAAGAAAGGATGGGACTTTATTGACTTATTGACAGAAATGTTGAGATAAATGTTCCCATTACAATTGTTACAATAACTGCTCCTGTGTGAAAGCTTTTGGCGATGGTTGAAGTTTCTCATATACAAGTCAAACCCCAAGATCGCGGGATGAAAGAGGTTTCCAAACGAAAGGACTTAATTGTCTCAATAAAATATACTTGTGAAATATGAAAGCATTAACCATTAAAAATTGTGGCCAAAGTATGTATTTCAAAAGTAGGACAAACTTCAAGATCAAAAGGTCAATATTGTTGGTATCCAAAGGAAGGTCTTGTCACATAGGTTATAGTAGTACCTGTAAGATATGAACGGGATGGCCCTAGCAAAATTGGATCACGGTCAAACTCTAAGCTCAAGAGATCGAAAATGTGGTGCCCCCAAAAATGTCTTGTCACAATTAATACAAATTTGAAATATATGAGAGTCAAAACTCCAACCAATCAAAAAGTTATGGGCAACGCCAATTTTTTGCGGACAGACAGCTGAACAGCTGGACTGACACGGGGCAAAAATTATTATATACCTCAAAATCATCGACTAGGGGAGATAAAAACACTGGCAATCAAATAGAAAAGACATTTTTATCAAGAGCTACATGACACAATCGTTAATATAAACTCGTTTGACATAATATGGTATGTTGATAAAGCGGGGGACCTGTTTTATTACAATGAATTCTAAATGTTTACCTTTTCCAGGGTATGGACTTGTTGAGGTGTGTAGTTGGTCCTTGCCTTTTTGCGGCAAATCTCATCTGGACTAACTGTTGAAGGTGACTCCGTGCTACTGCCAGAAGGAGAGGTCGATTTGGTAGACTTCAAAGACACCATAGAAATGTCACTGTCTTTTGATGTATCACCTGCATCACTTGTGTCTTTAGTATTGCCACCGACGTCTACCACTGAAACGTCGGCCTCAGAATCTGAAAATTAATCGTAGAAATAGTTTAGCTCTGATACTGTGTCCCTGGTAGAAAAACTTCATGTATGTTGACTAATTTTTTTTCCCAACATTACTTTGACTATTGGAAATGTTCAGTGAAAGGCTGGTTGCCCCCCCCCCCCCCCCCCCCCATCCAAAGCTTTAATGTTAAGGTTCATTGATTCTCCAATAAGAAGGATAACTCTCACTTGAATTAATCTTATTTGCTGTTAAATCGGGCAGATTAAAATTTTTTTGGCACCGAAGGCTTTAGTTTGCATTTCAAGTAAAATTTGGTTTTCTTGGGGAATATATCGGTAAAACAAAATATTTAATTATATGAGTGATCCGATGGATGACAATTAATTATTATTAGAAAGTATAATTCATAAAATTACTGCGCATGTGTCAGGATTTACAATGTACCTTCGTCACGTGATATATCAGATGATTTGTCAGATTCTGCTGGTGAAGTTAATCGTCTCTGACAGACTTTCTTTGGCCTACTCTTTGGAGTTTGATACGTTGACATGATTGGACTCTGGCAAACAGGAGTATGTTGGGTTGTGCTGTTTGCTTGTGGCACCTGCTGAGAATCGGGAACAAATATTCCACACATTGGTTGGGGGTAAAAAGGTAAGTATTGTGGAGAGGTATAGTAAAACTGTCCAGGGTTGGGTGGTGTTTCAGGTGCTTTATGTTGTGTTTCTGGCCTAGATGTCTTACTCAGAGAAGAGTTGGTCTTGCCAGCTTGTTCACTTTTCATCACAGGGACCATCTGATTTTGGGTTATATCAGTCCTTTGATTCTGAGTTTCGGAGAGACGCCTCTTCTTGCATGGCTGTGCCACATCAGGTAGGTGACTTGGTGGTTGTAATGTATTAGAATTCACACTTACTTCCTCCGTCGTTGTCTTGTGACGAGAGGAAGAATTTGTCCCGCTATATCCAGTGAACGTGCTCGCCAAAACGTTTAGCACGTGCTCGAATGAGTCCTTAGATACTGTCTGTGCGGAGTTTTTCTGTTCCATTCCTGTATTTGAGGTTTGTGCATCATTGTCTAATGGTATACTGTTGTTAGAGTTTTGAGCACTATATAAACCTATGTGTGGAAAACAATGTCCAGGGTACGGAAGTGAGTCCTTTTTCGGAGGCTCGTCGGGTTTGTTATTGTTTATTTCCGGTTCCGTTGTCCTGGTAGCCAAAGCTTGTTTGTCTACAGTTTGTGGATTACAAAAAGTGTTGATGTGTCCCAAAGCCAAAGAAACTGGCACATTTGCGTGTATTTTGGAAATGTCCGACTGCATCACAGTTTGCATGGCTAACATATTTAGTCCAATCTGCACTAAATCTGACATAGAAAACTAACACCTTGTGTTTGAATTTAACATTTGAAAGCTGAGTTGTAGTATACAATCTGAAAATAAAAAAAATTCAGGTTTCAGCATTTGTGAGCATGAACATACGTATGTAGTATAATGCTCTTTGAAAAGTTTATAAATGATACTGTAAATGTATTATATTTGGCGTGTACGATATTTGGCGGAAATTGAATTTTCAACAAGTTGGCGTAGATTTGATTTAGCGCTTTTTAAATGTTCTTTACATAAATCTTTATACACAAAGCATTAAGCGATGTACTTGATTTAGCGGAGGCTGCTTTCCGCGAAAGGCGCTAAAAAGAATACACAGCCAAATGTAATACGTTTACAGTATATTGTATTCCGGTACATCCCCTGGAGAAAGTGTTGCTATATTGCATGAGTCTAACCCCCCACCCCGCCCTTACACTTACAACAAACAATAGCGAGGATTTTACCCTATGCGCTTTAAAAGTGTCAAATTTTATTTCCAATCGGAATTTTTATTTATTTATTTACTTTTTCGAAATAAATTAATCTACTTATTTGTTATAATGCATAAAATTGAATTTTCTTGTTTCCTTAATAATTCACATTACTTTTAGCTTTAAGTAGTATGGATCAAAACCAGGGGCCCATTTTACAAAAGAACTTACAACTAAGACCAAAAACTTCAGTTGATTGTAAAATTTTGCAAAATTAATATTTCTCTTCAAAATTATTTGTGTAAAAATATCTAACCATGTTTCTTTTTAAAATATTAAAATGAATTTTGATATAATATTTATTAAAAAGTTACATGAAAAATTAAATTTGGTCTTAATTAAGTCGTAAGTCCCTTTGTAAAATGGACCCCAGATACAGACCAGGCCTCAAGACCATAAACTGAAAACAGAATTTCGTCAATTTTTTTAGTTTGAATATATTTAGGAGATTAATGTTTGAGAAATTCATGAGAACATGAACTACGACACTGCTAGCTGCCGAACTGTAGCGTTATTGTTATATATAGGTATTAGTGTTTGACCATGGTCAAAGACATATATAAAACCACAGATTTTATCTTTTAGAAAAGATAGGTGAGCTTGCGCCGTAGCAATTTTTAAACACAGAAAGGAAGGTTCGTAATCAACTGGTTTGTTTTGCTGAATTCTTCAATGTTTAACGAGGCTGGAGTCTGACAGTTAGAGTTATAATTTTTTGTGAAGTGTATATTATAGAAATAAAATCATATTAATGTGTGGAACTGCTCTGCATCAATCGCTTATCGTGTCTTGCCTACAAACTTTGAAAAGAAAAGAAATTTTTTTTTTTATGAGGTTGACAGTATTATCCAGGAAGGTAGTATAACTCGCAAGCTAGATGTCTATAGAATCTTGGTATTGTATGACTTAAGTTTTTGTTGTGTAGTTAACTTTAAAGTATAAGCAACACAATAATTAAACAAACTTCAAAATCAAGAAAAGGACAGTGTTATTCAATTCACAACGAAATTGTTATCGTACAGTCTATCGATAGTAGTTTTCACAGATTCCTAGACCGTGAAGTTTTCCCATAATGCCCGACTGTAAAGCCGAGTATGCGCATTCCAGAAATATGGACTAACGTATAGTTGCTTTATAGCGCTCAAGAGCGCTAGCAATAACGCTACATTTCTGCAGCTAAGACACTTCACGTCTGTATATTTCATGAAGTGTTAACGCTTCATGATTAATTATGCAGGCGTATTTTTTAGCGTTGTAGTTCATGATCCTCATGAATTGTCGAAAAAATAAATGAATATCTTTTAATTATATGTAAATAATTTTTCTGGTGACTCTCTACACATTTTTGCTATTTAACGTTCTTTATCTAATTTAAATTTTCACTATATACATGTAATTTGTTTTCAATGGAAACATTAATTATTCTTACTAATCCAATGGTAGTTCATGAGAACATGCATGAACCTTTTCTACATACTCTTTGCAAAATACTTCGAAATGTAAATTATATTAATTTTAAAATTTTGAATTAAGTCTGTTCTCAGTTTATGGTCATGGGGCTCGCGTGATAGAGATCTTTTCAGCTTTACTCAATTCCAACCAATCTATGTGAAATGTAATTTACATATATGAAAATGGCGTCTTCAGTTTTTAGAATTTTTGCCCGCCCCCATCGTCTCAAGCCACGGTTCGGAGTCCGCTTGAATGGGAGAGGATCGTACATTTTGGTCGTGGTTTGCGACGTTGGCCATTGGCCCGACCCTAATTTGCTTGAGCATAATTTGGTTTTCTTGACCCATGCACTAATTACTTTTCAAGATATTCATTTTCCCTAAAATTTAAGATAGTATTCTAATAATGTTCCAAAACCTATGAAATCTCTTTATAATTGTTTTGTATATCCATCATTAAAAAGTAATAAAAGGAATCAATAAAAGTTTCTCTCGGATGCAGATCACAATCATAAATTGAGACAAGATTAATTAATCTACTTACCTAGAACTGCTCTATGAAAAATGCTTCTGTGTAGAAATTGTGAGGACTTCAATCTTCAGTCGTGATTACTTTTCATTTAGAATCGCTGACCGCGCATGGCTCGGGTA